CGTCGATACTTCTGAATCCAGTCTCACCCATACATAGTCTCAGACGCCGACTTCTCGACCACTTTCACGACTGCAACGAGGTGTACACTATTACCTCAGAAGGGTCAGGCGGGTGAAGGTTCGCTACCTTCGAATAGGCTTCGGGGCTTATCTGACGGAGCAGGAGGTCCCGGGTGAGGCCCGGCCGCATGGCGACGCACAAAATTACACGAAAAGCCTGCTTCGCTCCAAACTGACACCTACATTCCGGGGAAGTCGGCAAATCCGTCGGTTCGGGTCTTCTTAACATTAGCGGTCAGCTGCGGGGCCGATTCCCGGACCTACTTAGCTTGTCTCCGACAAGACAAGACCGCCTAGCGGAACTCGCCAATTCTCAACATGAGGGAGCGGCTTTCGACTAGATAGGCGGGGTAAGTTGCCCATGACTCAATGAAAAGAATCGCAGAAGATTTAACTCGTCTTTCCCTCTCCTTACCAGCCTTGTTTCAACCATTCGGGACAAGACCAACAACCCCGTGGAAAACTTCAGAGGGGTATTAATACTCAACGCCGCTCAATCGCATTTGTTTACTGTGGCCGTTTCCATATCTTCTCCTTACTTCAGCGATTGCTGGGAACAGTTCGAACCATGTTGCTGAACCCGCTTTTTGGCGCAGCTGTCTTTGCAGCCTCAGTACTCTTGTACTTGGCCCGTCGTCTATCATCTCCACTGTCGAAGTTACCGGGTCCGGGCCCATCCAAGTTCACTTCCATTGTTCTGAGATGGCACGAGTTCAACGCCAACCGAACACTTTATATACACTCCCTTCATTTGAGATACGGTCCAGTTGTACGCATTGCACCCAACGAGGTCTCTTTTACTTCGTACGAGTCTGTGAAAGAGATCTATGGATCGCTCGGGAGTGGCTACGATGAATATTGCTTCTACAACCTATTCAAAGTCTTTCAGCGCAGGCAAGCCGCATATGCATCCCCCTATTGAATTCAAAACTAACTGTGAGCTGCTCACGGAACCATGTTTTCCACTCTTGTAAAAGGGGATGTTAGTACATCGTTCAGGTGGGCAGGTTAAGGAAACCAGAGCTGACATATTCCCAGCACGCAAAACGCAAGCGTATCATTGCGGATCGTTATGCAAACAGTAACGTCATCAGACCCATGACACTGGGAGGCATTGAGGAGAGAGCTGAAGAGTTCGCGAGACAATGTGGAGACGCTGCAAAGAGAAGCATTGATGTTTATGTATGTATACGCATTGCGAGGTCACTAGCTGTCTTAAACTTTCGGTTCAACTGACAACCATGCCTTTCGGTGGTTAGGTCAAGCTTCATTCGCATGCTTGTGACTGCATCACGCATCATTTATTCCACCCTTACGGAACCAATAGTCTTCAAAAGCCAGAAGACACGGAGATGATGGAACAGGTCACAACCGACGATAGCCTGAGAAGTGAGGAAATATGGCAGCTTTCTTGTTCTGAGGCACACTGCTGACATCCTCAAGGCCGCCTCATTCAGCATCATTACCCTGTCTTTTACCAATACTTTTCCAAATTTCTCGATCTCTGCTTGGATCCACGCACTACACCATTGGCTAAGAATTTCGTAGTTGGTGCTACTTCAAAGACCGACCCAGCACTATTCACTCTTCTCAATCGCCTTCAAGAAAAGACCGAGACAGCCAGCAGTGTCAATCAACTAGACAGTACCAATGTTGCCGCTGAATGCATGGACCATATGGTCTCAGGAATCGATACTACAGGCGATTCGCTATCTTTTCTGATATGGGAGCTATCTCAACCCGCTTCACTAAAATTCCAAAAGAGGCTCCAAGAAGAGATCCGGGAAAACCCAGACATTTCATTTGACAAGCTCTCTTACCTCGATGCTGTGGTCCAGGAAGGATTGCGGTATTATCCTGCAATTCCTATGTCGCTACCAAGGGTTGTTCCTGATGGCGGCAGGCAGATTGATGGCTATTCCGTTCCCGAAGGTACTATTGTCAGTAGTCAGGCCTACTCAGTCCACCGCAACAATGATGCAGTCTATCCAAATCCTGATGTGTTCAATCCCGAGCGCTGGATGTCACCATTTGGAGAGGCTGAAAGGAAGCGCCACATGTTTGCCTTCTCTCATGGCGGAAGAGGCTGTGTCGGGAAGCAGTGAGTCATTGCCATCAAACCCATTTTGACGAGACGGAAATGTATCAATGTTGATACAGTCTGGCACTCGCAGAGATGAAGTCTCTGCTCCGCATTATCTACAGCCGCTATACTACTGTTCCCGATCCTTGTATGACTTCAGAGAGCATGAGGTCTCATGATCAGATAATTTCTGCCCGACCGTACGGACAGAAGAGTCTCTTGAAGTTTGTACCCCTGGAACAAATCAAGCAATAATATTCGGTAGACAAGATGTTTGTGGAATGACGTAATCCCAGGTTGAACAAACTGTTTCAGAGTCGTACGTATTTTTGTTGGTGGTTGATGGCCGATAGGGAACATGACTGCAAGTCATGGTCTCCTTTTCCGCTAAACGAAAATTTCCTGCAAAATACAGCTCATGCGCAAGCGTTTTTGGGGTGCATTGTGCACTAAGTACTTTTGTGGACCCTTTAACCATTCTCATTGTACGAAACCCGACTTCTCCATTCATCTAAAAGTGACATTGGGAGGAACTTCACCACCATTAGAACTGCATCGGTTCATTCCATTGCCTCTGGATTCTATTATAAGCATTGAGAATGAACTTAATGTAGTAGGCTATCATTCTTGAAGTCCGATTTAACAACGCTAAGGTATAATTATGTTGAAAGTCTGTAAAGCCCAGTGGTCCAATGATAACAATGATAAGAAGCCTTCCTTCTTGTAGGCAGATGGCCAAAGGTCATTGTTGCTTCTGCTTCGGTAACTCGCCTTTAAGATGTTAAAGTGGTGGAAGAAAAAGAAAAAGAAAAGGGGTTCTGTGCATTTCTGAATGCACACTAGATCCAGTTCACGTGTCTGCGAAACTTTGCTCGCAGGGCACTTTAGCAATAACGAACTCTATCTGGCTCACGCATGATGGCCTTGCAAACAGCCATCAACTGACTGTATGACCATCTTCCGAAAACCCAAAGGCGCTTTGAAAACCATCGCAGCTTTTTGCCGAACTGACGTTACGCTCCGCGCTGGCGTTTGCTCTATCGTGCCGCCCAAAGCCCGCTTCGGCGCGGCTTCAATCAGCTACGAGACGCACTGCCAAAAGAGGGATAGGGTTCTGGTCTTCTGGAATAGCGTAGGCGTACTTCAAAGTCTATCCCGCTGATGTACAATTACTGTTCCAGCCTCCCGAAAAATCTTCGCACTGCCTTACGACATTTCCACCCAACATCAACCCATCAACCCCTTTGCTAGCGGCACCACCCGAACCGATGAACGCGAGGTTATCGGACTCTTTACTGTACCGGGTTCAGCCCTGACGGAAGGAAATGATGTACATAGGTTTGGACCCACATTTTCGAGAAGCCACGCAAGATCGATCCAAAGGTTAGTTGTGATGTCTTCAGTTATCGAGCCTTCCGCAGGTGTCCAGTATGCCCACAACTCTTCTATCGGACTCACTCAGGCTTCAATTCTGTAAATATTGCGACCGTCTTAGTGACACGATGGTACAACCCGCATGCCATCTTTTTCCTGCCTCAGCCACGCACGCTTTCAGACTGGATGACCCTTTTTTGGTAAAGAACGTAGTAGCAAGAAAAGAGATTAAGACTCCAGAAAAGAAATCCCAGCGAAAACAATCGGCATAGTTGGTCCGTCGCCCGTCGTGGCTTGGCCAAATGACTTTTAGAATTTTAGTCGGTTGAACGCGTGTTGCTGTCGATAAGGGAGAGAACAAAAGCATCGTGTCGCCATTCGGGTATTGCATTCGGCGGTTACGCGAAGATCCAAATAAAATACATGGAAGTATACTAGTATCGAGGTCTTCGCAATTTAACGAAAGAAATCTCAGTAGTGCGATCAAGAAATTGTTAACATGATCGATGTCGTGAGAAAGTAAGTTTTGTTACAACATTAATAACTGACTCAGTCTTGTTGTGCTGTCGACTCCATTGTTCAAGCTTCCGGTCGGAGGTGGGAGCCGTCTAGCGCGCTTTCGCCCTGGATGCGAGAGCTCTCAATACCAATTGCAATGACGGGTAATAGTTGCAGGGCTATACAGGGGACTTGGGCGCAGTGTCAACTATTAGCCCCGAAAGTTGCTTAGGCTAATGATGTCGGACGGCCGGACTTGTGTGTGTCGAGGGAAATACGGCAAGGCAAAGCCGACGTGTTACCACGGCCGGGCTTCACGAGGCTGCCGAGATAGCGGGCGTACTTGAGCATTTGTCGATCTAGGTTCAGGCTCATTTCACTCAGCCCACCTCAGATCCCAGTTGATAAATTGGTTCGAACAGCTTGGCTCTTGGATTCCTTACGAATGAGGAATTCTGGGAAACCTTAACAAAGACGTTCGCAACCTCATCCCTGTTTTGCGAGCAACATATTCGCCGGACTGCCCGGACTTTCTCTCCCTTCCCCAGGTTATCGGATTGGAAAAGGACTGCATGATGATATTACTGCTTGAAAATTCAGTCTTTTGTTTGATATGACAAAAGTTGCATTCCCGAAAGCACGCAGAAGCGCAGTCGTACCAACGATGTGTACTTGACTGCTTGTCTCGTCTCACATGTTGCTCGGGAGATGCGCTTCTCCGACTGTGGGTGGAGCCTGTCACATCAAAGGGTATGACCGTTGTAATTAATTTGACTTCATGACCTGTTAGAGTCAAACTCTTCCTCATAATTGGCCTTGGCTCGTTACCAGTCAGGCGGGCTAAGTCGGCACTCGATAACATCCTTTGCAGCATCTATATAGGCTTATGAATCGCCACTCCTTAAGACTCTACCTATGGATAGATGCAAACCATCTGTCACTCTTTTGACCATCAGCCATTCGTTATCTGCTCCTTCTAGTAACCATGCGATCTCAATTATTGTTGCTTTGCGCTCTCAGCGCATCCCTAATTAATGCGTCCCCCGTCGGCCTTGGATGCTACGAGGAGTCTGCTTTCAAGGCCGAGGACATTATCCAGCGCGACGTCCTTATTGTTGGAGGTGGAGCCACCGGAACCTACGCCGCCGTTCGTCTCCGGGACCAAAACAAGACCATCGCCGTTGTCGAGCGCGCCGACAAGCTCGGAGGCCATGTCGACACTTTCCGAGACCCCGCGACCGGTGCACCCATCGACTATGGCGTGCAAGCATACATCCAGAACAACCAGACGACCCAGTTCTTTGAGCGCTTCGGTGTTCAACTGAACACTTCGGCCCTCTCCCCCTTCCCGAGCAAGGTTGTCGACTTCAAGACTGGCTTCGTCGTCCCCAATGCCACCGCCGTCGACCCTAATACTCTGGTCGGACCTCTCGCGAACTATCTCTTTTCCATCCTCCAATTCGACTTCCTGGCCGAGGGTGCTTATGACATCCCGGAGAATGTCCCCGAAGATCTGCTTTTGCCCTTCGGTCAGTTTGTTGACAAGTACAATTTGACCGATGTCGTCCAGGTTGTCTGGATATTCGCTCAGGGTGTTGGCAATCTTCTAGAGACGCCCACCCTCTATGTACTGCAGAACTTTGGACAGGCCCACCTGTTGGGTCTCTCTGCCGGCTACCTCTATGCTCCTGCTGGTAACCAAGTGGTCTATGACAAGGCCGGTGCCTTCCTTGGAAGCGATGTTCTGTACTCAAGCGTTGTGGTTGCCTCCAATCGCACTGATGACGGTGTCACGGCCGTTGTCGCTTCCGCCAATGGCCGCAAGCTCATCAAAGCCAAGAAGCTTCTAATCACCATCCCTCCCACGGTTGAGAACTTGGCTCCATTCGACCTCGATGACTCGGAAATGTCCGTGTTCAAGCAATGGCAGAACGTTCCCTACTACGTCGGAGTTGTTTCCAAGAGCGGTCTGCCCGACCTTACCAATTTCCTCAACGTTGACATCACCGCGCCCGATGCCCTTCCCCAGACACCCTTTGTCTGGCGTCTTGAGACAGTCGGCGTACCGGGTTATCAGACTGTAAAGGTCATCGGCGAACCTCAGTCTTCGAAGGCCCAAGGCTTGGTTAGTGATGCCGTTCGCAAGATCGCCGCCTCCACCAACGCCACGTTCACGACTGGCGGTGATTTTAGCGCATGGGAGGAGCACTCCAACATTCAGCTTCACGTGTCGACAGAGGCAGTTAAGTCAGGCTTCTATCGCGACCTTTACGCACTTCAGGGCAAAAGAAGCACTCACTACACTGGTAATGCTTGGTGCTCTGATTACTCTCCACTCCTGTGGGCGTTTACGGAGACCAGAATCCTTCCCTTGCTTTAGAAAAGAAGATGCCGACGAAATACCGTAATTTAGTAATCTAAACCGTATCCAAACCAAAGTTTACTGTGTACATCCATCTAGGCTCAAGACCCGCTCTTATATCATTGTTGAAAGCCTTTCAGATCAGGACTAGTGTTCATAGCAGTATATAAGTTTACAAAGCACATGGCAGTATATTACATGGAATTTACATCCAATGCTGCTTCAAAGCTCGACCAGACATGTTGCCGAAAATAAGACACTAAGAATAGGCTATATCGAAAGAAGACGTATTCAAGGTGAAGCAGAAAGTAGGCTAAGATGAAAAATAGAATAAAAAAGCTGAAATCAACCGTTGTGCGAACATTGCCGTGCCATTTGACCAAATGGAGTATGTAGTTGGCCCATGGAGACAGTCAACGAAAGGGGCTCAATTTGTCCCTCTGATTCTGCCGTAAGGCATCATCTGACTCCGTGATACCCTAACTTGGCTCTCAAAGTAATAAATATTACGGTGGTTGTCGACTCACCGTATTCTACAAAAAGTCCTCCCTGAGCAACAGGGCCCGCAAAAGGTTGTCTTCGAAGAGTTCTTGTGTTTAGAAAACGTTTGAAAACCGGATACCAATTTCGAGCTTTCAGTGCACTACAACACAGCTACGGTGTAGAAACAACGTCTGTGAGTATCCGCAACGGCGTTTTACGGGTGGCTCGCTTTCGGTGTGAACCCCGAGGCCCTACTCTCGAACTCAGAACACTAACGCGGGCGACACATGGTGCGTGTCTGTCTACTGCGCATATACACGCCAATCTCGCATGCGATCAGGGAAAGCATCACACTCGAGGTCTTGGAATTTTCAAGCCATCCTTTTGGTATTGCCCGTTGTGCTCATAGACGTTGTACAAGCATCCAACTCATCGACCCGTCGACTCCTTTAGAAATGCATAGGGATGTTCTATTAGGGTCTTGGCATGATAGCGAGCCTGGCTTTGCCTGATTCATACACCATGTCCTTCTGCGTTCCAGGATTTCAATGCCCCCTCTCTCGCTTAACCCAATTTGCTCCGATGCCTAATTACTACTTTTGTAACTTTCCTTAATTCGGATTGACGGATCGACTTACTAGTTCCAGCTCACGTTCCATAATAAAAACAACACGAGAAATCGTCATCTCTCTCAATGACTGTCTGGCAGCAGCAATGAAGCGAGGATGCTGGGGTTGGAACGCTCTTGCCCGCAATTCCAGGCCAACGGCTCAACTAAGCTAACCCTGGACTAGATATGACAATTACTGCTGATAGTGTTCTAACCCGACGGACTCGACCACGGTGGTCAAGGACTGAGAATAAGGATCCTCCCTTCCCCAGTTCTTGACGATCATTTTACAGAGTATGCCGCTCCCTGTCTTTCATAAGAACGACCACAATTGCATGAGTCTTGCTACTGGGGCTGTTCCGCACGTGTGCACTTTCCCCCAGTCCCGGCAATACGAATTTGTGTATCCGCTTGGGTCACCTCTTCGTGGATATATAACATCACTGGACCTCCATACACGAGTCTTGTGATGTTTGTGCTTTACTCAGTGAACGTGTCATCTTATCCACTTGGATGCCCCAATCTGTCATCATGTCAGCCTCCATGATTCCTCTTCGCCAAGCCTGCCGCCAGTCGACTGGGTCACAGCTACGAGAATCAGACCACCCCTTCATACCGCTCGAGAAGACACTCGATTCAAGTTACTCAGCGGGCGAAGAGCTACCAGTCCCCAGTGACTATCATCAAAAGGCCGCTGGGCAACGAAGAATGGTCAGAGTTAGGGCCTCTGGCGAAAGTGGCCGCTCAGGTTTCCACCCACTTAAATTTCTTGAGATTACGTGGAGATCTTCGAGTCGAGCATCTCTTCTCTGCAACATCTTCTGGCCAGTGGTTCCAGCTGCCTTTATCGTTCGATGCAAGTAATCGGTCTTAATTGTAAATCCCGATACCAGTAACTGGGACTTACACAAGACGGCTATAGACACTTGCCCGGACGAACATGTCTTAATTTTCATCCTTACCTATATGTCTATGATTCCTTGTGCTAACATGGTCGGCTTCTCTGGCCAAGAGCTCTCCCGGAAGGTCAACCACGTCTTTGGTGTGCTGGTCGAATCAACGTGAGCTCCCCTTTTGCCTGCATCCGTGCTTCGCCTATTAATGACATATGTCGCCCTAGCTTTGGGTCTATTGTTGAAATCATCCTCTTTATGATGTTGTTACAGAACCACCAGTTTACCGTTATCAAAGCCGCCATTCTTGGCTCGATATTGGCAACGATGCTTCTGTGTCTGGGTCTGTGTTTTATCGCCGGCGGCATGCGACGAGACGAGGCCGAGTTTAGTGAGACCGTTAGTGAAGCAGGCACCGGTCTTTTGCTTACAGCGTGAGCGGACACCCCTGATAAGACTTTTGCAATACTAATCGACAATGGACAGAGGCGTTGCCTTGGCTATACCCGCCATTTTCAGTTATTCTATGGCTGCATCACTTACAGTCGAGGAGCTGAACGACAAGACCCTCCACATCTCTCGGATCGTTTCTGTTCTGCTAGTAATAGCCTACTGCGTTTTCGTGTGGTACCAGACCCGCACGCATCACGGCATTTACGACGCTATCTTTGAGCACGACGAGCAGCGCGAGCACAATAAGCATAAGGATGTGAACAAGCCTAGACTGACTCTAACTGAGTGCATTATTGCCCTTATTATCTCCATTATGCTTGTAACATTTATGGCAATCTACCTCGTCGAGCAAATCCATCCTATCGTTATGAGGCACGGCATTTCAGATCATTTCATGGGCCTCATCCTCGTGCCTCTTGTCGAGAAGGCTGCTGAACACTTGACAGCAGTTGATGAGGCGTGGGGCAACCAGATGAACTTCGCCCTCTCTCATGTCTTAGGCGCCACGCTGCAGACGGCTCTGCTCAACGGCCCGCTTGTCTTTATAGTCGCTTGGGGCTTTGAGAAGTCTATGGACATCGTCTTTGAGGTTTTCGATGTTTGTATGCTCATTCTTGCAATCATGACTGTAGGAAACTTCCTGCGCGACCAGAAGAGCAACTACCTCGAGGGCTTTCTCTGCGTTATTGTCTACCTCGCTATAGGAGTGGCAGCCTTCTACTACCCTAACTCGGAAGGCGAAGACGAACACTAATCCGCCGCGGTTATATACGACAGGAAGGACTGCAAAATGTTCACAACGTTCGTCGGAAAAGGAGTTGTGTGATCTCGTCTCAGCGGTTGTTTGATGTAAGAATCGGCGCTATGGTTTACTGGCTTTTGTTACGGTTCTCAGCAAGTCGAATATACATAGAACCAACGAATCTAAAGCAATATAGTTGATAAATATTGAATGGGTTATATTGACACTGCCCAATTATATGTATCTCTCTCTGTGTGTGTATTTAAACACACCAGATATGTTATACGCCACTGTGGGTTCCGGAGTCTTAACTGCTGAAACGTTGCGTTACACGTTCCCATAGAGTATATAGCCGTTATCTACAGCGACCTTCACCACGGGAATCTCAATCATGAGTGCACACGAACGGGTTTACCTATGTCTTACCTTTCCTTTGCATTATGTGCTCTACTTCGCTGTCTGCTTATGTCCTCTCACGACGTCGCCGTGCTGTTCACTAGCCCACTATCGCAGTTCATTGCCTATCTCGCATCCTCAAGGCTGCCACAATTGTATGTCATTGTATACACGTGGTAACGAAGGCGATGATTCTGGCCGCCTCACTGGCTTGCCCATAGGGCATAGTGAGAAAGCAGACCTAGTTTGTCCAGCCATTATCCCTGCTTCACGAGTGCCTTTTCCACCCTTACGTGTCCCTTCATCCTGACCATACCTATTAGTGTTTAACTGTTTGTCAGGACATTCAGCAGCAACGTAGAGAGAAAACATTGTATTCACAACCTAAGTCTTACCTCTTCAAGTAAACCTTAGCCACATTACCATAGTCCCAATGTTTGGCGTTGTGTTGGGTGTCATGTCGAAGGACACTCGCCGTACAACTCGGACAATTTACTCTTACTCACTATTTGTCGTAACTTAAGTTTTACCAATATGGACCCTATTCCGGAAATCAGCAAAAATATCAATACTTTAAAAGCTTAATGGTTGAGACTGGCTTCCTCTAAATTATATAAGCGACGTTTTTCATGGTTTCTAGGCAGACAATGTTATGGTTATAGCTCATACCACGAACGATGGCATCTTGAGAACTTTTGTACCAGTCTGAGTCTTTAAGTAGTGTAGATGCCAGATCGTGAATAGGTTCCCCTCATATATAGTACTTACGAGCGTTGGTACCTCAGCAAGGTGCTCGTGCCTACAAACGTCCGCAGTAAAGGACTGTTCGTTACTTGTTGTCTTGATTGTGCGAGAGTACTGGCCCACCAATTCTTCAAGTTCCTTCGATCCTATCAAACTTACTTCTGTTACTGAAGGGGGCCTCGTTTTGTTATGTCGAACCGTGTGTTGATAACCCCGACACTGCGCGTCCTCTTATGGAAAGTGAGCATGGATTAGATGAGACTCGAAAAGCTGATTTCATTGACTGGGAGCCGACAATGGATAAAGTTACGAACTCAGGTTTTTATCAATGTTAAAGGGGTAGTTAACTTGACTAATCATGTGTAAAGAACGCAACCGCAAACCAAGTCTTCCATTTGCGGATTCATTACATCTGCCTGTTCAGATTGTGTCTTGCATAGAATGAGGTAATGAACCCACGCGTATATATTATGGCGAGTGTTCTCGCGTTCCTCCTCTGTGGAAAGTAAGGATATTGCACATGGTGATTTTGCGCTATAACCTTTCATGAGCTGTTGACGTCATTGTATGGGCTACATTGTGGTTGCGTGTATCAGTTGATGTTATACTTCCGAACTCACTATAGCTTTGGAAAACCTATCTTAAGTCATGGAATCAATCATGAGAGGTGTTATAAGATGTTTGTAATTATGACACAAGTGACGTCAGTACCGAATACTCCAATTGCATGTTTGAGTAAGCCCTTTTGCATTGTATAGCTTCCATATATTCTTCTCAAAATCCACTCATTCCAAGAACAAAAGAACACATACGATAATAATCACCAAAGCTGAAAAGGTCATGTTCGGTGCCCTCACTGGGCCGATGGTGAGAGCGCAACCCGTTAGAAGGAAAGAACATTGTGTCATTAAGTATGGGGATCTTGGGAGAAATGGTTTATCCCTGAATTCAAGCATCAGGCAAACGACTCGCAACACTGGTTGGAGTGCCCGATCAAGATGTACGCCCGCATTTAGAGGGTTGGTCGAAATTTCAAGACATGACAATCCAGACGAAGATGGTGAAATCAAAAAACTTGTTTGGCTAATCACTGAAATTCTTCGTCATCACTGCCCAAATTCACCAAGCAAAAGTTGGAGAAAATTGCATTACCCCATGCATTTGTCTTAGTGATGTCCTGCTCACGTGCTCTCGGCGGAGTCCCTTACCGGAAGGCCCGGATCCTGGACGGTGACAAAAATACCCCGAAGACAAATGTCAATGCTAGCTCCTAGCTCCTCATGGTTTACGTTCTGAGACAAGCGGGGCCAGCTGAACCAGGCATTAAACACGTTAACATTCAAATTGACCGCGAACGCATTAACTGTGAGCTTGCATTATCGAGAAGAAAGAGGCATCGCCAGGGTTTGTCTATCCTCGGAGATGCGGGCAGATGAGAACACAAATCACTGAGTAGGCCAGACCACTTTCTCTCCAATTGCTTTCCTACGCTGATTAACACACATCATACAGTTTTCACACATAAGCCAGCGTCACAATCCCAAACCATTGAACCAACCTAGCTTCGACTTTCACAAAGCCATAGCGTATTTCCAGAATACTGCACAGCTATCATTGTGAAATTTCATAGCAATTTCACACGGCTATTTACCCTCTACCTTTGGGCGGTCGAATTTGTACTTTTGGAGCCTCTGACGTTGTGCGGGATGGGGATGGCTCGACTTGATGTAAACATTGAATGCACTGCCAACTGCGGAACGGAGTACTCCGCCAGGGGCCCGTAGCCCTCTACAAGTTGGAAGCCATGCAAACTAACAAAAAAAAGGGGCCAAGTCTCAAAACTGCATTAGCAATGGCTGGTCATTCACCGTGGGCGACTTGAGGTTGGAGATACACAGTCAATCTTTATTTGTAAACCCGGCCATACTCGAAACACAAAAAGTTAGTTGCAGTGGAGTCCTCCGTTACCGGACTCCGTGAACCCCCCGACAAGGTGTTGTGGGACGCTGAATCTCATGACCAATGGACAAACCGCTTATATTCCTGTCGGGCTTTAGAAAGATTTCATTGGTTTCGTGCATGAACACCGGGCTTAATACTTAGTTGATATGAGTTGCACGTACATGAAGAGCAAGGACCATTGCTGGACTTTGGGTGCTGTCATACCTTCATCGCTAAAGTTCCGTGATCCACACTGACTATCTCCCGCATAGTCTATTTTAATCGTGCTAGTGATGGCCCGCACTCGTGGTCTAGACTGGCTGCTCGAGTCAGCCGACTTTACAGTACCAGGCCTCTGCAGTCTCCACGGAAGGCTGAAAGTCTCGGCTGTTTCAGTCCGACGCAAATTCCGCGGAAACACTCAACTCTCCATCTCCTTGGTGGCCTCTCTTGTCAGATCCAAGAAACGAACAGTTGATCGCGGCGTAGATCGTAACCAGGCCGCATGGTTACTTGATTGCGGGAATATGGCACCAAGTGCTCATTACACGTGTTCGAACACATGCAGGGTTTTAGACTTAACTTAGTGCACCTCTCAAGAACCACAATCTTTGCGCAGAACCAACGCCAAAAACAAGAAATAGCTAGACATAGGGCCACGGTATAATGATGAGTACATGTAAGAATCGCCAGTGCTGTGTCATGGTCACAAAATATGACACTCAACTTAGCCGTGCTTTTCTTGGCCAAAGTACCTACCTAGATTGTTGGTAGGGCTGGGTGTGGGACCTCACACCTGTAGTACAGGGTGACGACCTGCCAAGACAAGGACGCATTGAATGGCCCATCGGATAGACCCTGGTTCACATAGTAAAGTCAAAGTACAGCAAGTGCGTATCATGTCATAGGGAGTACAGTACATACTCGGACGTAGGGTTGACTCTGGTATTCGATCATGTGGAGAAGTGAGCCTTCCTACGAACAGTTTTGAGACATCGTCCGCAATCTAAGACCATGCCGAGATTCCGTCTGGGAGACAACCCTGATATTTTCGCTTTGCAGGACCCTCATTCTGGCCTCTAAACTTTCCCCCTGAGTACTCACAGCCCCAAGTATGGAGAATTTGACGTCAAGATCAGACGGGTGTCAATATCGAGAGACTTGGTCATCGACAAATCTCGAGACCTATATCGGCCTTGATACTGCTTGCTGTCATGGGATTCGTCAGACCGACTATAGACCTCTAGAAGTCTATTCGGTTACTCTGTTCAACATGAGACGATAATATAGAGATCTTTGGTGAACGTCAGAATGAGCTTCCAAGTCACTTCGCAATAATGCTGCGATCAGAAGCCGTACATGTAGTATAAAGTGTGAGACTTACTGCTTCTTTTCATTCACAATCACAACACTTTCATTCCGGCTATTTAGATCCAACTTTCATTCACTTCCAAGTTCAACCACATTCACTTTTCACTCATTTGAATCCTACTTTCACAATGGTTTCTTTCAAGGTTTCCAACGTCCTTGCCCTCGCCGCCGCTGTGGCCGCCGCTCCCACTGAGCTCCTTCAGTCTCGTGCCACCGTGGCTCACGATTCCATCAGTCCTGTTGCCCAGAGGATTCAGACTGGCGGTCTCGGGAAGGTCATCGAGACCTTCAACCCACTCCTCCATATCGCTCATGGCTGCCAGCCATACCCCGCCGTTGCCGACAATGGTGACATTAGCGGCGGTCTCCAGGACACTGGCAGCGCGACTGGCGGCTGCCGCGACCAGAGCAAGGGTCAAACTTATGCTCGCGCCGGCACCGTCGACGGCAAGACGGTTATCATGTACTCTTGGTATTTCCCCAAGGATCAAACCACCAGTGGTGACGTCGCCGGAGGCCACCGTCACGACTGGGAGAACATTGTCATTCAGGTCGACGACCCAAACGCGGCCACTCCCAAGGTTACTGCTGGCGCCGCGTCCAGTCACAGCGGCTACAGCAAAGCCAACGGCGTTCCTCCCATGGAGGGCAACAGCCCCAAGGTCGAATACTTCACCACATTTCCTACCAACCACGAACTCCAGTTCACTCAGACCACGGGCAAAACCTACCCTGTCTCTGACTGGGATGCTCTGCCCGCCGCTGCCAAGACTGCTCTTCAGGATGCCGACTTTGGAAAGGCCAATGTTCCCTTCAAGGACGGCAGCTTCGAGAGTAAGGTCCGTGAAGCTTTGGCTTAAACGCTCAACACCTAACCGCGTATCAATGGCACGGCCACTTCTTTTTGAAATTCATAGGTGTAATCTTCATTGGTCGACCATTGTTGAAAGTTTGGGAGTTCCTATCTATATGTATTTCCTGCAGTTAGTCATTTTACTCTCTTATTCTTGAGCATATAACGGGTCTGAGCTATTTTTTTATCAATGTGTAAATTGTGACCCCATCTTGAATCTCATACTACTTCTTTGCCATCATTCATCTTAAATATCAGCCTGTGTTTCAACGCTAGAAACGTAAACATCGCCTCGCCCCAACTGCTTATCTAGCACTGGGTATTGCAGGCATTCAGATTTGTTACGCTGCTTTACTACCACATCTTATCAAAGCCGTAAGCGCGTTCTTTGACGTCGCAAGTGTGCAATCAATCGAAGCCGTTGATTTTGGTTCTCCAGAATGATGGGGATCAGCCAAACTTTAAATGTCTCAGTTGCGTAGTCGGATAGATTTGGTGTGCTTGAGACAGAACTTAGGCTGATCATTCGGGAGAGATCCACAAGCCACGTGGACAGTTATCAAAGACACGAATTCCATCAAACTATGTCGATCACTGCTCCTTCAGTGTGTTTTAATAAAAAGGCTTTTAAGATAAACAGCACACTGATCCCGCTGTTCTTGACTCCGATCAGAAACCTCATCGCTATAAACAAATGTCATTCCACGTGAAGGGTTTGTGATCTACTCGACATTTGTTTTAAGTTCATCTCATCTCAAACCTATTGTGCACACCGTAAAAACCCTATGCAAGAGAAGTCACGTAATTTCAATCGGAACATAGCTGCTGCCAGCTTTTCTAAATTCCTAGATAAAAGAATCGTTGTGATGGTGTAACTATGAACAAGGCTTGTTTAGTCACGTTCGGGTTACAGTCTGATTCTCAACCTTGAGGGGAGATTCTGGATGTTGTTGTAACAAACGAGTTTACTGTGCAGTCTAGGGAGAAATAATAAAAAAAGAAGACGCAAACAGAACGAACAACAAGTGCCAAAGTCTGGGTGAAAAAGGCGGTTGTCTGTCCTCGGCATCGCTTTAAAATCAACGGAACAAACAACCAACAGTCACATAGTGAGCCAATTTCGCTAGCCAAGGTGTGTAGCCGCCAGGACCCCGGCTGTTCTGGAGTTCAGGAGTGCGGCACAGAATGAAAAAGTGATGTACTGCACAGATTGCGTAAGTGAACGGCCAGGGGTTGTCCAAAACTTCCAACAGTATCTGGTCAGGCCCCAAGATTCCCGCAGCATATCTTCGCTTTGGACAACCTTCTCTGCTTTTGGTTTCGACAAACACCCACGGTACGACTGACTATAGTGGCACAGGCTGCCATCACGAACTTCTACACATCAGGACATTTTGAGTTTGCGAAAGGGAAAACCCCCATCGTCTGCAAGAGGTTCAAAGGGACGAACAGGATGATTAGCCTATGTGCTGCAAATAGTGTCAATCTTCGCTAGCCCGCGCTCTCGGGTTGTGGCCAAGCCCAGTTCTCGAGATGGCTATTACACTACCCATGCCATCCGCACGGATACGAGCAACCTTTCTTTCTGCATGCGTGTTACTTGGTGTTGTCTACGCAATATCTTGTTCCGTTCGACGTGGCCTACACACTCGTCGCCGCTGTCGGAGCGCCCTCCCCTGATTCATTCGCAGCCGACACCGAAACTCAACGAACAAGACGTGGCGGAATGGCAATCTAAGATCGACATCGTCATACAAGAGGCCAAAGAAGTCTTAGGGGACCCCATACAACCTCCGTACAAGGACAAATTTTATAAGCTTGGTCAACGAACTCGGGTTGCTCGCGAATGGGTAAAACTCATTGACAGCGTCCCCACGCCGGTGGAAAAACACGCGGTCCACGAAACCGTCGAAGAAGCCATCGGGTCACTATTCCCGTTCATCAAACATCTACCGAAACATTTGGATAGCAAGACGCCACTGGCTGATCTACGTTCCTCCTTTGTCCCAGGATCCCGTGGCATTGTTATTCCAACGGGAAAGAAGACAATGAGATATGCGTCCCATCTGATAGGGTCGCTCCTTGAGGTGCTGAAAACCGATCTCGCAATCCAAATCGTCTATGCTGGAGACGATGATCTCCCTGTAGAGGATCATGAAAAGCTTCACTCCCAATTTGTCAAGGTCGGGTTTCTGGATATCTTGACCTTGCCTGACGACTCAATTATGAAGCTCGCGAGTGGAGGATGAGCAATCAAAGCGTTTGCGGCTCTGTATTCCCCCTTTTAGGAGGTCATTCTGCTAGACGCTGACTCGGTCTTCGTGCAACTCCCCGAGAAGACACTCATTGACGCTTCCTATCTCCAAACCGGGGCATTTCTTTTCCACGACCGCTTGCTATGGCAGCACGCCTATCCAGATCGCCACGAATGGTGGAGGTCGCAGATCCGCGAGCCTAACGCAACGCTCAACAAATTCCTGGTCTGGACAGAGGACTACGCAGAAGAAGGCGATTCTGTCGTCGTTCTTGTCGATAAGTTACGGTTAGAAGTGCTGATGGGCTTGCTGCATGTTGCGTGGCAAAACACCTATGACGTGCGCGAAGAGATCACATACAAGGTTGCCTACGGCGATAAGGAGACGCGGTGGCTCGGCTTCGAGCTCTCCGGGTCTCCATATGCTTTTGAAATCCACTACGGCGCCATGGTAGGTTGGTTTCGGGACCAGGACCAGGACACGCAGAGAATCTGCAGTTTTGTGATTGGGCATGTGGATTTGAGGGTTGGTCTTATTTGGTACAACGGAGGGTTATTGAAGAACAAAAAGGTTGACCCGCATGGATTTGGTCTTCCAACTCATACCATGGTTGATGGTACCTGGGAGAAGGGTTCAAACAGGAAAGAGATGAGTTGCATGGTCGGCCACACAGGAAAGGAATTGCCGGAGGAACAACGGTGGATTTTAGAAAATTCCATTGCGTTAGCGAAGGAGTTGGACAGAGAGTTCAGATTCGACTCGTCTCACTATATTCAGAGCACCAAAAATAAGTTGTAATACAAAATAGTGTCTTGCCGTCACCGACTTTTTGTGTGCTCAGGTTTGGCTTATCATCATTTCTACTTTTCAACCACGATGCACTAAGGCTTTTAAGGTTTTTCATCAAGCACACCCTCCCGCAAAACAAACAAAATCGAATTGAATATATGAGTTGCGTTTTATTAATGACTAGCATGTACAAAACTACGATAACTGCGAAAGTAAATAACATGTGCGGCTACACCCTTGTCGTTACAAAGGCTAGCCCTTCCACTTTGCCTACTTGTGTATGGTATGAGCTTACCAAGGATACAGGCCTCTAAGAAGTATCTAAAAAGTCAGAGACCCGCCCTAACATCGCTATTTTAAGACTCCGGCTTGAGAGTGGTTTTGTTTTACCAAAGGTTGGTGCTTTCAGTGTACCCTCGCTCTGACTGGCCGTCGGACAGTAGCTAATCAAGAGAGACGCCGATATTTTTGCCTACTACATCCTCCAGAATACTGTAATTAGGATGCAGTTACCGTCAATGAAATTTCAATGAGGTGTTACTTTCTTAAACTGCGATCATTAATCCACCCGATAGCTAGGAGCGACCATGTCGTTCAGTGTTGGCATCTCATCGCGCCGTTCGGGTGGATGCGCGTAGTCGCTCAGAGCGAAATACAGTGACCTATCAGATGCCTGTCACTGTTGTTGTTTTCGTCTAGAAATCCAAGCCTGGCATTGCTCCTGAGACGACATCTATGGCAATGACCTCGTTCGAGGACACTGAACTTTGGCCGCGTTACGATGAACATTTACCCCTCACAAGAATAGGTTTGATGATAATCGAGCTGGGGGCAGATACTAGAGTGGCAGTGCCCTATTATCATGCATCGTCATTTCTCATTCACCCCTCTCTGGTGATAGGGATAAGTGACCAGCCAAGTTAATTAGAGCTAGCACAGCTAACACCATAGGATCTATGTACCATGACGCACTCCTTAAAGCAATATCAATGTAGACCTACACGTAGTTCGATGGCAATTACTGTCTTGGCTTTCTGCGTATACAACCTCCCCTCCACAGAGCTTGCAGAATAGCCAAAATACAAACACTTGGAAAACTCCTAGTGGTCCAGTCTCTCAAGAGCCAAATAATAGCCAACTTATGAACTCGCAAGCGCCATATGTGAACTCCACACCTCACGAAACCCCGGTTCAAATTCCATGCTGCAATATAAACACACAGTGACATACCTGTATCACAACACCCGGTTGGCTCCAATGGGCCCGCCTTGGCACTCTGCTCAATATCGAGCTTCCCCAAAACCCGCATCGGGCTGCCACCAATTGCCTATTACGACCTTCTCCTCACCAGAACCGAGAGCCGGGCTTCACATCTCGATGAGTTAGGAAACAGGCTAAACCACCCCGCAAATCGGTAGTTGTCGCTGCCCACGTACGGCGGTTTGACTACCTGGCCCACGTAGGCTAAAGCAACGTTTCTGGGAGAAGTTGAGAATCGGCCTTATGCGATGGTTGATTTTCCATAAGTCTAGGAATGGGCTCGTATGAGTATATAAGTCCCTGGTATCAACCTTTGAAGCGACAATATCATTAACCTCGACATCAAAGCCTCCAACAACCACCCAAGCCAAAGAGAGTAAAACACGCCCGACACCATGAAGTCTCTCGTCGTCGCAACCGCCATCTCTGGCGCCCTGGCCTCCCTCAACTGCACGGCCACGGCCGAGATCAAGACCTACTGCTGCCCCGACACGAAGTCCGAGGTCGTCAAGACGGGCCCCGCCGGCGCCCTCATCATGATGGGCTGCGCCGCCGACAACACCAACAAGTACGTCCCAGCCCCGTTTAGCCACTCGATGGTAGGTTTTGCTGCTGACAGAAATCCAAGGAACTGGTACTGGAACTACAACGGCCTGTACACGCCGTACTCAACGCAGTTCAAAGAGTGCTACCTCAATACCATACCCTTCAACGACCTCAAGGGTAAGTCGGGACAGCAACATGGGCGGCGATGCTCCGCTGCCCTCGTGTTCGGTCTTTACTGACAAGTCATACTCCTAGTCCTACCCGACTGCAAGGACGACACCTACGTCCTCGACCTCACCCGCGGCAAGTCCGGGCCCCTCGACAAGTGCAACCCCAACTGCGTCTCGCAGAACAAGTTCCCCGCCAACACCTACTTCGGTGACCGGCAGAAGGAGACCAACATGGCGGCCAACTTCCCCCGGCCCAACCCCAACCCGGGCTGGCCGTGGGGGCGCAGGGAGCGCTGGGTCTAAGGCTGGCGCCCTGGAGCAGGGTATCTGACCGAGCACGGCTTGTCCCTGTTTAGACAGGAACTCGGAGGACATGGGGTATGGGACGACTGGGTCAACGACAAGAAATGTAGAGCTAAAAACTATCAATTATAGTCGATCCCGCAGCCTCATCCTGCTTGCTGATCCTAGTAAAGTGATGCCAAATTAATGGAGAATAACCACGTCAAAAAAAAGCCGGCCGTGCCTCCGGAAGAGGTTAACATACGCAAAGGTATCAAAGTGCGCGAAAAAGAAAAACCCGAAAACGAAAGAAACAGCAACCCAGCCGGCATGGCTCATCAATGTGCAGTCGAACTCTCGCCTCCCCCGTGATGACCCGGCTTCAGCATCTTCTTCAAGCTGCTCGGGTCCTCCAATGCGTCCAGCGCCTTCTGCGTCGTGCTTTTGACCGGCGGGCCGTCCTCGCCCCTCTCGTCCATGTGCTGCAGCGCGCTCTCGGTCGAGCTCAGGGAGCTTGAGCTCGGGCTCCGGGCGAGCACCATGTTGACCATCCTGCCCTCCTTCTTCTTGGCCTCCACCTGCTCCTTCTTGAGCTTCTGCAGCTCCTCGTCCTCGCAGTGCATGGCCACGATGCCCAGCCCGGGGAAGTTTGCTTGCAGGAATTCTTTGAGCTTGGGGAGGACGGACTTGTCCGGCCTGTACGTGCCAGAGTCATTGTCGATAAAGAGTTGGTAGTACGACGGGTTGTGGGGAGGGTGGCCGTTCGGCGGACCACCAGAGAGCTCCTCGGACGGGTGCGTCTTCTCGTTGGGCTCCGGGTCATCTGACGCGTCGGGCTTCTCGAGGCGGCGGATGAAAAACTCGCCCGAGCAGGCAATGTAGGTCTCGACGTCGCTGTGCATGGTGTGTTTGCTCAACATGTCGATGCTGAACTCCTTTCCAGTCTCGGTGAAGCGGAACACGCCGTCGAGCGTCAGTACGTAGGTGAATATCCGGCCGCCCTCGTCAAAGTGCGCCAGCTTGAGGAATTGCAGGGAGGCCTCTTCTGAGCGGGCCTTGAAGACGCCGTACTCGGTCGAGCTGTCAAAGTTGTAGACCCTGCTGTGTTGCTTGTGCAGCGCCTTGTTGAGAATCTTGCCTCGCAAGCCGCTCTTCGCAAACATCAGTCCGATCATCGGCCTGAACTCAACGTAGCGGTGGTACAGCTCGGAAGGCACTGGTCCCGAAAGCTGCATTTCGTTGGATTGGAAGCTGCGAGTTGTGTTAGTGGGAGGGTGTACTGGGCCCAGTGCGGTGTACTTACTCATATTTTTGCGTCTTCTTGTTGTCCTTGTCCTTGTCCTTGTCCTTGTCCTGGGGTTCATCGACCGCGTCTGAACGGGCATCGGCCTCTTCTTCCATGTTCACCTTGATTCCAGTAAGGCGTCCAATCATGGGACTGAAGTGCTTAAAGTACGAGGTAGGCCCGATGGTGCACATCTGCGCATATGGCGGGTCCGACTTCCCCAGGACCTCCATGCTGATCCATAATCTGGGCGACATGTCCGTCCGCGGGTCGAAATGACTGGTGATGGCCTTGACAAAGTACGCTCGCTTGCTACCCATGCGCTTCTTGGCCACGAACTCGTGACCTGGCTGCGGGTACCCTTCCCAGTCCTCGCCGACGTAGGGCACTTTGACGGTGACGTTGCCGAGGCGGTCATCGTGGTCGGGCCAGTCCTCGTCGTAAAGGCGGCATTTGAGAATGAAGCCTCCCGCCGGGATGTTGGCAACAACCCACTCGTCATTCCACACGGGCTCCGTAGTCCGCCTCTTGGTCTCTGTACGATGAACGAGATCGGGGTCCTCCTTGTGGCGCTTTGGCACCGCCGCTCTGAGGGTGGCGTGGATGAAGGGATCAGATGACCTGGTGCCGATGTCCGCCGCAGGAAGGTTGCTTGCTCGATGGAAGATGATTCTCACGGTGTAGCCCGGAGGCGCATCGGGCAGAGGCGTCGTGTCGAAGCCGCCGGAAGGCTTCGACGTCTTGTCCTTGACCTTTTCCTTGCCCTCGACATACAACCCCTTAATGTCGCCGGAATGGTGGTGCGGCTTCTGGTCGGGTGGCTTGTGACCGTTAGCTTCCGGGTTCTGCACGCCCTCGATCTTGTTCTCGAGAGCCCCCTCCTTGTTCTGCTGCGAGTCATCCCCGTTGGTTGATGGCCCACCATTTGATGATGGGACGGCGCCCTCAGTGACCTGGCTCTCGGCTGTTGCGCCATGAGGCGAGTGGCCGTTCAGTGCAGAGCCATTTACGGCATCGTCGTTGGTTTCCGGCGAATCCGAGGGACTGCTGGTTAGATGGGAATTGGCCAATGTGCCGTCATTCGCGATCCCGTTGGCTGCATGGCCATTGACGCTTCCGCTGGACTCAACGGTCGTCGTCGGCGGGGCGGCAGAAGGTTGAGCTGGAGGCGCCGTCGCCGTGGAGATGGGGGCGGCGGCGGCAGCGTTCGAGGAGTCGTCTGCGGAATGTGGATGCCCGTTGGGTCTTGGGTCATCTGCGGTCGACATCTCTGCGGAATAGACTGCAGCGTCGTGACGCAGAAATGCTTTGCTTGGGTGGTGTCGATGAGCGGGACTCTACGGCAGGGTGGCTGATGTCGCTTGCAAGTTGGTGGAAGGGCCCGATCGATTGGCCAGAGGCGTGTAAGAAAGCCCCGTTAAGATGGACCGGATTGGCGAGGTAGGCCGGTAAAGATAGAGTAAAGCAGATAGCGGCCTGTCAGAAACCCTGCAGCGCTGTTGTGGCCGTTGCCAAGACCCAGATTTTGGACTCTCTAAGCTGTCGATCACTTTGGAGGGGCACCTTGCTGGGCTGAGCCGAGGTTTTGGGCGCAGTGCGCAGTGGTGTCTGCGGGTGGGTCACAAAAAGCTTGGCAGTTGGTCCGTGACTGCCACCGGAGAGAAAAGAAGCTTTTGTTTGGCGGGTGAATCGCTCGGGTGTTGGCTGATGAGCGGACGGGCTGAATTGATGGGCGGGTGGCTGATGCTCATGCGAACCGGGCGTCGTCGGCCTGGATGAGTTGCTGTATTAAGGTAGGATAGATGGAACAGGATCGTGTTCGAGGGGTGAGCAAGGTACAGCATGTATGTTTTTAGAAAAAAAATGGTAGAATAATGGGAGAAAAGAGAGAGCGAAGGGCTCTTCAGAGGTTGAAATGGGGAGGTAGCCGGATGAGGGACGGGGGGGGGCTGGGGGGCTTAGAGAGTCACGAAAGAAAGAGAGAAGGGGAGGGGGGGAGGGGTCCGAGATGCGAGATGATCACAGGCTTGCAGGCTCACAACAGGCTCGGCCAGGTTTGGAAGAAAAAAAAAGGGCCCTGCAGAAAAAATCGACGCTCCGATCAACAAAGCGTCGCAAGCAACCACGAGCTGGTGCCGGCCCCTGACGTCACAACCCGATCAACCTGTGGCCAGCTTGGGCGCAAGGTGCGGCTAATGGGTGCCGAGAAGCCAGGGTTGGCTTGCCAGCTGGTGCCAGCATCAGCCAATGCGACATGGCAGGCCCTCCGAGGTCGACACGGTCTGAGCAAAGCTCCTTGCTTGGCCGAATCTTACAGGTCATAGCCGGCTGCCGTGTCGCCCGGCAGCTCACTGTTTCACCATCACGAGCCTTTCCAACTTTCCACAGTTGCAGACATGCGAGAACGATATTCAGTACGTAAAGATGCGTCAAAATCCTAATGTGGGGGGGACAATGGCGTCAACCTAAGGTACCTTAGGCTGAGGACTAGACTCTCACAGGGATGCCGGGTTCCCGGCCATTGTCTCTGCCCTGCCAAGCCTGGCACATTGAGTGGGTAGCTGATTTTCGCACTGACATTAGGTAGTGCATCCGCCCTCCGCTCCGTTGGCCTCGGAGGGGCTCCACTGAAATTCGGACGCATCCATCCGACCCGGTCCGGAAGCTGTCTTGGGTCGGCCAACGACAAGCCATCATGTAGGTGCACCTCTATCGAACCATATTTATCAGTTCGCCTGTGAAAAAGTGGTATCTACTCGAGCTCCTCGGTCAAGAATTCAGCGAGGGCTAGGTGGTTACCGATACTGTTTTAGATGCACTGAGCACAATACGGTATAATGCCATTTGCGTCCTATGACCTGCCTTGCCAATATGCTCGTCCCACTGGAAAATTCTACTTGGACAATCTTTCGTTGTCTGACAAGGGGAACGGACAAACATACCCAGGCCAACAAGGCACATGGGGTCTGCTCATCGAATGGTTTGATTAGCCTTTATCGTCCAGGTGTGGACTCACTGTCTGGATATAACATAGATTTGGAGTGTTTGTGCAGCATGCATTATTCCGTCAGATATCCATTCTATCAACTTCAATCCTTCCGTCTGATTCCTCATGACTGCTGATTCTAGGTAGCTTCCGTCCCAGCTTTCCTATGCAGATCTTCATGGTTGTTGGTTCTTAAGAGCTTTCGTCCCAGCTGTCTTGTTCAAAACTTCATGACGGCTTGTTCTCAGTAGTTCCCATCTCGACCGTCTCGTTCTCGTCTGTATGACTGCTTGTCCTAAAAGGCTTTCTCTCGAAGTGCCCGTCCCAGTCCCAATAAATGATTTCCCTTGGTAGTTCCCGCCTAAACTGTCACTGCTACCTAGAACTGTTGGCTATCAGTAGTTCCCGCCTCGTCTTAGACAATGCCCGTGGCTTATGGACGCGCCCACCTGGAGAGCGACTAAGCCGGCCTGTGCTTCACGACAGCTTCACAAACGAGGACTACCAGGAAGGCCTTCTTCACCTTCTACTCCTTCTGCTTGACAATATGTACCCGTGGCTTATAGACCCGCTTGGAGGGCGACTAAGCCGGCTTGTGCTCCACGACAGCTTCACGGACGGGGACCACAAGACAGGGCCTCTTCACCTCCTACTCTATCTGCTTCTCCTTATTCTTTCTCTTCTTCTCACCACTATCAGCTTCACTCAACCAACCCACCTCCTTTGTCGTCGTCTTCAGGCTGAAGAGATCGACGACAAAGGTGAATAAGATGGAGAACTCAGGTAAGTTTGTCAACCTTTCCCCTGTTGCTTCGAGATGTTTCTTCTCGTTCATGAAATATTTTCGAGGATGTCGGTCTTGGAGGACGTCGTCTTCGAGGACCGCGAGAAGGCTCAAGGTCTTCTCAATTTGTCCACCATCGACCCCCTTAGTACTATAGTACTGTTCTTGTCATCCGGGTTTACTCGGATACACCACCTCTATTGGTGGTGGATCTTGACTACAGGTTGGCTCCATGGCAATATCAAGTACTGACTATATTAACAGAGCATTCAGAGCTCTATGAGCAAGATCCCCAGCAGATCAGAGTCACTGATCAGTATATCTCGTACGTATCCCTTCCACATCTTTCATGATGAGCTAGACTGATGCAAGGAACATAGCTCACACGAAGGCTATTCTCTCATCGGCCCCTCGGAAGGCCGTGATGTCTTCCAGCATGGTGAGAGGGTTCATTACCCTCACAACACCACCCAGCCGCGCCCGGAGGCTATCTTTACAAACATGAACCGCGCCTACTCCCATCCCAGCAACTATTTCGTTCCCAACGGTGGCAATCAGTCTGTCCAGCATGGCATGCCAGAGAGATACAATCCGTTCAACTTCTATGGATATGACTCTACCACTCAAGGCTCGGATCCGACTTCGAGTTCTCCCAGCACTCGCATTCCAGACAATCTAATCAACTCGTTTTTGCCTGCTCAGGACGACCACAGTGCTTCGATTCCTCAACAGCTCTCGGCCCCGATGAATGCGTTCGCTGCTTCCACCGCATACAATAACCCTACGCCTGTCAACCGTATGCCCTCTTTCAACTCGTATGGTCAGGGTATGCCTCCTGGCTTCACCGCACCTTCTGTCTTCGCTCCGTTTCCTGTCAATCCGCCCCCGGCCGGTGTCAACAGCCCATTCCGTTACCATACAGCGCCTAAGAACCAGGTCGCACCCTTCGCCCGGATGGTTCCCTCTTCGCCTAGCGTTCCGCCTATGTACTCCGCTCCCGCCGCTGCCACCAATGTGGCTGCCCCGAACATCGTCAACGACTATGACAGTGACGCCGACGCTGAAGGCGAAGACGACGAGGAATACGTCAACACCGGCACGAACGAAGTTGTCGATGGTGACGAGGAGGAAGACGATGACGAAGAAGCGGGAGACGAAGAGTATCAGGAGGAGGAAGAGGACGAGGAGGATGATGCTGATGATGAAGAGGACACCCCAGGCTTGCCCAGAGTCCGCGCCCTTCAGCTTGATCCTGGCCTCCCTTTCACCAACGCCCAGGGCAAAAGCCGCTGGCCGTGCAACCAGTGCGGCCGCCACTGGTCGCGAAAGGACGAGACGCGCCTCCACCTGCGCAAGGAGCATTACCCCGTCCACTACCCCAACGGCTTCGTGTACGAGAAGGGCTTGGAGCAGGCCAGAATGGACTGCCCTGAACAGTCGACTTTGGTTCGGTTTAATCCGCCGGCGTCCGGTGTCCCCAAGACGGGAGGATTTGGTTTTACTCGGTGGTTTTGGTTCCGCTTCACTCTTGAGAATAGGAAATACCGTCTTGCTTTTGCTCTTGACCCCTTTGCATCTTGTGATGCGTGTTAACGGGCCGCTACGGCTCGTCTTACTTCATTTGACGTCATCCAAGCGGTACTGGAGCATCTTTCTTATGCTGAGAGCACGAGGTTGACGACAATGCGTAAGTAAGAAACGGTATACACTGCTACTTCAGCAAATCCGGTCTCTATTCAAACAGCTAATGCATCCTACAAGTTCGCACAGAGGCATCAGAAGCCAGAAATCAAGAGTTTGTAATCACTTATACCTCCAGCTGGTCATAGTACCGGCTAAGAAGCCTGTTAATGATGGTGATGAAAACGGGATCGAGACAGAAAAGAAGACATAGTGGTAAGGAAGCAGCATGGATTCTACTATTAATCCAGACATGAGGAGAGTGCAAACGGCAATGAAAAGCAAAATGTGACACATTCGTGATGGTCAAGAATGAAAAACACATATAGAAGCAAATTCATCATTTGCAAAGACGGACATCAACCAGCGGAAGGGTCGTCAGTCCTGATATCGGAGTATAGTTGTGAGGCACACCTCAACCAATCCCTATAGCCTGATTCGGAAACTTGCAAGTGGTGATATTTGGTGAACCTGAATGGCCCTTTAAAGAGGCTGGGGTTCAAACCGCGGTCAGCCGCAACAACCTAACGGTGCCACACCACTTCTCATTAGAAAATGTCTCCACCGAATGAGTCATCTCGACTCTAAAACCAGCCGACTTGAAGATAACTTGTGACCTTCAAAAAGCCGCAATACTTTACTTGGAACGGCCGTGCATCACTCTTCGTCTCTCCTGTACTCAGCACATCTGTGTATTTAGCAGCCAAGTAAGCAAGAGCATTTGCAACACAAACGTCAACATGGCAACCACAACCACCTCCATCGTCGTCGCGTCCAAAAACCCCACCAAGATCCGGGCAGCACAACTCGGCTTCGACTCAGCCATGCCGGGCTCCTACGATGTCCGCGGAGTCAGCATTCCATCCGGCGTCCCCGACCAGCCCCTGACAGACGAAGAGACGCTCCGCGGGGCTCTCAACAGGGCGCGCGGTGCGCGAGAGAGCGAGAAGGACGCAGAGTACTGGGTTGGGATCGAGGGCGGCATCGACATGTCGGACAAGCAGGACGGGCCGATCATGAACTTTGCCTGGATCGTGGTTCTTGACCGCCAGGGCCGCGTGGGCAAAGCGCGCACGGCGGCGTATTACCTCCCCGAGGAGACGGCCGCTTACCTGCGCCGGGGGATGGAGCTGGGGGACGCGGACAACCTTGTCTTCGGACAGACGAACACGAAGAGCAGCAGAGGGTCGGTCGGGCTGTTGACTGACGACGTCATCGACCGGACCGCGTACTATCACCACGCCGTCATCCTGGCTCTGATTCCGTTCAAGAACACGAAATTGACATTTGTGTAATACGATTTGACAGGCTATGAGTGTTTGATCTTAAGAGTTGTCACAGTTGGGAAGCCGGTGGCTTCAAATACTCACAAAGTCAAGCCAATGACTGCAGCAACGTCGCATTCGAACACGATGACTTGGCCATCATATGTGAGGTCTTCAGCATTGGGTTGATGTGAAACTCAAGAACCTGGGCAAACTGTGTCGTGCATTGGCGCCGGGATATGGCAAAAGAGAGGCATATACATGACGGGAATGCAAGAGGGTACATCTGAGGATCCCAAGGCATAAGGAAACTGGACCAGTGCTTGATAACTCCTTCGATACCTGTCCTACCCACACCACAAGGATCTCTGAGTGCGGTGGTCAGCTTCAGGTTGGTTCTAGTATCCGGTCAGGGGCCGAGGTGGAGTGGGAAGGAAATCAAAGTTAAGGGGTAGCACCATGCACGGGCCAGGGATCCCACAGGGCTGGGCGTCGCCTGGGAAAGCCCGCTAGCTGCACTGAACCGGCCGATGGCAGCGTCCGAACGAACTGAAGGGAATTTCCCCCCATCAAAGTGGGAATCCCATAATAGTGTGAGGGACCACGGCCAGCATCTCACCAGCGCGCCGGGACACATGCGAACAAGTGGCGCTGCGCGGATTCAGCGGCGACGGGATTGGCGGCGTAGCCAAATAGCCTCGTCTGATGACCCCTGTAGCGTGGGCCGACGCCAAATTATCCCCCCGTCCCTCCTCCGCCCGCGCCCCTCGCCTTCTTCCGCTCTTGGTGCAGCGTCACAGTGTGTGAGGGTGGTGTATCGGCGCGCATCTGCTCGGTCTTGGGGGGGTTTCTGTCCCCGGGAAACTAAATAAAAAAAAAGCTGCTGGTCGCGAATAAGGCGAACAATTCGTCCGAAATTCGATCCCTCCTTGAAGGAGGTTCGTCTCACTCCTTTTCATCTTCGGGTGTCTTTACACCCAACCCATCCTTCTTTCTTTCTTACCTCCAGCATTCTTTGCACAGAAAGCAGCCATACTCCCCACCAACCATGGCGCGAAGACAACACCTCACGTTAATGGTGCTGCTGGCCGTCGTGGCCTTCTTTAGCATCTCGTACCTCTTCTCGAGCGGCACCAGCGAACTCTCGTCGCCCGCGCCACCCGCCGCCGTCGCCCCGGCCAAGGGCGACTCTTCCTCGAGCGCCGACATGCCCGACCTGGGCCACATCTCCAGCAGCATTCTCTCCGGCGAATCCATCGCCCCGAAGCTCGAGAATGCGACGGCTAAGTAAGCTTTCCTCCCCACCCCCACTCCTCCCGAAGGCCGTGGTCCGCATGCACCGACAGCCCGCCTCCGGACCAGATCCCTGGGTCGCGGTGCTGGACACGACGAGGCCACAAGGGTTGCTTTTAAACACTTGCAACTAACCACACACTCCCCTCCCGCAGAGCCGAGCTCGGCCGTGCCTCGTGGAAGCTCTTCCACACGATGATGGCCCGCTTCCCCGAGAAGCCCACCCCCGACGACAGCCTCGCCCTCAAGACGTATATCCAGCTCTTTGCCCGCCTCTACCCGTGCGGCGACTGCGCCTCGCACTTCCGCACCCTGCTGGCAAAGTACCCGCCCCAGACGAGCAGCCGCAACGCCGCCGCCGGATGGGCCTGCTTCGTCCACAACGAGGTCAACACGCGCCTGAAGAAGGAGCAGTTTGACTGCAACAAGATTGGCGACTTTTACGACTGCGGGTGCGGCGACGAGGACAAGAAGAAGAAGGAGGGCGAGGAGAAGCCGAGCTTGGAGCTCGAGAAGGACGGGTAGGTCGCCCATGCTCTCGGTGTGCAGTGAACGGGCTGTGACGCTGACATTTGATAGTCTGTCCAAGGGGGGTTGAGCTACTGACATGCCGGGCCAAATGATGAGCGTATTCGGACATTCTGGACATAACAGCGTTGTAACATACCACACATCTCTGAGACTTGTATAAAGGCGGCGTTGATCTTTGGGCCGGCGTTGTGGATAACGACCGGGCCCGGCAACCCGGACATGGCGGAACATTGATATCCGGATAGACTGCATTCGCGACGGCATTGCACCGGGTATGGGAGGCTCCGGCAGAAGCTCCAGGGCCCCCATGACCGGATTGTTCCTTCCTACGATGCAATACTCTCGATTTGACGCTTGATATCTCTAATCTAAAAGCTCACGTGGGGATCTGTTCACATGTGGGGAGGGCACCTCCTAATCCTGACTGACGATGACATGCCACTACGCCGTGCTGGTAATTCCGGCCCCCCGGCTAATGTAGAGGCACAATTACTCTTGAACTTGACTTGCCGTGTTCATCCAAATATTTCATTTGGCACTCGCGTGTCACTATGCTGCAGCTATCAAGGCCCGACGCTCCCTCCTTGTCTTATGTAATCCATAGTCACGTGACTAGTGTGGTCAGTGTTTCCGGGGCGGGCAAGGCCAACGCGTTCTGGAGCTGCCTGAGCTTCGTCGAGCTCCAGCCTTTCCCTCAGCAACCGACCGCCTGCCGCCGCCTTCCCACCGACGACACATCAAACGAACCCCCCACCATTCGACCGCCGAATTTCACCTTTGATTCTCTCAACCCCGAAGAACAAACACCCCGATTAATCAACAGACAAAACTCACACGCAAGCAAACATGGAGTTCACCACCACCGGAATGCTGAACGAAGGTACGACTGCTGTCTTGCCGGGAGAGCTCGATGATGCATTGAGCGGGACCGGAGGCACATGGGCACACAGCAGGGAGCATTGTCAGCTAACCTTTGCGGGCGGATAGACGGCATTCACGTCGACATGGAGAGATTAAAGAAGGGCGAGGTCAAGTGAGTGATGGCCCGGCATGTCTTGTCCTCTTGAAAGCCGAAGCTAATGACGTTCGCAGCCTCGGAACCTCGATGTAAGCTCTACCCCTCGGTGACCCGCCTTGCGAATCCCGTCTTCGACGCAACTGACACCCACGACAGTATGGCAGTCACCTTCAAGGACGGAGTTATTCTCGGTACGTCTTGCTCACCCCCCTCGATGCGATAGGCTGCGGCCGCCGAGCCAAAAGTTGGGTGCGCATATGCCGGGGACAATTGCTGACGTTCGACAACCATCCAGGTGCCGACTCCCGGACAACGACGGGCGCCTACATTGCCAACCGCGTCACCGACAAGCTCACACAAGTCCACGACACCATCTGGTGCTGCCGGTCAGGCTCCGCCGCCGATACCCAGGCCGTCGCCGACATTGTCCAGTACCAGCTGGGCCTGTATGCCATGCGCAACGGCAAGCCCCCGATGACGCAAACCGCTGCCGCCATCTTCCAAGAGGTCTGCTACGCCAACAAGGACCGCCTGACGTGAGTTTGCCCCGCCATCTCTCCCCTCTCCCCCTTGCTCTCCGGTTCCCGTGACTCTTGTCGACGTTTGCTAACATCTTCCTCAAGCGCCGGCCTCATCATTGCCGGCTGGGACGAGCGCCACGGCGGCCAGGTCTACTCGATCCCCCTCGGCGGCTCCCTACACAAGCAGTCATACGCCATTGGCGGTTCCGGCTCCACCTACATCTACGGATACTGCGACGAGCACTGGAAGGAGGGTATGGAGGAGAAGGATGCAGTCGAGTTCGTCAAGGGATCGCTCAAGGAGGCCATCAAGTGGGACGGCAGCTCCGGCGGTGTCATCCGCATGGTCGTCCTGACCGCCAAGGGCGCCCAGAGGCATCTGTACCTCCCCGACGAGGACTACACGGTGAAGCACTAGAGAGAGAGAGAATTTGTGTGTGAAGGGAAGAAGAGAGGGTCGGAGACGGCCCGTAGGGGAAGCAATGAGTCGCCCGGATGGCTCGCCGTCAAGGGGGCGACACATCACACAGGCTGGTCGCCATAAGTTACGGACGAGCCTCGAAGGGCATTCATGCCGAGGCGACGACACACCTTGGACTTGGCGAACGAACAGTGAATGTACAATGTACAATAAAATAGATGACCCGCAAGACGAGAAATTCCTGACAAAGAGCATGCGTGGGAGACGATCTCGTTGCTGCCCTCCCCTCGGCGAGATGTACCACGGTGAGATAAGGACCGACGGCTCGCGTGGTCAAGATGCGACAGGCGCTGCGCTGCGACGTGACGCCAGGCCCATGTGCCCGGAGCCCTGTCCCCGGTCCCGAACGACAAGCCGCCGGGCACGCGAGCGCTGCCACCCGTATGCACGATGCAGGGAGGAGGTGAAATAAGCGTCCGCCGCCGCCGTGTCCCCCAAACATGCCATGGCCTGGCTTGGGGAGCGAGGCAAACCTCGGATTCGGAGGCGGTGAAGGGGGAGGGGATCTAGCGCGGCTCGGCTCTGCGAGTGACGAGGAGCGGGAGCGAATCAGGGGCGGTGCGGGGAGGAGGAAGTGATCTTTCCGGGCCTTTGACGCAAAGTGTCTGCTCGTGGTCACGGTTCGCTGGGGGTGGAAGGGGAAAAAAAAAAAGAAAGAAAAAAAGTAACGTCCCAGGTGGCACGCCGGCCAGGAGCGCACGCCATCCGGGACCAAGATCTCACCAGTCTCTGGCCATCTGTTGACAAAGAGGCACTCCGCTCCTGGGGGCCAGGTATCTACCGGTACCTACTCTCAGTCAGGGCTGGTTGTCCATCATGGTTCGGAGCAACCATCTCGAAACTACGGCGAGGGTTGGGCAACCAACGAAGGCGCGGCCGATCGCATGCCACTGGGGCCCGTCGGTAACGATTTAGGACAAGCCATGGAACGGCGGTGGAGCGAAACGTGGGACGGGCTGTTGGAGATGCGGCGTGCCACGATGCCTCTAGCACCTATCGATTGCGCGGCAGGGCTTGCCCTATAGCATGAGTGGCTTCACTCTCTCTCTCTCTCGAGTGGGAGGGATTGCGGTGAAGGTACAGAGTAAGCTCGCACAACATACAGATTAGCAAGATTAGATTGGGGGTCCACATGTAAACTGCTAGAGTTGCACCCAAGGATCGAAGCCCTCGTGCCGGAGGGGAAGCCGGGCATTGGCCGGGTGCTATCCATGCCGGCCGGGGGTGATGGGGAAAGAAAGGGGGGCAGAGAGCATGGGGTCGATTGTAGTGGTTGGGACTTGGGGGTTTGCTAAAAGCTGGGCGCGGGATGGGTTGGACGGCTCGATGATGAAAGCTTGTTTTTTTTTTGTTGCCCCTTTTGGCCCGTTGGTAGCCAGTGATGAGGTCAGCGCGGAGGAGGATAGCGGGAGCGCAAGCTGCATGATTCGAGCGCGAGGCCAGTTCGGTGTGTGCCTCTTGGGCTGTGGCAGACGACAGACCAGAAAGGTTGCCCCCCCATTGCCGGTGATGCCACGAGCCGGTGGCCGTCTAGTTCGTCCAAAGTAGACGTCCGACTTGCGTCCTGATACACGGTTGTGATGGGCGCGGCGAGGGTTGCGCGGGTACCTGACGCGCATCCGGGACCGGGAGACGGGCTGACTCTAGTTCCCAACTCCCGAATAGACCGGCTGGCAAGCTTTCCCATCTGACCCGTGTCCTGTTTGCTGATGGGGAAGGCTGGGCGAGTTGCAACATCAAGCAGGACGGTAAAAGGGGGGAAAGATGGGGAAAGAGCGTGGCTGAATACAGCATACGAAGTCAGAAGACGATATTGCTTGATTTGGACGGAAGTGAGGTCCAGATTCGGCCGAGGGGCGGCGGTGCGGCAGGGGTGACTGGGGTAGAAGGTCGTACTGTACATAGAAGGCAATGCAAGTAAGTGGCCAGTGTGTTCTCGTGTGTTCGCTGTACGTAAACGCATCGTACCAGAGGACGCAAATAGGAGAAGCTTGTTAATTGTTCCGAGATCCATCTCGGCCATCGTGAATGTTGCATGCCGCAGTGTTTCGGTGGAGTATCTCGGATATTCAAAGGTGGCTTGCAAGTACTTGGCCTGTGGCCTGTGGCCATACCAATACCTAGCCGCATTGGCGGCAGGCAATTGGCGGATGGATTTACGATGCTCTGCTGGGCTGGGCGCTGTGAGAAAGGGAGGTGGCAGGGCGCCTGCTGGCGGGGAAGAAGCTGGAAACGCCAGGGTACGTACCTTATCCGATAACCTCCCCAAAGTCAAGGCTTCCCTGCCACGCTAAGATGACCCCTGCTCATCAAGCGTGTCTTATCAGCTTTATCGCTTATCGGCGCAGCCAGTGAGAGGGCGAGATGAACACACCCTCACCTCCCGGCGGGCGTGGATGGGTCGTCTCTGGCTATGGCTTCCGCGGCGTGCCAGCCAGCCCACTACCTACACCACCCAGTGGCCTGTTTTATTCCCGTGTTTCGTCGAAGCGCTGGGTCGGGTTGCTTTTTCGTACCAAGATAAACTAGATTTCTCGGTCTCTGAACCCTTGGATTCGGTATGTTGCAATCGCGCGTCCGCCTTGGAAATTGGACTGCAGCCCGTTACGATGTGTCGGGATGGCCGCTCGCGCATCTCCGGGACTTTACACTTTGGTGTCCCTTGTCGACCCCCCTCAGTCCCCGTAGTGTGGGTTATGGTTTTTCTATGCAGAGGTTCTGACTCTTTCGCTTGGACGTTCAGCGCGCCGTCAGCCTCAGTGAGGACGCGGAGGATGCAGGCCGCCGCACGGGTGTAGGTAGGCCTGGGGAAAGCAAAGCCCACGACCAGCGTCAGTCCGCATGTCCTCCGTTTGGGCAGCGTCGTGAACGTCCCGCGTTGGCAACAGAACGGGGAAACAAGGTCCAGGGTCGACGGGGTTGCGGCTTGGGAGGAGCGCAATCTAAGCAGCTTGATACATAGTATGTCCTTTCGAGAGCTCTGGCCCCAATAAGGATAAGAGGGTTGTTAAGAACCTCGGCGCGAAAGCCATAGTACGGAACTGCCAGTGTATTATGATATGTGCTATAGAGCACCGGTCGGGGACGCAACGAGGCTGTGCTGGATTCGGTTGGGCCCGCCTGCTGGGAACCGGGCGTCGTGAATGGGAAGAAGGCAGGCACGTAGGTCGTGGCAGAGACAGGGAACCGGGAGCGGGCTGCAGCCACTTTGGACTTGCAACGATGGCACGAGCAGATTCGGGAGGACGAGGAGGGAAAAAGGACCCTTGAATTTCGTGGGCGGAAGGTGTTGCTGTTGCGGGAGCTCTGAGTGGCTGGTGTGCTCGACGGGGACGGTTGACTAGCGCGTGTTTATGTCATCACATGTTTCGGGTGGCTCCTCACCTTTTTCGCCATCCCGCCACAAGACATGGGGGAGAGGGAGAGAGAAAGAGACAGCTCAGCAAAGGGCGATCAACATGACTAGATGCCATTCAGTCACTGACGGTCGTTGGTTTCAACCCACCGGGATACGCATGAAAGTCCAGGTATCCAGTAGCATCCGGTCGAGAGAGTCACAGACGACGCAGAGCAGAACGGCCGCAAGGCCAAAGCAACATCTGGAACACGTGAATGAAGAGCAGCTGGACGACGAGAACACGTTGACAGGGCAGTTTGCACCGCGGCGGGTGTCCTGCGCGTGCATCAGAGTCGCTGCACAGCACAGAAGCTCGAACCCGTCAGCGGCCACGGAAACAAACGGTCGTCTCGGTCCCTTGGAAACCAGTCGTGTTGACTTGCGTTTGTGCCGTCATCTGGCGGTGCGGCTGCACATCAACAGCAAGGTGCTTTACCCAGACGAGCCGTTTCGTGGACATCTTTTCGCCATCTACCTCATCCGTCTCCACCAGACCGCCAATCTCAAGCAGGGTCCCCTGAAGCCAGTCACTCCTCGCCTTGCTCACTTGCTCGTTCGCCCACTCATTCGCTCCAAGGCTCGAGCAACTCTGTCTGCTCGGAATGTACCATCCTCTCTCTACCGGGTGCACTTAACTCACCATCACTTCTCCCGCCGCCAACCACGACGACTCCACGCCGCCCACGCCAGATTCAAAGTCTAGAACAACAGACACCAGGCAGACGGCCCAGACGCGATCTCGCTTAGCAGTCAAGCAGTGCACCTAGAGCTTAGCAGTCACGCAGTGCAGGCATAGGTAAAAGTACTAGGTAGAAAACCACGCCCGGCCAGCCCACTTGGTTGGCGGGGTCCTGCTCTCGCCTGTGCACGCTGTTGCTCTCTTTTCTCGCGGTCGCAGAGTTCCAGCCCAGTCCATCGTTCGGTGCTCTCTCCACTGTGCTACTGGGTCACCACTCGACACAGGCCAACGGTGGTGCCTCTGTCAGTCTCTCGGGGCTCCAGGTACATACCTCGACCTGCCCTGTTCACTGCCCACCCCCCGTCCGCCGCTCCTGCTTGGCCCGCCCACGTCGCCGCGCCTTCCCCTCCATTCACCACGCCCACGTCCCTCTCACGCTGCTGCCCATCGGTGCCTTTCTGGCTTTTCCTCTCCTGCCATCTTCCCCATCCACTCCTGGACCTCCTCTACGTATTCATCCATCTTTCCGCCCTCCTCCTCCTCCTCTTCTTCCCCCCCACCGACTCTTCCTCCCCCAGTCTGCTTTTTCTGTTCTGGCCCTGTCTCGTCTTCCTCCAGACTTGACTTTCTACAAGGGGGCTTCTTTCTTCGTCGTCCTGCTCCCCGTTTCCCTCTCTTTCCTCTCTCCCGATACTTGGTACCTTTACTTTCCGGTACTCTATATCGCAGACGCTCTGCGAAACGGAACAGAAACAGCCTCTCGAGTCGCCGAGTCGGACGAGACCTGACCGACACCGTACTTTTCAACCCCCCGTCCGCCTCCTCCTCTATCCTGCTTCTCCTCGCACCCATCACCGCCTTCTCGACCTCCCTCCCGTCCTTGTTTGGCTCAGCGCGTCCCTGTGCCTCTCTTGCTCACCCTTCCGGCATTGGTCTCGACTGCCAATAACGCCCCCCTCTCGACCCGATTCGACCTAACCTACGCCAGCGCACTTAACACCCCGTTGCTTGTTTGCATCACCTCCGAGTAATTCCTCCGACTACACATTTCCCGAAACACTGTTGCTGCCCATCGCGTCGCAACTTCCGACTACCACTCCTTCGCCTACCAACAAACATCTATCGCTGTGTCGATAGCCCCTCTACCTATCTGTTGGACGACTTAGGTGAGTTGTTGGCACTGCTTGGTGCATTTGCGCATTCCTCTCTCTTCTTCTTGTCGGCTCCATCAGCATTCCCAACACGTGCCTATTCCCTCCATCTGTCCTGGTCGCCTCGAGACACGCATCTGTGACGTCGTTCGTACCTGCGCCTGGTGGTCAAAGTGGCAACAGCAGCCCTTTTTCCGAGGCTGAGCCACAACGTCGGGCATCAGCTTTGCCTGTTAGTGTGCCTCGTCACTCGTTGGTGCATTCCCATTGCTCGCCTGCTTTGCCGGACCTGGTGCTGCTGCGCCGGCGCAATCCTCAGTAACGAGGTCCGAGTTGGCTACAACGCGGATAAGGCTTTGCTCCAGGCCATCATCCTCGCCTCAGGAGATGGGCATTGGACAAGCAACCTAGTCAGACGAGTCTCGCTCGCGCAATCGTGGCAGGCTTCGTCGCTGCTGCGAAAGCCTCTAGGTCTCAGGGTCGTCACGTAACAACCTGGCTTGCCGACATCAACGTGCGGCACACAGTCGTCTTCCCCCATGTTTTCCCATCTTGGACCCGCCGCTTCCTTTCGCCCACGACTTGCAAAACTCGACTTGGACATTTGCTAACTGAACCTTTGTTTCCCGCAGTTGCCGCTTCCAACCCTCATAATTGTAATACGGTCATTCTTTTACTTTGGGCATAATACGATGCTATGGCAGCTGTGATCGGTGACTTCGTCTCTGATCCCTCCCATTTCCACACTATGATTGCCTCGTCCGGCATTCCACACCAGCATTCGCACGATTCCCGTTATCGATCTGCCAGTCGATCAAGAGACGTGCCCGCACATCACTCCTCTGCAAGCCCTAGATACCAGCATCCTACCAGTACTACGCCTACGCGCCAAAAGCGATCCGACTGGGACTCTACCGAGAAGCAAGCGTCGCCTAGCGGAGGAGCGTCTCGCTTCCCCTCGCCTCCTTCATCTTCGTCCCCTACCCGAGCGAGGCCTCAGCATGCCGATAGCCCCGCATACATGGCAACTGACTCTCGTGACACCGGCCATGCTGTTTCCGCTTTGGCCACGGAGGCCCCTTCGGCGTTGAGCCAGCAGCAGCAGCAACCGTCACCTGCGTCCGACGGCAACGGCGCGACCGGCGTCCCAATCTCATACCCCCTCTCCGATACCTTGTCCCCACGCCAGCAGCCTAAGGGCCAGACGATTCACGTGCGCGATTTAGCCCATATCCAGAGCCTCGCCAAGGCAGACCTTCTATCTGGCAACGGTCCTGGGATACTCAACGACCCGCCTCTGCAGGCGATGAAGTACGAGATTAGTGCCATGCCCATTGGCGACATCATCGAGATGGTCGCTGCTCTACTCACCAAGATCACAACCACCAACGATTTGCAGCACGATGCTATGCAACGCAACGTCGCGCACCAGCAGCAGGCGAGCCAGAACAACGAGTCAGGAAACGGCTCGCAGATGAGCCCTTTGAGCACGTCGGTGCTGGCGTTCCACGGCAAGAACATCCCTGCCATCACCATTCTCAGCTACCTGTCCCGAATCCACAAGTACTGTCCCACCACGTACGAAGTCTTTCTGAGCTTGTTGGTCTACTTTGACCGCATGACGGAACGTGTCAACGAAATGGTTGTCAAGCATGAGGAGGCACGGAGAGTTTCCACTTCACAGCCAACACCCAAAACGCAGTCGGCCGATGTGGATATGCGAGACGACGACGACGAGAGTGACTCGGACCTCGCGGACGACGACGATATGGACGAGAAGAGTACCAAGCCTACCGAGAGCACTGGGAGCATCGTGCCTCAGCCCACACCTCCGGGCGCTCCCGCGACGTACTTCGTGGTTGACAGCTTCAACATCCACCGACTGATTATCGCGGGAGTGACCTGCGCGAGTAAATTCTTCTCAGATGTCTTCTATACTAATTCCAGATACGCTAAGGTACGTTGATGCTGCTCCCTCCTCGGCAGAAGTAACAGGCGCTAACCAGACCTTCAGGTCGGCGGACTTCCATTGGCGGAACTGAACCATCTCGAATTGCAGTTTCTCCTTTTGAATGACTTCCGGCTTGCAGTCCCCGTTGAGGACCTAGAGGCTTACGGCACCATGTTGGTGGAGTTTTACGCACGGGAAGTGGTGGCACAGCGATCACGTCCTGCTGTCGGCGGCGATTCCTAAACCACATTTTCTTTTTGCAATATTACAAGATTGATACCCTGATATACATCAAGCTTGGGGGACGGTCTACCGGAGCCATCGATACTAGCATTGGATCCGAGCAGCATCGGTTAGAACACGTTGGTCTCGCTTTGCGTTCATGACCGTAAGAGGAATATTGGACAAGTTTCGAACGGCGCGGTACCGAAGAAGTCTCGAAGTAACGTACGTACTCATGCGGCGGACGACGTGAGCCTGTCTTCGATCGATATACAGTATAGCGCCAGAGGAGCATTGCACCGGGGACGCACGAGGAGCTGGTATGGTTTTACAAGGACTTGATACCCGGATAGATGTGTCGGGTTCACTGGGGGGTTTGATGCCTGGGAGAATATAGCAGTGCAGCATGTGGCGGATTCGGCGCATGGGAAGGGCGACCTCATCCATGTGTCGGGCACGCTGTACTCAGGGCCTTTTGCGCGCATCTACGGAACGACTATCAGCAAGAAGAGAAAGGAACGCAGGTATATTTGAGGTGGGCTGGGTCTGGATTAAGTTACACGTTGCGTTACGTTCTAGACTTTTGCGCATGCATGATTGGGACGAGGCGTATGGTGTTCCGAGATTGACATAGATGGCGAGCATAATGATATGTCCCGAATACGTGATTTCAACTCTATGGACGATTTGTTTGTACGAGAGCGATGCGACCAGTGACAGTAGTAACGTACGGCTGACAAGTATTCGGACGCTTTGGGTGGGGGTTGCTGAAATCTACGGATCCCGGTTAGGCACAGCCAGCGGCCGAGGGCGTTGTTGGTTTGCATGTCAGCTATGCCAGCTTGGAGTGCGTACGTGATGGGTGGATGGAATGGTTATCGACGGACCCGAATGAGTCTCGCCCAATGTCCATCCACCCGGCGTGTTGCCAGAGCTGCCAGAAGGGGGCCTTTGGGTGGGTTAAGAATGCAGTGCTCATGCAACAAGCGGCGAGTTACGGTATTATAACTCGAGCACACCACTTTTAGCGTCGCACGAACCAGGCCAAAAGGGGCCCATGTTTCTGGGGTACGTTATTACAACGAGGTATCGTGAAGGCTTCACTCTTTCTAGGTCAAGGAAAATCAGCTAGTTTCTTAGCTAAATCTAGTTTATTAGAGAAAGAAATAAGCTTATAGGTATAAGATAAGGCTAATATAGAAGTTAGCCCTAAGGCTAGTCTCTCATAAGATGACCCCATCAGCTTTTGCTTCTCTACAACCCCAACAACTCCTGACCCTGTCCGAATTGGACTTGCGCGCCTATTTTGGCGCCCATAAAGATGGATGGCGGCAACGCTTCCCCACCCGCCTACTCGGTAACCTCGGGCATGTGGCAGACCACCTCGACGTTGTTCCCCGAGGGGTCAATGACGAAGGCGCCGTAGTAGTTGGGGTGATACTGCGGCCGCAGCCCCGGCGCGCCGTTGTCCTTGGCCCCGGCCGCGATGGCGGCCTTGTGGAACTCGTCGACTGCCTTGCGGTCTGCGTCACGCCGCCCCCCCGTGTCAGCATGTGCCCGTCTCCGTCAACGCCGGCCGGGGCCTGGAGACGCAGGACTTACTCTCGGCCTTGAAGCCCAAGTGGAGCGGGATGTTGGCCTTGTCGACGCTGTGGCAGGCGATCCAGAAGTCGGGGCGCTGGACGCCGAGGCCGCAGGCGTACTCATTGGGCTCGACAAACTTTTTAAAGCCGACGGGGGCCAGCGCGGTGAGGTACCAGTCGACCGTCTCCTTGTAGATGGAGGCGGGGACGAAGAGGCCGACGTGGTCGATGGACATGTTGGTGGTTTTTTTTCTTGGTATATGGCAAGGTAGGCAGGCGAGTTGCTGAGTTTGAGCTGATTCTCTGGCGAGCTCGATGTGATGAGGGGTTCAAAGGGAGAGGGACTAGCGGGGGTATTTTGTACACGACACGGCGTCCAGCTCAAGATTGTCGTCGCGCGTCGGTCAGCAGTAAAGGAAAGTTCCGTCAGGGAGACGAGGCGCGAAGGAGGCGCGACGGCACGTGCATGGGGAAGAGGAACGAGGGGGTCGCCGCAAGCGGCCGTTTGGCTTTAGGTCTGAATGACGCTGCGGCGTGACTCAGATGGGACCCTGATCGACAACAAGGGGCTTGAGGCGCGGGATTGTGTGTTCCGGGTGGTTTAGCATGGAGGCAGTGGCATTTGAATGAGCTTGCGGCTTTGCGTCCCCGAGTTGAAAGGCCGGGGGGCTGTGGGTTGAATCACTCGGGGGTCGGGACGCCAAGTCTACCGAGTAGGCAGCAGCCGCTCCGATTGATGTGTCTCTGCATGGTAGAGTGGATCATGCGGGGGATAAGTGCAGGGTACAAAGTTTAGGTTGAGACGCCATTAAAATTCACTGTTGCCTGCCGAATTGTGGTATGACACCGTGAGTCTGGAAGGAATCCCTCGGGCTCGGGCTCGGTGCTATATCATGGATTGTCCCTTGCCTCGCAAGCCCGTCGGCCGGTCTCCGGTGTTTACAACACTATTCATCCGATTCGTACTTTCGAAGGGGGATTGTCTTGCTTGTCGGGTATGCAGCTTGCAGTACTCGAGAACATGAACTCCTTTTGTGCTCCGGCGTGCCTTCTAATGATCGACCAGTCCTCGCCTTTGGTAATCCGCGTATAACCGCTGTCTCAAATCCTCGCCAGGATGCTGTGGTTTATCCGGAACCTGACCAGTGCGACCAGCCCTGCTGCCGCCAGTGACAACGACCCAGCGTAGAACATGGCAGGGCGGTATGCCTGGAGGCCATTCTCCGCGCCTCCGTATGCCTCGAGGAGGTAGCCAGCAATCGGGGAGCCCTAGCCATCCCATTAGCTTCTCTAGGCCTGTCTTGAGGCGGAACAAAACTCACCATGAGATAACCCCCAGCCCAGCCGGTGACAATCATGCTCATCGCGACCGACACCCTCGCAGACCCGAACACGTTCCCTACCACTGTGGGCATGGTCGAGAAGAAGCCGCCGTTGGAGATGCCGTTGACGATGACGAAGACAATCATGGGCGCCAGCGTCGTCGACGCGGGCCAGATGGCCAGCATGCTGACGGCCGTCAGCGCCAGTGAGACGCAGAGCACGTTGAGCGCGCCGAAGGTGTCGCAGAGGGCACCGCAGCAGATGCGGCCGACGGCCGAGGAGAAGTTGAAGCCCGCGACCAGGCCGGCGCCCGTCGAGGACGACAAGCCAATGGACTTGGAATAGAGGGGCAGGAAGAAGGGCGGGACGAAGAGGGGGAATGTGCCGACGGCGCCGGCGAGGAAGATGACGAGGAAGGTGAAGGATTTGAAGAGACGCCTGTTGGCTGGTGAGTTGCTGTACGCTTGGGGACGAGAGCTTGGTATGACTGCGTGACGTACCATTCAACAAACCCTGAGCTTCGGACGGGAACACGCTCTTTGATGAGCCAGGCGGCGGGGAGACCGGTGGCCAGGGTGACGAGGGCAAGGACGCGGTACGTCCACGCTGAGCCCAGGCGGTTGAGGAGGGCGTCCAAGGCAAAGCTATTGACTGCGCCGCCGAGACCGCCACCGGCGAATACGATGCCGTTGGCCAGGCCGCGCTTGCGGCTAAAGTACTGTGCTGGAATCACGGAGATGATCTACCTTTGTCAGTTGGTTGTGCGCTGGAAACGACAGCATAGGATTAACGGTCGAGACTCACCGAGAAACACAAGCTAGATGAGTGCTGTCAGCGCAAAGATCTTGCATCACAAGGTTGTGGCTTGGACTCACCTCATGCCCAGCCCCATGATGACGCCGCTCGTCGCAAACATGGCACCCACGTTCTTCACCGCGAAGCTGCTGAGCAGCTCACTCAAGCCCAGCAGCGCGATCCCCAGCAATCCTGTTTTGCGCGGGCCAATGCGCCTCATAACACGCGAGTTGACGATGGCCAGCGCCGAAATCAGCGCAACAGCGAGGGAGCCCACAAAGGAGAGCACGGCGGGAGTCGCGAGGCCGTCGTCGATGAGAGCGCTCTGGATCACGCCCCACGAGTACGAGGTGCCGATGATCCACCAGGCGACGATGAAGCAGCCCGTGACGACAACCCAGCCGTAGCCACCCTCGGGCATGGCTGAGTCGGCCTCGCGCGAGGCGCGGAGGATCGGATCGCCGTCTTCGGCGGGCTGGGTTGGTGGAATGGGGTATTGTTTGAGGGAGACTGAGGCCGGGAGGGGATGGAGCTCGATGCCGGACGTCGAGGCCGAGGCGGTGGCCATTGTCGTCGTTGTTGTGGCCATGTCGTGATCGTCGTTTGGTTCAGCTGCGTCTTTCTGGTATTCGGTCTCAGGACCCAAGGCAATTCAATACAGTTATTTTCCTTTTTTCCCCTTTTTTGGTCATGTGTGTCGACGGCAAGTGACTCGACAGCGATGGGAGGGAGAAAACGGGTTCCCATCGGACCCACAAACGCCTATCGCGCCCTTCCGTTGACAAGTTCAGGCAAGCTCCGTCATTCACACACTAGCGCCGGGCTCGGTGGAGGGGCCCGGGGTTCTTGGCATGGCCCCGCCTTGTGCCGATGGATTACCCGCATTCCGGGATGCCGGGCTGATTGTTCCCGGGACGGTGATGTTCCTGCGGCATACTCCAGCTCAGCGCCGTGGATGTTCCAAAGTCAAGGATTTGCAGCGAGGGTGTTGCGTTCGGGTAATTCCGACCAGCTTTCTCTATGCTGAGAAACTTTGCGAGTTGAAAACAGCCATTCTGTCGTTCACGGGTGTCCTCGTCCCTCGCCAATCCCACGGGCGTTGCCTGTAAAGAGCTCGGCATCGGCCGATCCTTTACACGGCGGACCGACGTTTGCGGGATGACGACGGCGGGACGGCGGCGGGGTCCTTGAGTTCGTCGCCAATTAGAGTTAAACGACGTTGCATCAGCCCAAAACGCAGCCCCGTCCCATTCCGCTCGGAAGCTGGCCGGGGGAGGGAGGGCACGGAGGACCCCTGCCACGACAGGAGCGGGAGCTAAAGCAACCATACCTAAGTGAGCTGTTCAACAAGCTCTCGTTCGGAACTCGACGACGACGACGACAGTCGAGACATTGTTTGGACTTTGCACGAATGGGGCCCATAAAGAATGGGCTCGAATGACTCAGTCTTGCGTGCTCGAGGGAAGAGGGAGACTGGGTCTTGCTCCGCGCGAGCCACCGGTCTTCTCGAAGCACCAATGGGCCTCCCCGACCCCTCGTATCTGCTTGGTTAGCTGAAATAACGCATCTCGTCCACTATTCTTTCTCAGAGATGGAGTGGCATGAGAATCCTCGAGAGGAGAAAGCGCACCCCGCGAAGAACATTGATTGCCACGTTGGAGAAATCCCTTGGTGAGATTACGAGCGAGCATGAGGCAGCAGGAATGCGTCCCGAGTGCAATTGGAATGTGGAATATGCATGTTCTGCACCTCGTACATCATGTTACCCCAGATCATTATGGGATGACGGAAGCTTAACTTCGGCGCGCTGTGCTATTAGACAGCATCTCATGTTGAGCATCTCATGTTGAGCATCTCATTTTGAGCATCTCTCTGAAGGCACTCACTCACAGCTAAGCGAATGAAACCTTCCTCCATCTCCCTCTCTCTAAAGGGCACCTACTGCACTGTTCTTGACTGACCCGTTCTTGTTGTGTCAGAGGTGAAATTGGGGATACGGGTATGCTCATCCGAGCAGGTCGCATTCCGTCTTGGCACCGGCAGGCGCGGTTGGGAGGGAGGGAACCCATCAGCCCAGCCTGGCAGAGCAAGCACTCGCTCTCTCCTCCCATGCGATCGATGCTCACGATACAGCGGCAGGTCTCACCTTCCAAACAAACTCCCATCAACGGGTGCGTCCCTCCTTCCCCGTCGGAGGTGTGGCCTGTTTCCTCGCCCCGTGACGTAGGCATCGCCTTCTCGCAGGTTCTTTGGCTCGTTGGACGCTGGATTGGAAGACACGGGAAGGAAGGGGGGCTTGGGGAGGAGGAAGGTGCATTGATGCAGACAAACGGAAGCTGATGCCGCTTGTTTCTTGGCAGATGGAAAACGGGCGTGTTTCCTTAGTCATCAGGGAAGTCGTCGTAATGCTTTCCCAAATTTTTCCACCAGGGTGGAACCCCCTCCCCGTCCCTTCCCTCCAAGCGGACCAAGGCTCGCCGGTAACTGGTTGTGCTGCGTCGCTGCCGCTGCTGCTTTTGTCTGGCCTCGCTTCTTCCTCCGCTCCCGAGCTCCTCGCCCTCTCCCTCCCTCCCTCTCTCCATCCCCCCCCCCCCCCAAAAAAAAGGACCCAAGACCAATTCTCCTCCCAAGACCCGACAAAGACCCAAGACTTTCCTCTCCCCCCTCCCAAGACTTCCAACGCCCGCCGCGCGTCCGTCTCTCAACTCATCTCATATTGGCCGTATCTCCCCGTCCTGCCAGAACTCAAATTCTATTCTGGGTTGGGAAGCCTGGCCTTATCAGAAATCCCTTACCGGTCCGAACCTTTCTTGCGCATTTCACTCGGCCTTCCTCTTACCTGGGTTTTCGTATTGCTACTACATTAACAAAAATGGGCGCCGCCACCGAGGAGCAGCACCCCGGCGTCCTTATTCTCGATGGAGGCCTCGGCACCTCGCTCGAGGACAAGTACGGTGTCAAGTTCGAGTCTGCCACCACGCCTCTCTGGTCTACTCATCTTCTTGTTGACGGCCAGGATACCTTGCTTGCCTGTCAAAGAGACTTCGGCCACGTGCCCGTCGATATTATTCTCACTGCCACCTACCAGCTGTCCATACATGGCTTCGCCAACACCCGCACTGCCAAGTATCCCAATGGTATCGACCGGGCCACAATCGGTAACTTTATCCAGGACGCCATCCGCATTTCTCATGAAGCCGGACGCGCTCAAGGCAGTAAGACGGCTCTCAGCATCGGTCCCTATGGCGCCTGCATGATTCCCGGACAAGAGTACAGCGGTGCCTATGACGCCGAGCACGACTCGCTCGAGAAGCTGCGCGACTGGCATCTGGAACGCCTGCAGCTGTTCAAGGACGCTGGTGCCTTCGCCCCTTCCATTAGCTATGTCGCCGTTGAGACCATCCCCCGTGCCGATGAGATCAAGGCTGTGAGGCAAGCCCTCGACAAGAGTGGCGTCCTTGCGACCCAGGATCCCATCCCGTTCTGGATCGCCTCCCTCTTCCCGCGCGAGGACGAGTGCCTGCCGGACGGTTCATCCATCAAGCAGGCTGTGGTGGCCATGCTCAGCCCCGAGATTGCCACAAGTCGTCCATGGGGCATCGGCATCAACTGCACCAAGGTTTGGAAATTGGAGTCCCTGGTCAAGAGCTACGAGTTGGCTGTCCAGGAGCTCATCGAGGTCGGCGCCATCGCCGAGGCCCCGGCCCTAGTCCTCTACCCGGATGGCACCAACGGTGAAGTTTACAACACGACGACTCAGAAATGGGAACTCCCCGAGGGATCAAACCACCCTGCTACGTCGTGGGAAGCGCAGCTCTCCCAGGTGGTTGCTAACGCTGAGTCTCGAGGACTGTGGAAACAGATAGTCGTGGGTGGATGCTGCAAAGCAAGCCATTCTGATATTGCCCGGCTCCGGACCGCGGTGGAAGGCCTATCTCGCTAAAGACAATTCAAGAAAGAGAAAAAAAAAAGCCCGATTATCTCTGGATCGGCTCCGGCCTCCGGTACCGTACCGAACATATCCGGCCCCGAGACCGACCGCCTCCGAATTGGATGTACCGCACCATGCACCATGCACCATGCTCCGTTGGAAAGAAACCCCCCGTTCCAAGAAAAGCCATCTATCCGGTGGTATCGCTGCCCAATGCAAAAGAGAGGTCTGCCCCCTCATGGCCAGTACGGCCAAGCCAAAGCCAAAAATTTATTCATGTCATCATCCAAGTTTCCTTTTGTTCATTTTTTCCAGCCTCGTCTTGTTGCCGTCGCCTGGGCTTTCCAGTCGTCGAAGCGTTTCTGTCTCTTTTGCTGTTCTTTTTCGTTCCAGGCCGCGATCGGCTGTATGGGTAACCTGTCGAGCATGTCGTCCAGGTCGAAGTAGCGTCGTGGCTCGCCGTTGACGCGGATCTCGATGCTCCCAATACCTTCATAGAGGACGGCGCCGAAGTCGGCCCAGTCCCTGTACATGGATAGGAGACCGCCAATCTGGCAGCACATGAAGAAAGCAAGCTTCTCGGCTGGTATAAGGCTCTCCTTGCCTTCTGGCGGACAGGGCCAAGTGATCCCTCTGCGCTCGCGCTTCTCTGCGTCCATAACCATGGTGGTAAATCTTTCAAACATGTCATGTGCCGGCGGCCGCCGCGCACCGCCGGACACGAGACGGTCGTGCTTCTCTTCAGGCGGCGGCGGGAGAACGTCCAGCACCAACTTCTTGATAGTGAAGTTTGACGGGTCGGCGACGACACTGCTGAATGCGGTCGGGCCGTATCGCAGGTACCCGGAGAGCATGGCGTAAAAGTTCCAGACGATGAAGGGCGGACCGCCATCGCCGCCACGGAACTGTTCCTCGTTTTTCCAGTCGGGATTGACGTCGGGGGGGGGATCGAAAATGCGGAATTGGACGTGGACACTGTCTGCATGGCGGGTCGATCTTGGCACAGCGAGCCAAGTCGGCCACAAGCCACACTCTTTGACATACATGACATCGAGTCGGCAATGAGTTCCTTTTGACGCAAGCAGCTTCTTCGCCTCGTAGTGCAGTTGGTGATTGACGAGGAGGATTGCGTTGTTGGGGGAGCCTGAAGGCGGAGCGCGGATCTGTTTCTCGACCCAAATGTCGTGCCCATCGAAAAAACCTTTGCCCTTGTACTCGCGCCTCTTGCGGTCCTGGCTGACTGAGGGATTGAGAGGTGGTGGACGATCGGGCAAGAAAACGACCTCGTCGAGTATCAGGTCGCGAATCTCCCTCGGGATGCTGAGCAATCCGATAGCCATTGTTGGTATTGCGAGCAATGTGTGCAGAGGACGGGAAAGGTTGTGCACTGCACATACACTCAGAAAAATACGCCGGGTGAGTGTCGCACAGAGAGGGAGGGGGGGGGGGGGGGGGGGAGGGTGGAGGGACTGCTGGGGTGGGCGGCCAGACGACAATCGACAAATCGATGGACGGACGACAGACAACGGGTGGCAGTGGCGGACAGCACTATTACAGCAGTGAAAAGGCGGGAGCCCGTCGAGTCGTGGGAGGGCGAAATTTTAGTCCGGAAAGCGAAATGGCGACCAAGCACCACAGAAAGTCGGGGTTTCGATTCGAGCTTCGAGTGAGGCGCAGCAACGCAGCTCGCAGCGGCAGCGGAGTCGGCCCTCTGACCAACGACGTCATTCAACTGGTGAGGAGGCGGGCCAGTAGCAGCTGCTGCAGCAGTCGCATTTGAGGGGGATGAGTCCGGCAGCGGCAAGCAACTGAAAATAAAATAATAAAATAAAAATGGGTAAGTGTTTCTACGACAAAAAACTCAAACAGTAAGCCGGGGAGACAAGCACGAGGGAAAACGGAATGAGGAGATGGGTAGATGGAGGGGGATTCGACCGGTGCACGATGCTGCCATCCCATTCATCTGGGGGGCGCATCGGATAAATGGCACCGCGAGATGCGCCACCGAGGAAACACAAGGGGAAGGATTTTGACTTTTTAGGCTCGATTCGAGGGCGAGGGCGAGGGCGAGGAGGACAGCACGGGATGGGATGGGGAGTAAGTATGGGTTAGGGATTGGGGGTGAATTGGGGATGCACACGAGTGTTGCGTGGTGCGTGTGTGCGCATGTGGCTGCGTGTCTGCGCCTGGGTGCTGGATGCCGGTGCTATATGCTTGGTTTGCTTGGAGACTGGTCTGGAACTCGAATTGCAATGGATTCCATGCCCATGCGAAGACGACGACGAGCACGCGGCATAACACGCAGCATTGACCAACGGACAGATTTAGAAGCGGTGGCCCGTGGCGCGGAACAAGAGGCTTCGTCAATGTCTCCTGTCAATGTTCTCCAGGCCTCGGGACCAGAAAAAGTAGTGCTACTCCATATCAGTCATCAAAGCATCAACCAGAATCAAGTCATCAAAGAAACTACGGGTTGTGCGTGCGGGCGTTTCTGCGGTGTGGGCGAGCGCAGTGCTTTACTGGAGTGCTTTGCGCCCCCGCCGTTTCTAGTAGGTAAGAAGAGAAGAAAGAAACACCAAAAATGGACAGACCAACTAGGCCGAGGGGATGACAAGCCAGTCCAGGCCAGTCCAGTACGGTGCCGATTTTCTGCGGTGTCTTGCTGGCCACTCGTTGGCTGCGTCTGGCTGCGCCCTCCGTCGGGTCTCGCTCCGGGGGGTTGGCTTGGGTCGTGTATGGTATGTATTTATGTATGTAAGCACGCAGTGAGGTGTCGTAACTGCACACGTCCGCGCGTGGTGCAGCTGCCAGTGTACAATGCAGCGCCGTGTGCAAATCAGCAGTGCCAAAAACAACATCCTCCTCCTCTGAGTGGTGCGAGAGTGTGCGCCCGGGGGGGGGGGATCCAGTGGTGGCAGAGCAAAGAGTCTCTCGTCCGTCTTGGGGTTCTGGTTTCTGGGTAAAAACTATGGTAGTAGTACCCTTTTCGGGGCTGGTTTCTTCTGGGCATTGTCTGTCCTGCCTGTCGGGTCCATCCCCTCACTCACGCGAGCATGCGGCGGGGGTGTTCCCCTTCGCTTCAGCCTGTCGTCTGCGTCTACGTCCTGTCATCTTACGGTACCGATATCCTTGAAAGACACATATTGCGCGTTTCCCATATGGAGGGGGATTGAACCCCTACCCAGCAGGTTTCTCTGCAGCTCTCTGCCTCTCTCTCTCTGCCTTTATTCCTCTTAGCTTGGCCGGGGGGCTCAGAAAACAGGTAGGTGCCGCGGTATTTTTTATACTAGGCGTGCGTGCGTGCATCGGCTTGCCGTAAGGGACCAGGGCAATCGTGGAGAAGAGTGGGAGCAAGGGGGGGAAGGTTCAACGGGAGGTGGACTTGAGGACATGAACAGTGAAGGTGAGCGCGAAGCCAGGATGGGCCATGGTGAGCCTGGAGGCCGCCTGCTGGGCCTTCTGGGCGCGTGATGGGATCGGCACTAGCCCAGCCTTTTTTCCCCCCTTTCTGCGCTCGTTTTCGAGGATGAGGGAGGGAGTGAGCTGCCAACATCAGACATGTCGATTAACAGCGCATAGTGAGCAGCCGGGTGGGGGAGGCGAGGACTTCGTTCTCTCCTTTGTTCGGCGCCGGCCCTGACTCTCTTTCTCACTCACTCGCTCACTCACTCGCTCACTCACTCATCCGCTGGCCCAACTCGGCTCTGACTGCCCGTTCAGTTGTATGGCACAGCCCTGACGCCCCCGACGGGTAAGGGGACAGCCAGCCTAGGCCGGCATTGGATTGCGGTGATTTGGGATTGAATTCGCAGATCGCTAGGCGAAGTAGACCACTTTTGGACCAGACATGCGCAGAGCCCGTTTGTATGTTGATTTTTCTTCGGAATGACTAAAAGCATCACCGAGCAGAGAGAGGGGGCAGGTGGCAGTGTAAGTACGTACAAGTTTTGGGGTGCGGCCTATGTAGAGGGAGGGCAGAGTGAGTAAGAGAGTGAGAGAGGGATATTCTGATGCGTCGAATGCACGTCACGATACTTTCCCTTAGGTAGACAGGTAGTATACATCGAGCCAAGCACGATGCCAAAAGGGGAGCACGAGACGGGCCCAGGTGTGAGCAGGAGCGAGCCGACTATTGTACAAAGCGGGACGGCTTTTTTTTTTCGCTGACGAGGCGCTGGCGAACAAAAGGACAACTTTTGAGTCTTGGAGTCATCATGAGACAACACTGGCGGAGGCCGCGTCTGGACCTGGCTGACTGTTTTCTTCGAGGTTGGAGAAACGGCCTGTGAGTATGCATTGGAGGGGGAACCGCCGACCGCCTGGTGAAGGTTTTTTGGGGGGGAAGATATGGTGCCGGTGGCTGTGGAGTCGCACAAAGGAAAATCTGAGCGAAATACAGTTAGTAGTTTCGAGGCGGGGGTCGGATGGGTTCAAGGGTCATATTGGCTATACTCGGTAAACAACAGTTGCGCGAGAAAAAGGCGCATGGCAACAGCAACGACGACGAGAGCGAGTATCTCTCCGATTGGTACTCTGTAGAAGGGCAGGCAGCGGGTTGAGTCCGTTCCAGGCAAGGGGAGAAAGAGAGAGAGGATAGGATAGGATAGAGAGTGACTGAACGCGGACATGGGCATGGCTGTGGGATTCGGTATGCGACTCGCGCGGCCTCTCTGCTCTTCTCCCCCAGCTCCTCTTGCGGCAGATGCAGATGCAGATGCTGCAGCGCTTACAGCAGTGAATGGTGGTGGTGAAGCAAGAAGCCAGGGCAGCTGTGAAGGGCACGCAGCGGTCTTGATGTGGGAATCCCGGACGGCCCCCGCTAGCTGCTTGTAGCAAACCGAGATATGCTCCTCTCTCCACATTGCAGCGGTGAATGTCTCCGGCGGCAGCAGAGGAAAATGGTTATTGAAGGGGAGGTGGACTGACTGGGAGCCAGCGACAGAGACCCGGGTTGTGGCAGTGCCAGCCATCAGTTAGGCCAGACAGAGAGCCCTCGGGCATCTTTGTTTCTCTACGGCGCGTGGCTGCAGTGTCGTGCCGCCGTACAATCTGCGAGTCAACACACCACCTAGCGCCCCCTTCGTGCGTCTAAGACGGCGGCAGGCGGGCGGCGCAGACGGACGGGGAGGGGGAGGGGGAGGGGGAGGGGGGAAGAGTCAAGAAATCCCCAACCCGTCATCTTGTCTGGTTTTCTCCAGGCTCCTTACAGGCTGGAGCTTGAAGCTTGGGAGCTTAGAGCTTGATCCTGGGGCCGAGCTAGGGTTTGAAAAAAGGTCCTTGGATGGATCGATGGATCGATGGGTCAGCCAGTAGACGGACGCATGGGATGCAGGAGACCGGTGCAGGGCTGGATAGGAGGGAGACGTGTGAGTGGTAATGGGAGACGGCTGCGGTGCGAGAGGAACGAAGGAAGGGAGGGGCGTGGACGAGGGAGGGTTAGGGGAGCTCTCTCTCACTCACTCACTCACTCACTCACTCACTCACTCTGTGTGCGTGTTGGATGGGGGGGAGCAGCAGGAAACACGACTTGGACGCTTATGGGAGACTTTCATCTTCGTCACTCATATACTTCTCACAAGGACCAACCAACTGGGCAACCTGAACTTCCGCAAGTGGCTCTGCACCACCCATCTCCACATTCACATTTCACATCACCCCCCCCCCATCCCCATGCCCGTCCCATGCCATGCCACGCCGTACCTAGGCCGCCGAGGGACGGGTATCGAGCCTAGGGGCCGCAGCACGGGGCAGGATGCGCCAAAACCTTGATTGGTTGTCACTGGCCAAGTCACCAGGAGAGCCTCCTCGCCGCCAAGAGATACTTGGATATCCAACTCTCTCGACTTCACCGGCGTGTAATTCCCCATCAAGGCCGCCCTCGCTTTCTATGAGCGATTTATCCCCCTCAATACTTTGCCCTTTGCTTGCCCTTTGCAATAGCATGTCCATTACTCTCGTCTTTTTTCTTCCCAAACGCCCCCCATCGCGCGCAACCGAGCCAGCCAGCCTCCTTCGTGCGGCCGCACCCAACGTTGTTTTCTGCGACACGCTCTCTTCGCCCCCCCTCTGACTCTCTCACTCTCCTCCTCTCTTTGCCCTGGGCCTTGCCAGAAATTTCCCTTTGGCCTGCTTGCAATTTCAAAACAGTCCGATCTGCTTTTGCCCAGCCTGGCTTAGCCTCCTCGACTAAAAAACAGAGGTGCGAGTTTCGTCTGCCACAGTATTTCGGCACGTTGGACTCGCAGTGCCATTTCACCGCCTCTTGGCTCCGTAGATACAATGCCCAGCCGACCTCCATCCTTCTTCGCACGTCGTCGTCGCCTTTCGTCTATTGTTGCTGCTGATGCCGTCGTCGCCGTCTCATGCCTTGTTGCCTGCCTGACCTGTCGATGATGCTCGCCTGAAGCTCAACCTGCACCCCCATCCCCATCTTCTTCCCTCTACGCCCTTCCCAATTCATCCATTCCCCCTCAAACTTAGAAGTGAGGGAGCACAAAAAAAGCCGCGCTGCTTTGTCTCCTTGCCGCCTGCCGAGCACCACACCCCCCCCCCCCCCCCCCCCCCCCAAAAAAAACAGGTTCCTTCAGTTTCTCTTACTTGACACCATCCCCAAGTCAAGCAAAGCGTCGACTCCCATCCCATGCCATGTGATGGGATTATGCGGAGGCCGCAATTTCCGGCATGATGGTTCCCGTACGGCTGGGCGTGTGTAACCAGTGTCTGTGTCTGTGTTGCGTGTCTGTTGTATGTCTCTCGTAAACATTGGCAGAGAGAAATTTGCCAAGACCCGTGATAGATGGCCCGTTAAGACGGTTCACCCTTTCTGGCCTTCCCGAAACCAGATCTCATCTGACGTCTCGTGGCCTTGTCTCGCATTTTGTATATAAGACCCTGAATGCGTTGCGCGACGTTGTAGTGCAGGTTGACTCTCAGACTCTCTCACTTCTCACTTCCCGGTTTCTCTGCCTGCTCCCCTCCTCCTCGTGAGGCCTCCTGCCCTCACTCGCACGCACGGCACTCTTGATTGTCCTGACGAGCCATCCTTTCACCTCGTTCCTGACTGCTTTTGCGGGATTTGCTCTCCAAACATTCTTGAGAAAGACCAGTCATGGACGACTCTGAGAAGCAGCACGGCCAGGCCGCCGCTGAACGCATCCGCTGGGACGCCGACGAGGAGGCCGGCAGGAAAGCCCATCGGTCCAGCACGGGGCCTGCTCTGCATCATGCCCGGTCCAACACGTCCATGTCCATTCACTCGATCCGGTCGAGGCGCAATTCCATTGATGCCGCTGCCGAGCTGCCCATCCAGTACCGCACGGTGTAAGTGCAGCCCCTTACCTAGCCCGACAAAACATCGCCGTCTGCTTCTTTGTGCTGATGGTTCCTTCCAAACAGGTCCATCGAGATAGAAGAGTACAAGACAAAAACAGAAGCCGTCAAGAAGGCCAAGAATGTCGCCACAGGTTCGTAAAAGACGCAAAACTCCCCCAACCGCAGAGGCCGCGTCGACAAAAGTGAGTTGCAAACTAACGCTGCCTTCGTGGCTTCTAGAGCTTTCGGAACTTGAATGGCATGTCCTCTCCGTCGATGAGATCCTCAGACGCCAGTCGTCCTCCCTCGCCGACGGCCTCTCCCCGGACCAGGTCCAGCGCCGCATGGCGCACTACGGTAGGAACGCGCCCTCGCCCGCGCCGACAAACCACACAAAGCGCATCCTCGGATACTTCTTCAAGGGATTCGGAACCGTCCTGCTGGTGGCCTCGATCCTCGTCTTCATCGCGTGGAAGCCCCTCGGCAGCCCGCCCGCCGTGGCCAACCTGGCGCTGGCCATTGTGCTGCTGGCCGTCTTCTTCATCCAGGCCGCCTTCAACATGTGGCAGGACTGGTCCTCTTCGCGTGTGATGAACTCCATCAAGACGATGCTTCCCGAGAACTGCATGGTCATCCGTGACGGCCACCAGGTCGAGCTCCCGGCTGACCAGATTGTCCCCGGAGACATTCTCATTGTCAAGTCGGGGAACAAGTTGCCTGCTGATGTGCGTTTTCTCAAGGTCTCTTCCGACGCCAAATTTGACAGGTCCATTTTGACAGGTGAGTTGGACCCCCTTTTTTCCCCTCCTCCTTCTTGTTTTTGCGGTGTTGATTCCTTGGGCACCTTTTTGTCCGTGGGAATATAAACGTGGCTAACAAAGTACAAACAAACAGGAGAGTCGGTTCCGCTGCCTGCTTCGGTCGACTCGACTGATAACAACTACCTCGAGACCCGATGCATCGGTCTCCAAGGCACTCACTGCGTCTCTGGCACTTGCACGGGGTTGGTGGTGGCCACCGGCGACAACACCATCTTTGGCCGCATCGCCAAGCTGACCAATGAGCCCAAAAAGGGGCTGACCACTCTCGAGCGTGAGGTCCTGCACTTTGTGCTCATCATCTGCTCCATCATGTTCCTTATGATTGTCATCGTTTTGATTGTCTGGTACGTTTCCGTCTCCACAACTCTGGGTTGAGGAAAAGTCTTTGGCTAACGGTATCTGCTGCATAGGGGCACCTGGTTGAGGAAGCAGTACCCCGACTGGATTAACGTTCCGAACTTGATCATCTCCTGTGTCTCTGTTGCCGTAGCCTTCATCCCTGAGGGTCTGCCTGTTGCTTTGACGGCCAGCATGACCATCAGCGCAAACATGATGCGGAAGAACAAGATTCTGTGCAAGTCGCTCAAGACCGTTGAGACTCTTGGGTCCGTGTCCATCATTTGTTCCGATAAGACCGGAACTTTGACTCAAGTAAGCAATAGCACAGCCTCTCTTACCCAAATATCAAGAGCCTATACTAACAGTTACCAAGAACAAAATGGTTGTTACTGAGTGCGCCATCGGCACCATGACGATGACGGCCGAGGGTGCCCGGGATGCACTTACACTGAACAAACACAACGCTCCGAACAACAACTCCCTGGAGCAGCTCCGTGCTATCGCAGGTCTTTGCAACGCCGGCCAGTTTGATGCCGCCACCATGCGCCTGCCCCTCCACGAGCGTGTCATTCACGGTGATGCTACAGACCAGGCCATCCTGCGTTTCTCTGAGAGTCTGGGCCAGGTTGCCGAGCTGCGTCGCTGCTGGCAGACAAAGTACGAGCTTGCCTTCAACAGCAAGAACAAGTACATGATCCGCGTTCTTGGCCTGTCCCACCCCGATGGCTTGTCGTTCGCTCTGCCCTCTGACACTGCATCGGTATTCCAACCAGGTGATGTGTAAGTGAATCTTCAAGAAACCGTCTTTTTTGGAAAGTGAGAGAGGCTAACACGGGTTGCAGTCTGCTGACCATCAAGGGCGCCCCCGACGTTCTTATGCCCAGACTCAGCAACTACGTCAACCCCTCCGGATACACCACTGCCTTGGACCCTTCGACGCGTGCTTCCATCGAGCAGATCAAGGATGAATGGTCAGCTCAAGGCCGTCGCGTCCTGCTGCTCGCTCGCAAGGCCATTTCGAGATCCGCTCTTAAGGGAACCCCGTCCGACAGCTCTTACGAGATGGAAATCAACAACCAAGCCAAGGCCGGCCTCACTCTCGTCGGTATTGTTGGTATTGTCGATCCGCCCCGCCCCGAGATCCCTGAGGTCATGAACACCCTCCGTGGTGCGGGCATTCGAATCTTCATGGTGAGTTCAGTGTTCCTCCTTAGAACGAAGTCCCTCAATACTCACGAAACACAGGTCACTGGCGACTTTGCTCTCACGGCTCAGGCCATCGCAGCTGAATGCAACATAATCAGCGTCCCCCGCTCTCAGATCGACGATATCTCGGCCCTTCAACGCATAACAAATGTCGACCCATCAATAAAACCCGTCATGGACGATCTCGAGTCCTCCCCACGCCAGGCCCTCGTCCTCTCCGGTCCTGAGCTGATGACCCTCAACGAAGAGCAATGGGATCAACTGGCGCAGTATCAAGAGATTGTCTTCGCACGCACGACGCCCGAGCAGAAGCTTCGTATCGTCCGCGAGCTACAGGCGCGCCACCAGATTGTGGGAATGACTGGTGACGGCGTCAACGACGCTCCCTCTCTGCGCGCTGCGGATGTCGGCATCGCCCTAGGCTCGGGAAGTGACATCGCCATCGAGGCTGCGGATATGGTTCTCCTCGATTCCTTTTCCAGTGTCGTCGAGGCGCTGCGCTACGGACGCATGATGTTCGACAACCTGAAGAAGACCGTCGCTTACCTTCTGCCCGCCGGAAGTTTCTCCGAGTTCTGGCCCGTCATGACAAACGTCCTGTTTGGCATCCCTCAGATTCTGAGCAGTTTCCTCATGATCATCATTTGTCTCTTCACCGACGCTGCCGCCGCTATTGCCATGGCCTACGAGGCCCCGGAGGCGGACGTCCTGCTCCGCAAGCCCCGCGTGCCTGGCAAGGACCGCCTCGTCGACTGGCAGCTCGTTGTCCAATCCTACGGCCTCGTTGGCGTGCTCGAGACTCTGTCCTCGTTCGCCATGTCGTACTGGTACCTTGAGCGCAACGGCATCAAGTTCTCCGACATATGGTTCTCCTTTGGAAACCTCCCCTCGAGCATCGATAAAGAGTATTACCAGCAGAAGCTCAACATCGCGAGCTCCATCTACTTTGTCAACCTCGTCGTCATGCAGTGGTTCAACCTCATGGCCATTCGCACCCGTCGCCTGTCGCTCTTCCAGCACCCGCCCATCGGCAACAAGCGGACGCAGAACCTGTACCTGTTCCCCGCCATCGTGTTCGCTCTTCTAATGGCGATTTTCTGGCTTTACGTCCCCGAGTTCCAGACGACGCTTGGTACGGCCCCGGTGCCGGTTGAGTACTGGTTCTTGCCCATGACCTTTGGCCTTGGCATTCTTCTAATCGACGAGGCGAGAAAGTTTGCGGTGCGGAGATGGCCTACTGGCATTATTGCCAAAGCGGCCTGGTAAGCAGAGAGCGTAAATGTAACAAGTCATAAGGGCTTAGTTGGGGATGGTATATACCTTCGGAGATACCCTGAGACAGGTTGGCTCGTCGTGGATCATGGACTTAGTTGTTGCAGGGCAGGGGCGGGGGTGAAAGGGGGGGCATACTTTCATTGCATTGGTTCATCATTCAAAGCGAGCGAGCGAGCGATCGTCAACTCTAAAAGCAAATACAACGTAATTGTCTACATCGATCACATATTTGGCATTGCTGGTGTTGCACTAGGTGCTAAGAACAGCAGCCGGCTGGGAGATGTTACAATCAGAAGCAAACAAAACCAATTCATTTAGACTAGCCTATTAGTATATAAAACGTAGGCCACTTTGACTATCTTCAATTTAATATACCCTTGCTTTCGTTCATTAAAGAAAAGCTTTCCGTTCTACTTGGAGGCTGGCACGGGGATGAGTTCTTTTGCCATGCTTGGCTCATGGAGCACCTCTCATGCGTCTTCGGCCTGGCGACTCTTAAATAAGTCTACTTGGACATGGTCTCATCATGTTCCGACTTTGAAACCACACGCTCAAAGGAAGCGGGCAAAGGTCGGCCCCACTATGCCTGCCAGAGCAGCACGTCCTTCTCTAAAGACATCTCCGAGCAGTGGGAGTTCTTCCACTCATCCCTGGAAAAAGACCAGCCGACTCATATGCGCTCCAGGCTCACCGCTCGCCAGGGCGAGCAAGGCGGGTCTGTTCTTCCTGCGGCTGTCTAACGGCAGCTTCTCGGAGCCTGCTGCACGCGTACTCATCAACGACGGCGGCGTCGAAAGGGTGGACAAGACGATCACGGCGAAGATGGATTTCGGCATCTTCGATTTCATGAACTGGGCTAACAACATCCCCGTGGAGGAGCTACTATCTGGTGACGACACCGATTCTACTGAGTTTCAGTTCCTCAACGGGACCATGCATACGGTGGTGTGGATCTGGGTGCAGCAGTTGGTTGTGAAAGTCCAGTAATTAGAATATCCATAAATCTGAGAGTGGGGTTAATAGCAAGTCGACACCCATGGATGCGTCCAAATCCAGTATGAGCCATTGCCATTTAATTAACCGCGATTGCTCATCCGCTATGGACGATTCGTTGGTACCCGAGGTGTAGCAAGGTGCATGAGGATTTCTCAGTTGCCGGCCCTCCCTCTAGAGAATTCACCTTATGAGCTCCTTTTTGCGCCCCCCCCCCCCCCCCCCCCCCCCCCCCCCCCCCCCCAACCCCCATCGGCCGTATTTCAGAGACGTTACAGTTGACAGGACTTGCACCATACCATGTCTTCCACCAAGACAGGCCCGTTTCGACATCGTCTACTCGCCACTAGACATTACCGAACGCACAGTGCTGCCCCGGACTGACGAGCAATCCGAAGGCTTCTGGAACAAAGTCCAGTTCTCCGCCATCTACGAATTCCCCGAAGCCCTGCTTCTAGTCTGGCCTATCTTGGACCCCGTAGCGACATTACCGTTCTCGATAGCACAGCTGCCCCGGGCGAGGTGTTCGAGAACCGGCAACCGTTTGTGACCGAGAATCTGGACGGCTTCAAGACATTCCGCCCTGTAGCCACGCTGCCTGCCACCTACCCACTCATTTTTCACATTGCAGCAGCTGTTGGCATCTTTGACGACTTCCTTGTAGTAAGCGACAGGATGACAGAGCTGCACGACTTTAATTGGGCTAAGGTTGAGGAGGCTAAGCGCGCAGGTAGTACTAAGTTCTACTGCTGCGATACAAATTGCGACCGTCAGCCGTACTTGTTTATGACTAAGGAGCCGAAGCTGTCTATTGGAGCGCAATAGAAGCCCTATATTACCCTTGGCGAGGCTGTGTGTGCTATTCACGAGTGGCTTCTTACCTTACAGGAGGAGATCCTTATTGCTGAGACTGCGCTGTGGGAAGGCGATAACTGGGGTTGCCAGACGCCATTGCTACTAAGGGATACGAAATTTTGGGTTTCTGGTCTCTGGGGGACAGACGTTTTTCGCCAGGGCGGCTTTGGGTCTGGGGAACAGATGTCGTGGGACCCTGAGACGGGGAATGGATGCCCAAACACGGAAGAGGAGTGGAAGGAGCGTTTGAAGATGGCGAGGAAGAGGCGAGAGGATATATACGCGCTAGAGGCGATGGCGGTCATAAGCCTGGAATGACAGAAGTGGAGTAAGTTGTATGTGATTGTATTATTGGTTGATTACAAGCAAGGCTTGCTCGCTGGCTTATTTGCGGACTTATCCTTCTTGTGATACATGAGCCTTCCGTACTGTATTGGTGAAATCTTCCCAGAATTTCCTCTGCAAAACTCCCTGTTCAGCTGCACCGCCTAGATCATCCCAGAGATCCAGGACACTGTTCGCCGATTTCACAAGCCGAACGCTATTGATTTTTTGTTTTCCTAGAGTCAACAAGACCTAGCAGATCTCCTGGCGTGGCTTTTGATGAATGACTGGCAGATGCTATTATCGGCAAGCTTGGGGCCGTAACAGAAGTCATTGATGGCTTGCTCCGCGTCCTGTCCGACGTCCTTATTTACATATCTACCAGGTATAAAGCGTCAGTGCTTCTCTTCGTTCTCACATAATAAGGTTAAATCTGCCCGTTTAGAGATCACTCACTTCGCCCAAGCTTGCCATGCTTCATCTTGTGCAGATTGTACTTTCTTAGCTTCCTCCCACCTGGAAGTAGATTTTGCAGGCAGGCCGCCTGTATCTCCCAAAAAGCCTGTCATCTGGACTCCAAGTCCTCCGGGAAGAGCTCAACTTCCTCATGGAGCACATAGAACTCCTCACAGAACATATTGTATAAGTCGTCTTATTCGTTTTCAAAACAGAATTTTAGACGAAGGCCTCGTCAAAATCAGATGATAGATCCGCCATGGCGAAGACGATGCAGGAGCGAAAGGGCTGCGCGTGCGCCCCCAGACAAGTGAGTTTGAAGAAGTAAGAGGGGCGAGGTGAATTTCAAAAGCGATTAATTGTATTTAGAAGGGCGCCAGAGGACGTAGAATACGGCAGACTTGAAAAGCGAGAAAAGAAGGGACTTGGAGGCCCGGCGGCCCAATAGGCGAGTCCCCCTTCACGCCCAATCACACCTCGTAAGATATCAAGCATAATGACGAGAACGAACGGCGGCCCAAAACGTGTCAACGACGGCAAGGTCGAAGAGTCCAGGAAGGCAGATGCTGGGGGCGTTAGAGAAGGCCGATTTCGTCTAGGCGGGTGGACGGATTTAAGCTATTACGGGCGGAGGACCGTACGGCGGCGCAGAGGCGAAATCGCAGCCGGGCACCGTTTCGTCTGCTGAGTTAGCCGGGGTCTCAAATGTTCCAGTGGGTATGGTCGTCTGTGATATGAACAATAGCCAAGAACGCTTATGAAAGCCTGATGAGCGACGATGAGAGATACTACGATCCAGTTTTCGTATCTTGACTCGCCCCAATTGGCAGGTGACAACATTAGTTCTTATCTCTCGCTAAATCATCACAGTTTGAGTATAGCCTTCGACGTCGTGTCGTTACGGGTTACGGTCCAAGAAATCATCACGTTTTTACCAAAGTCTGACTGCATTTTGCTCGGATTTGCAGCCCAATGACAACTGGGATCTCAACATCACACACTGCAAGGGCAAACAGAGATAATATTCGGTCCCATCATTGATTGGTGTTTACCACCTCAGCGCTATAGGTGCTGTGAAGTGGATGCCTGGTAAGGATTGTCTCGGCACATCCTTAGACCTTACTATCAAATGTTGGAAAGACTGGGAACTGGTACCCGCCGATCGTACGGCAATTGCAATGAGCACAGTAACACGCTCCTGATAGTGTCTTCTCAGAATTATTAACGCGTCATGGAGACGGTGACTTGCGTACCAACGACTCTTGGTTCAACAAACACGTCACAAATACTTTCGTACCAATGAAGACTTAACTATGGATTCCTGCAGCCTATGGGTTTCTTCCATGGCAAATACTGTATGCCGCTGGCAGACTATGGTGTTTCAATCGAGTTATGTATTTATTCGAATCGGAATCATCAGATCTGTGAAATTGACACGACTCCACGCCCAAAAAGTCTTACTACTATACCACGATACACATCACTTTCTCACCAACGTTGACCATGTTCCTTATGGCCCGAGTTGTATAAGACGGAGGACAGCATGGCGGCGCGTTTAATGCGGCCGTAGATGCCAAGCGCGTTGCAGGGCGCAACTGTCAAAACCAAGGAATCATGATTGTGCCGCTTCGACGACACTGCCCTCCCGTTTCCCTATTGACCCCAATCTTGACATAGGCCGTTCCAGGTGCACGCGCCAGGTGACCAGGATGAGTAGATGACGCATGCTAGTTCAAGAAAATTGCAACTACGTTTCTTGACCGAATGAGCATGAATCTTCCCTATTAGGCATTTGTTGTCGCACTGGGTGTTGTGGCTGTGGCACAGGCTGATTCAGCACTACACTCCATCCTTCGCGGATAAATCAAATCGTGCGTTTTGCAAGACGGCTGATGGGTGCTTGACTTTGAAGCAAACGACCCCTTTGTGCCGAATATAAACCATCCCAACACAAACAAGGATAGAAACCCAAGAGATATAAAGGTGCCGTCTATGCAGCACCCAATTTTTCTCTTCCCTGGTTTCTCTATACACAGTGCAGACCCTGCAACTTTCTGAAACCCCACGCCAACCCCTCGGGTCAAGATTCCGAGTTTCTTTCGTGCTGCCTTCAAACCTTCCACAGCGTCCAACTATATGACAGCAAACCTGCAGGGATTCGGACCTCGATCCACAATGAGTTTGGCAAGCATCAACGACAACTGAGAAACCTTATAACTGTTTTACGCAAAGCATCACGTCTTCTCGAGATATTTTGAATCTTGAGCACGTACCTACGCTTCCTCGCGCCAAGCTGGGTCAAGACAACGACTCCGAAACATGCCAAGTATGCAAAGCTACATTGGGTTCCTGTCATATTCCATGTCGTCGTTGGCACGGTCGAGCTATTTTGGTACTACTACCACCTTACTCTCACCGGCGAGTCTCCAAATCCCAACATGATCGACCTTTGCCTTTGTAACACCATGGCAGCGGGTAGTTTCCAACTGACTGATTACGTTCACGAAGGAAATATTCCGTTTATCAGGACCACGTTTCAGGGAACTGCACTGCAGCGGGTGCTCGCCTCCACGCTGGGGTACGTGCATGGTGACGCGCAGTGACATCGGGCCTCCATCAAACTCCTGAACAACTTCACCTGGACCCGGTGGATATGGGCATACGCAACATGTTTTCAGGGATTCTTGATGTACAGGGACGCGTTCACGGCCTCCGGAGTCATCTCTCACCCGATCTCTCACCCGCTTACATTGTGGGAGGGCGATTACCCCGCGGGGATTCCTGTCTTTGGGGCCATCAATTTGCTGTTGCTCGCCGTCGACAAGTGGACATCACGAAAACTAGACGGAAGGTGAGTCGCGCTAGAAGACTGGATGGCCCAATACCGCCGTCCGAAATTGTGGTTTTAAGCTGATCTGGGCATCACAGACCAGGGTTCGTCCCCCGCGTTCTGGCGCACTGCAGGCTTGTCACCGTGAACAAGAAACATCTCGAAACGGCGTCGTCTGGGGTAAAGCTGGAGTAGGTTCTGTCATGGCCATGACCTTGGTGAAGCTGGGAGAATGAAACTTTCTGGGCACGCCGCGCATTTTCCGACAGTTTCCCCCCCCCGGCTACTGCTCTAGAGACGTCGCCGAAAAGGGTGGAGCCATTGCCGACAGTTGACTCACCCTTTACAGTCACATCAATGTGCTCAGGATCCTTAGGTTTCAACGTTTCAAATTTTTGTGCACTTGACTTGCTTCTGTTGAGCAACGTGGGCATAAACTGGTTGCTCGATGGATTGTGTGCAAAAGGTGGATTCGGCAAACGTCCGAGGCGCGGGTGGATCACCGACTCGCGGATGCAGGCAACACCCAATCCCAAGTGCCGCAACTAAAGGTCATCCGCCCGCAGGGTGGGAATGCCAGCCGCGAAAGGCAAGCCGATGCCGGTAGGCTCTTCGTATTTGTCGCGAATCCCGCCAGGGTCGCCCAGCAAGCTGGAGAACCCAGGGCCGACCTGAGACTTATATGCTTTCGGCCATCCCCTTTTCTAGAAGAAATCGAAGGTAGGAAGGGTCCAACTATTATGCAGGTGCTAGTTGCGCATTGCTGTACGAAATAACATCTCTCTCACTATGTTACGCCGTCATTCCCGTGGCTGAAGGGCCATCGCCACGAGTCAGCGGGAATTCGTGACGTGGGGGTTTGCACGGGTCGTACACCCACTGTTAGCGAACTCCTCGGTCACCTCTTGACCTATGTTGGGGCCTTGGCATCGCATGCTGCCGGCTTGGCTATTGTGCTTGTTTTTCGCCGCATTGCATGGCGTCGGTTCTGTGCATGGTTGACGACCTGCAATCGTTCAACGACACTTCAACAGCAGTGTGAGTTGCATCTCAGTGGGACTTGGGTGGCTATTTTTCTCTCACCGAATCATCCATCGCATCCGGGCCGTCTCACGGCCTGCATCTAGCCTCGTACGATGAACTTTGATGGTCATTCCGCCCCTCCCTCGGCCGCCTGGGTATGAGGGCTCCGCAGCTCTGTATGACAACGAGAGGGATTTAAACAGCAGGGCGGGACCCCGGAGGGTGGCCTTGAGGAAAGGCGTCAAATGGGTGGATCGCTAGACAGTCTGAGCGCTCCACGGGGTAGACCTGATGAAGTTATCGCTGTTGAGAAAACGGGACAGGTGTGGCAGGTTCGGTCGACTTCCGACGTGAGCCCTGGCCGACTCTCCCGGTCACGCACAACGGCGCGCGTTCGGCGTTGACGACACAGGCCCGCCGATGGTCAGTCGAGCCCCTCCAGGGGATTCTTCTTTCATACTTTTCTCCATCTTTTCCTTCTCCACACAGGCGACTCTGACGGAACGGGGATGTAAGCAGCTCTGCATTATGAATCTGGCTTTGCGGCCAGAATCCCGCGGGGTCTCCGCACACATCTCCCCACAAGGGTTATAATAACAAGATGAAGGCGGGCGGTCGACGAAATCTCTTAAGAGCGAGGTCGCCTCGCTTCTCCTCGAGCACTTATTTCTACCTCTCTGTATTCCATCCTCGCCGACTGTCCGTTTATCTTCCCTTACACACCTAGGTTGAACTTCTTTTCCACCGGAAGACTTCGGGCAACCTCTGTGCTTGCAAACACCAGTCTTCGACCATGGGCTCGAAACTCTACTTTGGCCTTACGGGCAATGCCCTGAGCATTCTTCAGATCGCCCTCGTGGTTTGCCCAGCCTTCATCCTCTTCGGATACAACCAGGCCGGCCTCGGTGGTCTGCTCACCTCGGAGGATTGGGTCAAGACTTTCCCAGAGATCGACACGGTCAACACCACTGGCGCCACTAAGAACGCCAACTCGACGCTGCAGGGCTTCGTTGTCGCCACCTTCACCATTGGTGCTCTTTTCGGTTCCCTTTTCTGCTCCTGGGCCGGCAACGCTTTTGGTCGTCGTAATGTTATCTTCTTCGCCGGTGTCTGCACCCTCATTGGCGAGGTCCTCGAGTGTGCTTCCTTCCAGCTGGCACAGCTCATTGTTGGTCGTGTTATCGTCGGTTTTGGTATTGGACAACTCAGCTCCATTGTGCCCGTCTGGCAGAGTGAGACATCCGGAGCTAGCAACCGTGGTCGCCAGGTCGTCCTCACTGGTCTCTTCACCTGTGTTGGTTACGTCTTGGAGAGCTGGATTAACTTGGGCTTCTGGGAGTTCAAGACTGGTCCTGTCACATGGCGCCCTCCCATCGCCATTGCCATCGCTTTCTCTCTCATCATGATGGGCAGCATCTACTTGCTCCCCGAGTCGCCTCGCTGGCTCGTCATGAAGGGTCGTACGGACCAGGCTCGCAGCATCATTTCCGCATTCAGAGGCCTGCCTGAGGATTCCATGGAGGTCATGGCCGAAGTTGCTGGCATTGAGCATTCACTCGAGGAGACCACCCAGAACGCTGCCAAGCTCACCGACATGCTCAAGATGGGCGATGACAAGCTGGCCTACCGCTTTGGACTCTGCATCCTGCTCCAGTTCTACCAGCAGATGTCTGGAAGCAACCTTGTTTCCGTCTACGCACCCATCTTGTTCCAGCAGAACCTTGGCATGGAGCCTGAGGCGTCCAAGGCCCTGGCGGGTGGCGCCCTGACCTGGAAGTTCCTCTCGTCCTTCTTGGCCTTCTTCGCCATTGACCGATTCGGCCGCCGCGCCGTCTTTATCTTCAGTGGCTTCGGCATGTGTGCTTGCATGACCTGCCTGGCCATCACAACGTCTTTCCCCAAGGATAACCAGGCGGCTCAGATCGCGGCCGGCTGCTTCATCTACCTGTTCAACACCTTTGTCCCCATTGGTTTCTTGGGCGCCAACTTTTTGTACTGCACTGAGATCGCACCCATTCGCCTCCGCATGGCCATGTCTTCCATCTCTACCGCCAACCACTGGCTCTGGTAAGTCGCATTCCTGGATCATCTCAGTTCAATGGCCATCATCTAACTTGCCTTTCAGGAACTTCATTGTTGTCATGGTTACCCCTGTTGCCCTTAACACCATTGGCTGGCAATACTACATCGTCTACGCCGTCATCTCGGCTTGCATTCCCGTCAGCGTCTACTTCCTCTTCCCTGAGACCATGGGTCGCAACTTGGAGGAAATCGAGCTGCTTTTCAAGGAGTCCCCTTCCGTGTTCGCGACGGTCAAGTTCGCAAAGAACCGACCCATCGCTATGCCCCAGGAGTTCGAGAGCGACAAGCCAAGCCAGAAGGCCGACTACGTTGAGAAGGCCACTGACGACTCTGCCTAATTGTATTTTATGAAGTAATGAGTGCGGTTGGGGTTTTGCAGGCCACCCCCGAAAATATCTAGAATTAGCGAGCGAAAATGATTTTCGGCGACGTTTTTAGCGTCTGAAAAGAATAAATTACAGAATATTGAATCTGGTATCAGCACATACCGAAAAACTTATCCGTTCATCTTAAGCCTGTTAAATGATCCACATGAAAAAATAAAATTTGATTTTTTTTCTTTCCAGACTATGGGTGCCAGGAGGGCACACCTTGATTTTCCTGCGAGATCGGACTTTGTGCAGCCGAAGAAGCAAGCAGACTCAAACGACGTAGAATGCCGTTTTGTAACACGAGGGCGAACAGAGGCGGGATCTCATCCTCAAGAACCTCATCAATGCAAGATTGCCTAGCGACCAAAGGATATAAATAATGCAAATGTCATCTATGGAAAGCTACTCTCGGTGCGCGAGGCCCGCCCGTGTTCATGGCCAAGCCATCGTGCAAACTTGGTCGTGGGCATAACGTTCGCTGGGTCGAGACGACGGCCGTCAGCCTGGCTGTTCGTGTTTGTCACTCTTCGAGGATTCTCACAATACTGGTGCGGTTCAGAGAAGAGCTGGTTACTCCTGCGAATAATAGCGGCTTCAGCAGTTCCGGGATGATTCTGATGACTTGGACCGAGAACCTGGAAGCTGGTGCACCTTTATCCCTTACGTGAGGAAGGTCTTCCGTATGTTGTAGCACATCGTGCCTAAGTAAGGGCCCGGACATGTTTGTGAAGGTCGGTAAAATTGTCAGATGCAGCGCGTAAGCCATCCACCACCAGCCGGTGATTCAGAGAAGGGGGCATGCATATCCACCGGCTCCAGCAGTGACTGCAGGAGGAGAGCAAAACCCCTGAGGCGGAAGGGAAGCAGATCAAGAAGATGTACAGCTACATATTGCATTTCGGCACAGGCAGCTAATCAATTATCGCAAAGATTGCCACCCTGTTGGACATTGGAAGGTGGTGTCAGTCCTTGAGAAATCAAGTGTGAAGTTGGCCACCGGAAATGTACGGTGAGGTGGATTTGCTTCAATGTCCAAATCCGATGGTTTTCGCCATTGTTCGAGACCTGACAAATGTAAGGCAAGTTTTTGATCAATTCTCAGAGCCCACCTTGCATCCCAGCTTAACTCATGTCTTCTTTGTTGTGGCTACATAAGTAGTAGAGGCAAATCAAGAGCAGCTTGAAGAATCCTAGTCCTTTTCCGAGGCGGTCTCATGGAGTTGATGAAACTTCTCGTTCTTTCATCCTCACAATACTTCGCCCTTCATTAATTTGTCACACAATTGCAAGTTATCAAGTTAATCGAAATAAAAGATCTCTGGATGCAGATACAAAGATCTGTTTTTGATTGTTCTATTGCCTACTGACATCACCACGCTGCTCCATCCATTTTTATCTAGGACAGGTCATGGTCGATAGACGATGAAGCACGCTCTATATGAAGCCGATAATTATGACTGACAAGATAGATCGACCCGAAAAGCAGACAAAGTTCACAAGAACTATCTAGAGCAATTTCGACATCACAGTTTCATTCCACTGTGACTCGGCCAGCACAGCAGACTCTGGATGCTTGATTTTTTTCGACAGCGTTTATTCAATGGACGAACTTACGGATATTGACACGGCCAGAATTGCACCTGCGTGACCGGGCCGGATATAGTGCCTGCAGTTATGTACCTGGTCTGATCTTACTCGCAGCGAACTACTACCTGACTTGGCAAGACATATATGCCCCTGGGTCTTGGAAGTAGGAATAACAGGGCTGAGTAGCCAGGGCAGCACCGCCGTGCAGATGTCAGCACCACCCTGCGTCAGCGATGGAACCATTCAGACCTTTTGTGCGCCTGTTGGCTGCAGCAATATTTCTCGCCATGAAACATATTGAACATACGTCGGGTAGCCTGTCAGCGGCACGATGCAACAGTATTGCAGTATCTCGTATTCGTCTATGTCTTGGCACTGACTGCAGCTTTCTGGCATGACAAGTTGCAAAGCCTATATATTATAAGATTGCTTATTGCTGAAAGCTGTTCAGCGATGTAGGGTCTCTGGTTCTGGAGGTTTTAGCCACATTAGAGAGATACGATACAATGCTCACCTCGATTGTTGGTACTGCTCTATCGACGGCCGCCGCAGTGTCGGCGTGTATTCCCCCAATTGAACCCCTTTCCAACAACATCCCCGAAGGATTTGGCATCAAAATACAGAATGCTGCTATTCCCATCATCCATAACCGCTACATTAACCTTTGGTCGGCAGGCGGTGGCGACCAGCATCTCTATCTCAGCCCAGCTGGGGACTCCGCGTTCGACTTGACTCTTGTGAATGGTGTCATCTCCCAGGGCATCATTCATGCAGTCATCAATGGCGAGGTAGATAGTTTTCGAATTCAAACATGTTTAATCGCTAATACAGGGCTTTAGTACACTGCAGACGACAACACCACCAAGATGTTCATGACAGAGCGCGGAGACCCCAAAGCCTTTTTCCAACCAGTCTACGGATGCAACCCGGAGACTAACGTTGTTCAGGTCGAATTAGACTTTGTGTCCAGAGCCGCCCTTCCAGGCGGTTTCATTTGCTTCAGAAGCGCATCTGGAGAGAGACATGAGGCCAGGTATTCCCCTCCTGGAAACAGTGGTAGGGGTTTTTTTTCTCTTCAATTCCCCATGCATTCGCATTCCATGGGTCAAAATCAATACTTTGTCCTGTTTCCCCCGCTTGGCAATTTCGTATGAAATTCGTAACTAAGTATCAGCTTCTAGTCTTCAGAGCAGACCGGCCATGTTATGAGGTTACCTTGGCTATAGTTTCCGCTCCGACAGTCTGAAATGATATTGCTTGACCTATCACGCTAGCGTACTAGGACCCCATTCTGGGACGTAGATTACATTGTTTCTTGCAAGAATGGAACCGCGAAGTAAAATGGGCTACGCGATTATCTGTGACACGATGTTTGACTCAGTGGATTGACCAAGGAGGCGTTCTAGTGCTTGCACGGGCCTCATCCCTGCTAGCCGACCGGCAGCAAGTGGGAAGCATTTCTAATCTGGAACATACACACACCCAAACGTTGCGTGTTTACACTATCGTGTGAAATAATCGCAATGGTATTGTCCATTTCCTACAACAAATTGTTGCTCCTAAGTTTTTACACGCGCAGAAAAATAGTATTGTAGACAGATGACCTAAGAGCTAGACCGCAAGTTTTCCCGCTTTCACGTGGACCGTCCAATGAAGAAGAGCGCTTAGGCATTTGTGCCGAGGTTCAACCCGCTTGCCCGACGTCGCAATCCACACCTGCAACCATCAACTCATCATCGATAGCACCCACGACCGCTCATCACATGGAGCGCCAAAACTAAGGTGTAATGATGACTATCGATACAAGCGACATGTCAAGTGCAGGCCGCTTGCCGCAGACAGCGAGCGAACTCGAGGCGCTTCCATGGTGTCGCGCTCTCCTCACAAGGCCCAGGATCACGACCTTCACTCCGCAATCGCGCGACCCGGAGAACACCAATCCGCACGACAGATTCTTCGGCAAGACACTCAACCATTCGGAGGGTATACCAGCATGTATCAGCTTCTATCCCGAGAGCTCAGGAAAAGCTGTCATCACTGAACTTTCAACCCTTTTCGCGCTCTCACAAGGAACCGATGGCTATCCCGGCATCGCGCACGGCGGCATGATTGCAGTGCTCATCGACGAGGTACTAGGTGTCCTGATTCAAATAAATATGGACACAGACAGAGATGATCCAGTCTTCAAGATGAACACGGTGACCTCGTCGATGGACATCAAATATCTCAAGCCGATTACTACGCCAGGGGTCGTGCTGGGAGTCGGGCAAATCAAAGAGATTCGTGGAAAGAGATTGCATCTCAGGGCGATAATCAAAGATTCAAGTGGGGTAAATCTGGCTACTTGTGACTCTGTGTGGATCGGGATCCCAAGGGTGAAGATGTGAAGCACATCGTTGAATGTTCCACAAGCACTGAAGGGAGCTTGAAAAGACGAAGAACGGGGGATCTCACTAAACGGTTTCGCTACGAGAGCCTTAATACAGATCTCTGTCCTCAACCCTTTAGCATTTGTTATATTCGGTACTGAGAGAAGAATCCGCTGCATTGATTCCGAAGAATGCATATATTATGTAACTCATGCTCTCTTATACTCACACTAACTTCAACTTGTCTCTTGTTATCTTTAGGCAACTTACACTTTCACTGTTTCTGTCAGCCCGTACGCAAAGTCATGTTGCTATATGAGACCATTCTCTATGCTAGCTATAGTTGTGACCTCTTTCTATGTTTATAATCAACCCTTTTTCCAAGCGGCGTTGAGGATATCCTTGACAGTCCAAGCCTTGATTTCCGGAAATACTTCGTTGAGTGTCTTTGTGCCTGATGGAGGGATATCAAAGGTTCCATCATTAAACCATAGGCCGAAGATAGAAATCATTCCCTGCAAGGCTTCTTTGGGGAAAAATGGATACACAGGAACATGGCCGGGGAGCTCCGTCACCTGGCCAGTCTTCAACTTGTCGATGCTGTCATAGGTGACATCAAACTTCGTGCCTATTATATGATATGATTAGCCGCAGACACAACAACCCTGCCAGACGGTGTGTACGTACCTTTAGCAGCCTCCGCATGTTGTAGAAATTCATTCCAGGTCACCTTGTCCCCAACAACAAATGTCTCGGTCTCCCATTTCTCAAGGTCTAAAGCTGCCGCCACAAACCTGCCCACGTCCGCTGTGTGGGTGAAAGCGATAGGGGTGTTGCCAGAGCCAGGGATGGTCGCAGCATTGTTAGGGATGTCGACGACAAGTGTGAGAGGACTCATGTTGGACGGGACAGCCGGCGCCCCCAGTAGTCCAAGAAAAAGCCGTTGTGAACAACAGTGTACTCAAGGTTCTTGGTTTGCTTCAACAGGGCCTCGGCACGAAGCTTATGAGGAACAGAGCCTAGTTGATTGACTTGTCTGAAGTCGCTGTCAATACAGGTTTGCTGCCTTAACAGTTGGTTAGAGACTCACTGCTCAGTGTGGGGCACACCCCAGCCGCTCGAGATAATTCGCTTAGTTGTCTTTGATGCATCGGCGGCGCGGATCAGTTCAAATTCTTGAGGAACTTCACCTGGTGGGGGCAGCATGGTAATGGCGGAGATGACTGTGTGTATGTCGTTGTCTTCAAGAATCTTAGTCGTGGCCTCAACATTGGCATAGTCAACAACGATAATGGGAGCTCCAAGTTTCTTCTCCAAGTCTGGGTTTGCCTTGCATCAAGTTAGTTCATCGTGGATCGTTCCGTCTTTCCAGTGTTGCTCATGGCTCACCTTTCTAGCGAGGATCTTGACATTGTGTTTGCCAGTGGCAACGATGGCCTCAACCAAAGTCCGGCCCACGTTTCCTGTACCTCCTGCAACTGCAATTACAGCCATTTTGAGGAAAATTATCAGGAGAGCAATGGAGTAATATGTGAGTGATAGTTAAGGTTTGAAGTGATGTGATCGATTGACTGAAAACCTAAGTGCATGGTCTGGAAGGAAATAAAACAAGCAAGTCCATTATCTTTCTCGTCGCGATTACTACATTTATATATTCAAACTAATCGGTGTTGCGGGGTGAGTAGAGTCCGATGACAGAGTGGTTCGCAAGCGGGCTTTGATTCTCGTCACCTAATCTCGATTGAGGCGGATATTGTTTCCCCTTCCTTTTGTAGCTTTAGACACCATACGGCGGAAACAAATCGGTTTGTTGACAAGCACGCTACCGGCAAGGCAGGGCGGGTACAGGTTGTTATTTCACCTTTTTTTGTTGCCGCCCATCGTCCCACTAATTATCCAGAGAGACTAGAAAAGACGACATAGGGACTATTGGAGAAAACAAGAATGATGAAGGCACTAACAGAAATGGCAGAGATAACAAGGAAGATAGAGTTATTCTTCGACAGTTTCTCTGAATTTCATGTCCACGCGACGAAATAGTTGAGTGAATCAGAGACAGGACCTCTCGGCTTTAAAATACATCCGCCTACTTAGCGACGACCCACAAGTAAAAATACGCTATGGCCAAAAGCGCACTGTCCCACGTGGGATAGATTGCACACGGGAAGTTCCTGGTCAGAGGACGCCACCAAACTTACCTAATGCTTGGCACGGATGCAATTTGTATCCGGAAATTACGTGACTGGGCCAATCATGAAACTACTTCCTCTTCACTTTCTATCCCCTTAGAGAGAGTCTTCTTGGTGACCACATTTGATTCCGAGAGGTTTTTTTTTTTTTGGTTCATTGTTCAGCTCACTTTCCAAACGTGGGCTTCCGGCTGCTATTCGGGGCCGAATCATTGTTGGCAACCCGGGACGCCGGCCGTGAGTGGGTCTCTCGTTGTCCGGTTACCTCTCCGAAACAGTTGGAAAAGATAGACTGACCGGTCCGGAGCACTCGTTTCGGGTTCTCCGCATACACACGCACACGCATCATGAGCACCATGGATACAGAGTCCGTTCAAAGCGGACAGACCCGGGATAAAGCATCGCGCATTGCTAAGGTGAGTTCAAACCCCATATCCACAGATCACACAACAGCTTAGAGACTGATACAAACGCACCGTAGGCTTGTTTGAGATGTCAATCTAAAAAGATTAAGTGTGATGGAAAGCTTCCATCGTGTACTCCTTGTGTCAACCGCAGCAATGAGTGCGTGTACCAGCAGGTGCAGAGGCGGCGTGGTCCAGGCCGAAGGTATGCACTTTTCTCTATACTGCATGTCCTGCATGACGTGCAATTTATTCGTTCCCCCAGGTTAACTTCATCGCAGCAAAATGTATATTCAAGCCCTTGAAGAACGACTTTCAAAGATGGAGGCAGTTTTCAACCAGGCCGGACTTCCAAGGCCGGATGCACCGCCAACTCGAGTATCTCCTTCAGAAACTGATGCTGCGTCCGTGTCTGTGTTCGCCGGGCCTTCTATGCAGCCTGCCACAAGCGTAGCACTGAAACCCAGGACCAACGCTCAACAAGCCTCCTTCACCCACAAACCAACAGACTATCCAATGATCGATGAGCCAGGGTCATCAGCCCCTTGTTTGCCCCATGAATGCAGCGAACAGTCAGATCAACGGGGTAGCCAGACGCCTGTACCCCAGCCACGAGATATCCCCGAACCACCAAAACAGTTCTCTGGCAAAATGCCCGTATTTTCCGTTATTTCAAGCCGTATGAGAGAGGTCAACTCTGCTTCTTACTGTTCCACATTCAATAGACAAGTGTTCACCCCTCGTCTTGAAAGGGAAGAGGCTATCACGATTCTGATGCCTCTATATGACGACGTAATCAGCAACTATCCCCTTCTCAACTTTCACTATTTTGTCCGCCATTTTGAGAAATTGCCGGAGGCCGATGACACTTTCAACAGCACATCGGGCTGGGCGTATATGAACGCTGTTATCTCTGTTGGGACCCGGTGGAAGACCATCAACAGCGCATTTCAGGAGGTCTGCCAACTTGCGTGGCCTTTCTTCAAAAACGCTTTCTCTGTTCTGACGGAGTTGATGGTCAAGGGGAACAACTTATTATCAGTGCAAGCTATAGTCGCCATGGCAATCTTCATGCAGGGAACCACGTGCACGAGAACGGCGGCTTTACTGTCATCCGCGGCGGTGAGGTTGTCGCAGAACATCGGGCTGCATAGACAGCCTTGCACCATGACGTCCATGTGCGCACAGGATGTGGAAGCGCGAAGTCGGGTTTTTTGGGCTGCGTATATCCTCGACAAAGAGATTGGTCTGAATCATGGACTGGACTCAATACAAGACGATGACGACATTGAGACAGAGTTGCCAAGCAGTTGGGGAGAAGACATCGACGTACTCAACCTGAGAGCGAAGCTCGCCATGGTGGAGTCTTCTGTTCGGAGACGACTGTACACAGCAAAAGGTCTTCGTCTTACAGATGACGATCTAGTTAAAGCCATCATCGACCTTGATGCTCTCCTTGAAGAGTGGAAGTCAAGTCTGCCCACAGAACTCCAGCCATCTTACGAGTCACCAACAGCAAGTCGGGATATGGCTCCAGACATTCTAAATCTGCACTTGGCATTTTACAGATGCACAATCATGGTCCACTGGGCTGCAAGACGTCATGGCCAATATGCAACCGTGGCCGTCCTCATGGGAACACCAGCTGGATTCGAGTTGCCCTACATTCAACTTTCCTTTTCGCAGAAGCGATGTCGAGTGGCGGCGCATGCAACCATGGGATTGTTTCGAACTATTTCCACGCCACAATATGCAGATCTATGGTTAGTCTTGCGCGAAACCTTCCCTTTCAGATAGTTGACTGATATTGACAGGCGAATACTGTGTTACCCTCTGTGCGCTATCATGACTCTGTTAACAGGTGTACTCGAGAACCCAGGCTCTTCTGGTGCCCGCGGCGACCTGGCGACGACAAGAACTTTTGCCCATTTCCTCCAGAAATTTGAAAAGTCGGAAGGCTGCGATCTGAAGCGCGTCTTGACTGCATGTGCATTTTTTCAAAGAACAGTGCAATATGCCGTGGACGATGCCCAAAACGTGATGCGTGCCCAGAACCTGGTTGGTAACAGCGGCGGCAGTATGTCACTGATTCCGAGTTTCGGTCTTAGTAAAGACGCGCAGGTAAGGCACCAGTTGTGATTCAATTCCATAGTCACCGCTAACAGTTTGATACCTAGGTCTTGCAGTCGCTACTTGGCGCCGCAACTCATCCCATGTATCTTGTCCAAGGACTGATGGGCAATTTGCCGAACCGAGACCAACATCTCATACTGAGACTCGCTCAACTTCTCGGCACTCCTTTTGAAAGTGGCAAACCTGGCAGCCCTCTTGGATCCCAACCTTTACGACCGGAGACTTACGGCTTTGGCTTTGGTCAAGGCCAAGCTGGCAATGACCCAACAGCGAATTGGTCTTGAGGCTGACAGCAACTATCTGGAGCTTTGCGGTGTTTGATAACAGCTCCATCACAAACAAATATTCTTATCCCGTCGCCTGCGGGAAAACGTCAGACATCCCTGCTGCGGGTAATTAATTCAATAAAAACGTATGAAGTCATTCATCTATCCAAAAACTTTTCTAGAAATTCTGGTACCTTTATTCCCTATACTTAGCTGCAACAGAGGTATAATTAATCTCTCTAGCACACATACAGGCTATTCTCCAGACACAACATCTGTATCAATTGAGGGGTGGAGCAGAAATGGAGAAATTGAAGCATGGGCTTTGGGCTCTTTTCCGCAGTCCATGGGATAATCGTTATAAGGAGACATTGGGTCTACCTGGACTGAGCCTAGGGATAGTCCTCGAGGGAAGGTTGAGGCATTGTCACTTAATCTGGTGGAGTTTGATGAGTATTAACACCCACCTGGGCTGGAATGAGCTCACGATGTACACGGACCTTAGAAGTACCTTGGTGCCTGTTATGGTGCACCATAATACGCATCGTAATGACCTGAAGGAGGAGAGACTAGAGGATTGATGGAAGCACAGTTTGATTTACCCTTATCTTCAACAGCTGCTGGAGTTACAAGCGCAACCAAAGAAGTCACTGGAGCCACTAGTCAGGGTTCCGGGCCGGGGTGGCGTCAAGGACATTGTCTACGGCGCACTGGAGGCGGACACGACGAAGAGGAGACCTCGCCTCCTCAAGAAAGAGAACTTCAAGGACAATAGCCTAACAGAAGATATTTGGAATGACTTATGTAAATCAGAAGGGCACGAATAATGGTGGAAGGAATCTTCCACGACGGAAGCGATCCATTCTACGGGAAGAATTCCACGTAGAAGTTGGTTGCTCTATTAAATCTGGCACTACAATTTCCCGGGTGGCAAAGATAACAATGCTAAGCCGAACGGCGTTCTTCTGGGGGAAGTTTTTTTTTCGAAAAAATGTTGTCCCAGAGATACTATCACTTTACAAATCAAGTTGAATTGATCGTACCTTTTCGATTCACTTCTGGTACTATTGCATAGCTTACCTACCTTGTGCAAAATCCTGGGTGAAGGAAAGGGCTTGAACTTGACAATGCAGGTTGGTTTCCAGGCTTTGAGAGAGGTTGGTAAATAAGCGGTTCTCCGGGCCAACGGTTGACGATTATGAATATACCGAAGAACAACAGACGTCATCGTTTTCTGCCACCAGATATGCAGTTCCAGATGGTAAAGTGACCTGAGAGTGTCAACCGCCTTCAACGTGAGTACTGCAAATCGGATCATCTGTGTCACCACTATGACATACCCAGAACCAATATCTTCAACTGCACATTGCTCCTCAAGATATCCCCCAATGATCTCACCAGCAGGCCAAGTGAGAATCAAGCACGGGGCATGGTTTACAAAATCGAATGACTTGAACGGGTGTTAGATGCAATATAGCAAGATTGACTACAAGATAGCGTGGCAAGCTGAGTGCCAATGATTATTGTGAAATTTATTCTGGGCTAGCTCAACTGGACACGATGTCGTGGCTGCATATTATCATGTACTCTTCGATGGTACGGATGGTACGAACTTGAAGTCTGTGCCCTACTGCAGTGGGTGAGCTGCTGCGACCAGTTGCCGCGTTAGCTTTCAAAGGATGAAGTAAATCGTCAAGGGGCCTAATCTAATGGTAGATTTCTTCTCAAGAGACTCTATGGCACATAATCAAGGGTTTGAATCTTCCACTGGCCTTCATTCATCGTAAGCTCTCGATGTTAATGGCTCAGGCAGCTATGGCAAAAAGCTCTGGTTTAAACAACGTCACTCAACACCGCCAATATACACATGCCGATCTTTGGTCCTTATTGCACTCTGATCAGAGCTATCCTTCTTCAAAAAGTATCCATCGAGAGCGAACTGGCATTTGTGTCATATGCCAAACTAATGCCGTCACAAGGCTCCTTTAGTCAGATCCGGAAGGCCTCCGCTAATCAGCCATCGCGCACAGATGTTCGTATCCCAGAGGAGCTTGGTTTCTCAACTGTACTCCCAGCACGCTTGTGCAATAACCCGATCCCAATCCGCCTGCACCTGCATGCCGAGGACTAAAACGCGTAAGGAACACGAGGTTCTGCTGCTATTTTTAAGCCGGCTAGGCAGCAGCATTTGGAGCACTAACCCCCCCTCTCTTAAAGGATTACACAACCGGAAAGGGAAATCGAGACACCACAAGAGGGAAAACATTTTTCGAGGGGATTTCTAGTATGCATGAGAGCGGTATCCTCCTCGAAATTTGATTGGTCGATAAGAAGAAGGTCGAGAACCTTGTTACCAGTGCTTTAACACCGCTATGTATTTGAATCGGGCAAGCCACTATGTTCTATGACGAGAACACAGCATAATTACTATGGTTTCTGATTGGCTATTATGTCACGTCGGACGATGATTTCCTTTATTTGAGCTCACTGTTCCCATAGCTGTCCTGACCTTCTACCAGAGAGAAGAAAGCAGACATCCCTCTGTGACATTGGACAACTTTGCGTTCATTTCATTGGGATTCAAGCATGAACAAAAGTTACTTCGGTAGGCACCTTCGAATCCCTTAACTCCATTTCATGCTTCTAACAGTCCTTAGGAAGAATGGAATACAGCCAGACCCACGAAGACCAAGCCATCCGATCTCCTCTTCCACAATATCAAGTTATGCATACCCCTGCCTCTACGTCTGCCAGAGTGTTGGTGGCTGCAATGCCAGCCAGTGTCATGTGGCTCAGCCAAACCACCATGGACAGGTCCTTGTAGGAGGTCTCAATCCAAACGTCATTCCTATTCCCCTCTTGGATAGATGGCCGGCCTTGATTGAATGCCCGGCATGCAGGAGAGTCTCCCCGACCTACACTAAGCATATGGTCGGAAAGGGAACGCAGTAAGCAATGCTCTATGTTTGCTACAATTTGGCAATCTGCTGACTATTTACTTCAGCTGGATGGCTGGTTTGTTCTTCTTCACGACTGGTGTTGGCGTGATTATCCCTTACGCTACACGACCATTCAAGAATGTTCGTCACACTTGCACGCGCTGCGGATGCAAGGTCGCAACTCGACGATTCGGCGGCGGCACTAAGGCCCATCTGCTGTAGGAAGGTGATGGTGTCATTTCGAGTTCAATGACAAGGTGCGCTAAAACTCTGCGGTGCATAGTGCGATGAGGCCTGTTGCCTCTTATGTGACTTAACTGGTCTTCTTTTTGTGGATGCAAGTGTCACGCAATGGGTTTCTATCATTACCCCAAAGCAAACATTGGACGTAACATGGCATGCTTCCACTCGAACCACTCTGGAGGGATTTATTATTATTAATCGTCACCGATCGTGACGGCCATCTAGGCGGCTCGTCATCTCACAATTCAACGAAACAATCCCATGAATGCTTTTTCAACTAGTGCAAACGTGACTTCTCTCTCAGGTCCTATGTGACCTCCTGTTACATGTACAGGCTTTCCGATCCCCTTCATAAGAATTTGATTGGGAAGGAGGGTTTTCGCTTCAGATAGTGCAAGACTGGGATTAGAGCAATAGTCCTATGAGAAGTTTGTACGTTCGAGTACCTGCCTGACTTATTCTGAAGTGTGAAAGTTGATACTACAACGCAGTCATCTAGAATTGGGGAGGATTGTTGACCAGTGCTTCACTGACGGAACACAAAGAAAAGTCCAAAGTCAGGCATAATGATTGTATAATTATGTCGTCCTCAAAGGTGTGACCCTCCGCGTCAAACATGAGGGGATATCAACAACTCAGAACTACAGATCAGCCAATAGGCTTTTCCATCTCTCTCATCTATTTATCCAAATTCGCAAAAAATAAAAGTAGTGTGTAAGAATAATAGCGTTAAACCAACAGGCAAGCCGTAGACCAACCCCTAAGTCCAGTCCGCATCATTCTGTGTCCAACCAAAGCAGGAGAGCCCAGTGAGACAAGCAGCGATGAAGCAGCTTAGGGGGCTGGGACCTGAGACGGGTTCCACCAGGGGTAGAACCGCTCGCCGTCGGCCAGAGACTTCAGAGTACAAGCTTTGCCCTCGCAGCCAGCGGAGATCTGACTAGTGCCCCACCAATTGACCTCGGCACCGAGCCATTGTACGGTGAAAAGCATCAGAATACCAGCAATGGCAATACCGGCGGAGAAGGAGGCGGAAAGTACAAAGTTGTACTTGGACCAGAAGGCCAAGTAGCGGTTGCGCACGTAGATCCAGGATAGCCAGGCAATGGGGACGGCGGGCCAGGCGTACGAGAAGCTGTAGGGAGCCCAGTTGACACCTCCGTAGAACAGGGCGACGGGGTGGAACTGGCGGAGGTATCGGTTCTTGGGGAACTGTTTGATGAGGTAGTAGAAGGCGACAGGCAGAATGATGCCAATGGGGAAGCCAAGCAGGAGGTAGTTGTACTGGCCCTGGTGGCCGAAGACCTTGATGGGACCGATGGTACCCCAGAGGACGGCGGCGGTGAAGAAGGTGTTGGGTCCAGGGCAGAAGAAACGCATGGGTGCGTTAGTGGTGCAAACGTCGGGTATGTTGATCTGAAAGTTCATGACACCAGTGCAGACGAAGGTTGAGATGAGGGTGGCAAGCATTTGACAAGCGAAGGTCTGACGGGGAGGAATCTTCAAGTAGTGGGCAACCTTCAGATCATTTGCGAAGTGAACGGCGTGGGCACAAGTAACATAGCTGTGTTGATATGGTCAGTACGAAAGAAGCGTGTGCCGATTATACGGTAGACTCACCCGAAGGACTTGAAGAAGTTCATGGCCAATGCGTTACCCTGCACCCACATACCACCAATGAACTCGGCCAAAACGTTAAGCGTAACCTCGACACCAGTCATAGCCTTGATAATTCCGATGGGAATGACAAAGATGACGGCCAAGAAGACACCGTACGGGACGACACCAGGGGTGGTGTAAGTGGGCCAGGCGGCGACACCGGCGAAACCGAAACCGGCAGCAACAATGAGAGTGCCAAGGTACCACCATTCAGAGACTACATAGAGTCAGTGTGCTGCCATCAACCAGTGTGTGGATTCGGTTCTCACCTTCAGGGTAGGCAGCCATGAGACGGTTGTGGACGTCCTTGTACTCGCCATCGTCTCCCTCCTCCGGGGCGGTCTTCTTGCGGCGGATGCTGGCCCACATGTTCTTGAAACCCATCATGATTTCGTAGCGGTGAAAGATGGCAACGTGGGTGACAGCAGCCGCGTACATGGCGAAGAAGGAACCGTATACTAAAGTGTTGGCAGCACCAAGGTAGGCAGCCGAGTAGTCCATGTACTTCTCGTGGTCGTACATGCCGCGGTCGTCGAGGGCACGCGAGACGTTGTAGAGCTTGCCAAAGTGGTCATAAACACGGTTAGAGTTGATTGGGAGGTAGGCAGTGTTCCAGGCATTCGTGTAGTAGATGCCCATGATGATGAATCCGAGCAGCCACATGCCGAGAGTTCGGTTGAAGGTGGAGAAAGCCGGAACCATCTAGCTAACGGTCAGCATTGCCTGGCAAATACACGGGTGTTTCTGATCATGTCCAAACATCAGGGGTCGGTTCAGCTTACCAAGGGGTCAACGCTGTCAAACAACATGACATTCCAGTCGAAAGTGGGCCAGAAGTTGAACATGCCCAGGCCGTTACGGAATCCTGTCAGAATCTCCAGGTTATGATTGTTGGGGGAAATCCAGGTCATCCAACTGAAAAAGGTGAGAACTTCGAAGATGTAGTTCGGGAACCAGAAGTAGATGAACATGGCACCGAAAGACCACAGGAAGAATTTGTAGCGAGTCATTGCGTAAAGCTTCTTGAAGGGGCCAGGCACTGCAATGTTGCTCTCGTTGTGAAGGGCCGAGTTGAGAGCGATGGTAACGAGCGACGCCGGCCAGACACAGTAGGAGGGATACACGATGAACCTTCGGGTCAAGCCTGCCATTGTTAGCGTGGAAACTCGAACTCAGATAGTGTTTTTCCATGACGCACCAGCTAGACCGTATCCGATGAAGTTGGTGGACAGGGCGATAAGGATTTGGTAGGCGAAGCTCTTTGCATACGGCTGGTTGAAGTACTGGGGAAGCACCTGTGTCCAAACGATGTATTGAGTGTACGGCAAACTCTTGGCCGTGTTGGCCATGATGGCGATGAGCATGTGCTCCTTCTTGTTGAAACGTCCGGGGTTGAGCGGTAGCTTGTAACCAAAGACGGTGAAGACCACATTCGGCATCACCTTCTCCCAGGCCTTACCGATGGGGAAAGCCAGCAGCTGAGCAACGTTGGACTCGATACTGATGAGTGGCTGACGAATACTGAAAAGCTAATCCCAAGATTAGTACCAAGGTAAAGGTTATGCCAGCCAAAGGCGTTTCGCTGAATCTATGGCAGCGTTTCAGCCACTTACTTGATTGATGAAGGCTAGGAAGACCGAAAAGAAGACACCGATCGTCCACGCTCTGATAGTTCCGCATGGGAGATTTGGGTCATCCTTGTTGTCGACAACAGCTCGGACTTCGGCATACGGGCTGTTGTTTGTGATCAGAGCAGCCTCCAGCTTCATCTCCCAGATGAGTTGCTCGTGCTTCTCAGGGTTCTCAAACACGTCTTCATTGTCTGCCATAATCGTCTTAGTCTGGGATCGGTCGTCACCATGCATTTGTAACTACTCACCAAGGAACTCGTGAACCTTCATGAGAACACTGTGAGGAAAGTTGGGGTCGCGGTCGTGGATTCTGAGAACGTTCTCCATCATCTATGTCATAGGTCAGTAACACATATCGCAAGGTTTCAGAGACAGCCTGTCTGACCTTGCGCACTCCCTCCACCGAGAGGGTAGCGGCGATGGCTTTGGCCTCAATAAGATCATCCTCGGTAACGTTGAGATGCCTTGGAACCTGGTTAGGACTTTTTGAATGGTGACTATCCACATCCAGTTCTTGACTTACGATTCGAAGACCTGTTCCTCTGAGTCGAAACGATGAAGCTCGTGTGCGTGGGCGTTCTTTACGGCTGTTAGACTGCACTCCAATAGCATCGCTGCTCTTCCGCAGAATCTCGAGGCACTTACAGGAGCGACTTTCTCGTCAGTCAAGACGCCTTGGGTCCTCCCCACCTCAAGGGGGGTGACTGGCGCATCGTTCTTCTCGTTCGCCATTACGCTCTAGACGACGACGTCGTATGGGACTTGAGTAGAGAGCTGAGGACCACGGAATGAGAAACCATTTGGGCCTGTGGGACAAGGCGATAATTAAACCTTTTGGAAACAACGTGGAGGACGGCAAGGTCGCTTATCAGCGGTGCCACATTGCCGGCGCCCAGATGGCAGCCGGGTACCTCTCTCTCACATCACACACGATGGGCTGCCACTTTTGGGTGGTGCGAACTGGTCGGCAAGTGGCAAGGTGTTCATGAGTGATGTTCGGACGCATTCCCAGTCTAGGTCGGCTGGGCGACATCTTGGCTCTCTGCTCGAGAGGATCGACCTTCTCGGTCAGGTATGCAGCCGATATCAAGGGGTGGACAGAAGATATGCAAGCGGGCGGGGATTGGTCCGTACGACCGGGGCATCCATCGCCAGTCGAGACACGGCGACCATGAGGTCTCGGCGCCGTGCGGCCATGCCCGGGATGCAGGGGATGCAGGGGGGGGGGGGGGGGGGGGGGGGGGGGGGGGGGGGGGGGGGGGGGGGGGGGCTGGCTCTTGGGACGACGAGACATTGACCAACTATCAGGCAGCGTCGACAGCAAAGAAGAGAGGCGGGGAATCAGGCATGTCAGGACCCCAAACGCACCACAAGCTAGGATAGCGCGATAACATCCTTGCTATGTTGCCATGCACAATCGAATTACGTGGGGAAGGGACATTGCTGGTAAGCCAGAGACATCGCGGGTACAATGCTGGCTGGCTCCAGTCTCCCGCGCCCTCTGCATCCGCCATACGAGTTGACAGCCACTGGGCCGAGACATGATTTGTTGGTCTGCTAGAAACAAGCAGGGCAGATGAAGAAAGATTATGGTGTTGTCATCGGCTTCGATGCTGGGAGCGAGGTTGAATTCCTTAGCATGGAATTGCATTGTGAGCTAGGTTTCTCGCTGAAAGCTAATATACCGTCGACTGGAGAGTGATTGTAAGCTATCCCCGTAAGTTTCCACACGCTTGGGGGACTTATAAAAGAAGCCAGGTGGTGGCCCGCATCCTTGTCTCCGAAAACGAGGCAAGCACTATGACAGTGTCATGCTCGGCAAGGTAGCCGTACTGCGTGCCTTCTATCTTAAGGAGCCACTTGCGTTAAAGAATGGAGAACCAAGATGTATGGGAGCGTCACAGTACACGTTTATCTGTGAGTACGAAGACTGCAGCAAACACAAAAGCTCGATGCGGAAACAGAGCAGGGATAAAGCCGTCAGATGCGGAATCAAGTGGTTGGCGTGTATATGTTGACGTCGAGTCCAAGTTAGACGCGGAAGCGCCCAGCTTTACAAAAGGCCCGCAAAACGCCTTTGTTCTCCTTGCATGTGCATTTGGAGCATTGTATCTAGCTAGTTGGCGCTGTGTGGGACAAGGGGGGTCCATAGGGATAACCTCGTTGTCGCAACAATGTGGGGGGAAAAGTCGCAAAGACAACTTGTGAGGACGGAAATCATCGTGATGAGGGTACCACAATAGTACATAGGAGAGCAGAGGGGGACAAAGGATAACCAAACATCAACTAGGCACCCAACAATGAAGCGAATGAATCACGTGCCATTGTGCATGGAGGGATTAAGGTTAAATTGGCGCCAACACGGACCATTTAGCATATGAACAGAACTACCCCCCCTAACATGTGCCACGTCTACCAGCTGGCAGGCCTTCTTTGCCAGCCAGTTTTCTCCTTCCTCGACTGACAGACCTAGGTACATGTCCCTCCCACTGTCGACTGACCTCTGCGGACCAACGCTCTCTCATCAGCTTCAACTACTTCATCAAGCACACCATCTTCCATTCATTTATTTTCAGCCTGGTGCTATGCCTGGAACTTTTGCAAGCTGAGTATGGCGTCAAGGAGGGTCATCCTGGCAACAACAGGACACATGCAGCAGCGGGGGACGAACTGTTGGATTCATTTGCCATTACGCGATAGGCTCTTCCGAATCCCCTCTCATCCGGTTTAGTTGTGCGGCAGGCTTATGCCGCCCTTCAGATGGAACATCTATCTCGCTCTCGGTGGGTTCTCATCTAGCAGCCGTTGACGAACCCCTGCTTCAACCCCTCCTCTCTCTTCGCACCTTGATAATGGGCGGGTGTCGGCAGTGGCCAGGATCCCGCCCAGCACTAGTCGAATCATCTCGGTACGTTGCAAGATATCCAACTTGCTCTCCAACTCCCATTCAGGCAGGAGGATATCGTCCGCGCTATATAAAGTCGGCGTGGCCACTCTCTTGGCTTTTCTTGGTTTTCTCTTGGAATTTTCTTGGGACCCAGCCAACGTCTGCGACTGAGCTTGTCCCAGCCCACGCAGTCAATCTTTCTCCGCGCTCTTGCTTTCTTGGCGCTTCTGCTATCTCTGTCCACCTTGCCCAAAACTCTCTTTCCTCCGCACGGCACCCTCTCAAGCGCCATTCCCGCCTTTCCCAACCTACCAAGCACAACGCCCGCCGCCAACATCACCAAGCCTTGGTGTCAACGTGCGACAAGAAACGCCTCATGATTATACTATCGATCGATGTCTCCGGGTGGCTGACACGTCCCGCCTTGTCCAGCTGCAGGTGGCGTTCCTTAGCATTGTCACAGAAAGAGGAAGGTCTTCTGGAACATGACCAAGGAGGGGAGAGTTCAGCTGGTAGCCGGCTGTGTGGTGCGGGTGCCTTATCATTCGTCAACCATCCTGGACTTATCACAACATCACGCCAAGCAACCAAGACGCCTGGGTGAGCGAGTTGCCCTTCGCCAAAGTTACCGTATCCTAGTCCGCGTCCGCAACATTGCCAGGTTGCGACCCAACCCTCGCTGGCAGCGACGACGACAACCTCGCAGTAGATTCCGCTGGTCTTAATCCTACGCATGCTGTTCTTCGAGCTTCCCCCTTGAGATAGGTCACGCAGTCCAACCCTGTCAGCCATATCACTAATGCTGCCAGACAACCAACGTAATTCACGCGCCCCACAGACCGAGCCCTTCGCATGGGTCCGTTGACGATGAGCCTTCTGAGTCTGGAACGGGGACCTTGAAGATGACGGAAGGATGCTTGGCCACCTGTGGTGAAGTGCACACAGATCCCCTCAATTCGAGGGCTCGGTCCCAGTCATCAGGACCCCTCCGAAGATCATGTCCCCTCCGGCAACGATGCTTGAAGGGACCAATTCCTCGCCACTCGAGACGGAGTTTTAAAGGTTCTGCTTGGCTGCTTCTTGCGATTAGCATTCACATTGCCACAGAGATTATCCAATGTGACATTGCAGGTAGACGATGGCGTTGCTTGTTGCCGGTCGTTCAGCGCCTTTACAGAGCCGAGGTGCGTCTGCTGGGCAGAGCATCTCGAAAAGAAGGTCGGTATCTGACCAGGCTTGTTTGTTTATCCCAATATTCTGATTCTCTAGGAGTAGTCACGCGCCATTCTGCTCAGCAGACGGAGCATACTACTTTTTTCGGCAGCTAAGGCGGGCTACCCCGGGGCCTGCATCGCACAGGCCTCCAGCTGCACCTGTGGCGTGGCACTTTGGAAGATCTGTATTGGGCCAGACATTCAGTGTCGCCTCTGAAGACAGCGGAGGCGTGATTGGACGTGGACTCTGGCGGTATCGTGAGCATTGGCCAGCACGCTCGTTCGTCCCGGGTTTCTTGCGGTGCCCTCCCGAGCTTTCTTGGCTCTCTCGCACCACGCCCAGACCAAATCTCGATGGACTCAGATATGGTAACTACCATGTCTGTGGTGTCGATGGTTCGACTCGGTTCAGGAAGCAAAGCCATTACCTGCCGTCGAAGAACCTCCAGGTTCATGTATCACTGCAACGAGTTTGCGGGGTACGAGAATCTACACACCCGCAGACACCTTTGAACTAGGTGTGTGCCTCGCGGGGCTGTGTCGCCTGCTCAACACCTCAGCTAAACCCGTGTCACTAGCGGACGTAGGCCAGGGCTGGAGACCGTGAGGAATGAGAGTTGGAATCCGTCCAGGCGGTACTCATGTGGTACCGCTCAAGTCAGTCTATATGACTGCTATGTGTCCCTAAGTCCTTGTCCCGCTTACGTTCTTCGAGCTTTGATAGGCCCATTATTTCGGTTCGGTGTGTCCGTGATAAGAGTGCCTGCTTCATGGTCCCCGAAAGAGAAGTTGAGATGGTCTGATGCCCACGCCAGAGCTCTTTCTAGAAGAGCTCGATCAGGGGCGGATACTACGATTCAGGTCCGTCCAAACCGCGTTCATCCGACAGCAAATCGACGCACGGCTAGCGGCCTCGCTTCCAGGACTACGATTCCCCGATTCGTCCGTTGAGACCATGGACGCCGCTCCTTCGTTGCCTCCTACTGTGCGTGTATGCATGCAGTCACCCCGATCTGCAATCTTCGTCCTCGCCTCAGTGGCAGCCGTGGTTCAAGGATATCAACGACACGGCGCATGTCGATGGCAGCGCATATGCGTTAGCCCGCCCGCTCGGGGGCCCGCGAGCTTGGGACGGCGACGTCTACGTCCAACGTCGAGGAGGCGAAACCCCCACATCCTTATCTAAGACAGGCTTGGTATGTCATCATACAATGCTTGACAGGTGCATGATGAACATGAGTGATGTTTGTCCCAAACTGAGCTACTTGTCTCGAACGATCAGCGGCCGTTGGCGGGAGGCGAGGGCGTGATATTTGGCGAAATTTGTCATTTCTCGTGCCATGGTTCTTGAACCGTCTTGGTCCTTTCTGATGCTTGTGCAGTTACCATGGATGGTACATTATATGCTTTCATATGCCTATATGTTTAGCCTCTAGTTCTATTGGTTGCTTCTGACATTTGGTCAATGTTTTCCAGTCAGGTATTCTATGATGACGACGCGATTGACAGTAAAGGATTTCAAAATAGCATCACTATGATCGAGCTCGTGTTTGATGATCCCCGTCACTTGTTCGTCTGGAAGGTGTCTACGTCACTCAGACTTTTTGATATCCTACAAGACTGCTCTCGCCCACTCACTTTGGTAACTGCTGATATTGTAGTGATCCAAGTTAACATGTGATATAATCAAGCCATCCACAACCAGTGTGGAATAGCAGACAGTAGTACTGAGATACGCTCAAGCCAGGGGAAAATACCAGAGATCTTTTGTTTGTACATTTGAGGAACCACACAAAAAGAAGTTGACCATCAGACTGAGGCGCACGATCTCCAAACGTTGAACAGCGCTCAGCCCAAGAAGGCAGATAGTCAGACGTTGTCGCTGAGCTTGCCATGTCACACCAACGCACCACTTCTCCCTTTCAAGATGTGCAGGAAGCCTGAGACATTTATTTCAAGGCAAACAAACAGTCCATATGGCTTTGTAGTGAAACTGAAAAAGACACACCCTTTATCTTTACTCAAATGTCTGGATCAACGATCACGCTACTTTGTTGACCTGAATGGACCTTCTTAACGGTCTCACGTCTTATACATTCACTCTTCAACGCATGGAAAGTTCAACAATGGATATGCCTGTCCACTTATATGGATTTGTGAACTTCACAGAAGGCGAGGATATTGTGTATGCCAAGAGAAATACATTACGTGGCCAGATAGTGCTGCAGATGTTTGCTCACTTCCATTTCGTTGGTAAATTGCTATACGTATATGACGAAGGGAAAGTTCCTCACATAGTGGTAGGAGTCTGCTTTTTATGCCATACTGAATATCATCAGCATTGTGAAACAGAAAGCCATCTGTCTTCCGGAAACGGGAGACACTGCACATTCCGGAATCACTCTCGTCCGGACACAACTCCATATCGAATCAGACCCATCGCAGCGCCCAAAAGGATAGCAAACGGCGCTGCGACACCGTAGTATCTGCCTCCTACATACGCGGTGGCTGTTGCAACAACCCACCACGGGTCATCGCCCAGACTCCTGCCAGACTGGAAGCCCTCGTCGAGATATCCGACCTGCCAGATCCGATACACGGCAGTGTAAATCAGTCCCACGGCCGCCGCATTGACTCCCCGAACAGCAGCCTTCACCCACGGCCTGCTCCTCAGTGCGCCCCATACACCCATCGTGCCATGAACAAGAACGATGCCGGGGGTGAAGATCCCAATGTAAGCGAGGAGGGCGCCAACTGCGGCCGAGTGGCCTGCGTTGATCGCCGTCAGACCACCAAGGAACACAGCAAAGTTGAAGTTGGGACCCGGGAATGACTGCGCAATGGCCAGGCCAATGAGGAAATCTCTAGGGGACACCCACCCTTCGGCGACGATGTACTCCCGCAGCAGCGGGATCACCACCGGCCCGCCGCCGAAGATGATGGTCCCGGCGAGGTAGAGATTCGAGAATAGGTTGTACAAGATGGGCAGGTCTTTCACCACGCCGCGGGCGATCATCACGCCGACAAAGGTGGCGAAGAAGGTAAAAATCACGGCCATGCCGGCTTTCCAGGAGAAGTTGAGGCGGAACCCCTTGGGGATGACGCGGGGCTCGGATTCGGCCAAAGAATGGCGGACTTCGTCCTCCCGCGATGGGGCCTCTGAGCGCGGTACAGAGTAGGTTGAAGCGATACCTCGCTGTTCCGCCGACGAAGGCCGCAAGGCGGCGGCAGAAGAGGCCCCCACGGACCCGAGAGCTTTACCTTGGTTCGTGGCCGTCGTCGTAGTAGCCTGCAGCTCGACCCCGCGATCAATGTCATCGTTCTCCCCGGAAGACCTCTCCCTTCGCTTCCCCAGCAGAGCCCTCACCATCCCCGCGGCCCTCCGCGCGGGCTTGTGGACCCAGCGGTAGTCGTGCACGACGGCGGCGCACCCCGCGGCGCACATCAACACGGGGAAGTACCACAGCGCGTTGTACATCATGCCCGCGGCCGCGGACAGGAAGACGACGGTGCGGGTGAGCTTGTCGGTGATGGCCTTGTCTGAGAGTTCCACAGCTGCGAGGGCGATGATGCCGACGGTGGCAGCGTTGAGACCCGAAAGGAGGGCGTAGACGGCGCGCGGGAGGGAGGAGCCGATCGCCGAGACACCGACCGAGAGGCCGTACATTCCCAGGGCGCCAGGGAGACTGCGGAGGCGGCATTAGCGGGGGACGAGAGGGAGGGATGTTGGATCTGGGGGGAAGGGGACAAGGTCATTCAGGGGCTGCCCACCTCCAGATAAAGAAGGCAAGGATGGCGCCGAGGAGGCCATTTTGGATGAGGTTGATGCAGTACAGCATCTTCGTGCTCGCAGGCCCCGAGAGGGCCTGAGAGATACTGAAGAGCTCCTGGAACTAGACGAGAGTGTGAGCTTCATGGCTGTGAAGAGCCTCACTTTAGGAGGGGTTTGGAAGGAATCCATACCATCTCCTCATCAATCCATCGCAGCCGTTTGACGAAGCAGTCGTGAAACTAACATAGCCCACTTGTAAGTAACCAATACTTCGACGACACAGGAGAGATGGCTCATACAATTTTGAAGTGCACCGGAGGGCCTCCAAAAGCTGTGACACCCAGATGCCAGTTGTATCTCAAGACGTCCGCGGCACGCGCCACATTCGCGCGCAGGCTGTGCTCCCACGATGTGGCGAGCATCTCGAGCGGCTCTAACGTGAAACCCGACGACGCGGTTGAATTCAATCTAGCACCTTCCCTTCAACCAAGTTTCAGTGATACTACGGAACTTGACCACTTCAATCCGCGGGATTGAGTTACAGCACAAGGTCCGGGTGCGCAGATCTCCCAGTGATCCCATCTCGAACGTCGTCTGAAAATGGCGTGGGGTTCCATCACCGGTAACACATGTCGATATTGAGGCTGCGCACGCCATAACCCGTGACTGCGACGCCAAGCCTCAGCCACACTCGTCGTGACAGAGAAACTGTTTTGCCGGCGTGCGAAACAGTAGGAAAAGATTCCCCTCCTCCCCTTGAGTCGCTAGCAACATGAACCTTGGACATGGGTTCGAATTGTGTAAGACTTTGGTTTGATCAAGCTCAGTGGCGGAGGAGCTTGATTTGAAGCCCCGTCCATTGTCCTGCAGATCGTCATCATGGTCAAGGGTCTCTGGTGCCCTGAACTAGGTGTAAGTCAGACAGGAACAGAATTCTTCAACTTGGAAGTTTGACTCAGATCCCCTGGACTAATTCTTGAGCGCAGTGAGACAACAGCCAGCTCGGGGCCGCTTTTCGTACGACTGGCGGGCAAGTTGACCTGGTGAAATATGTGGAATTCAGATATTAAACAACGTTACACGGAATAGGGGCTCCATCTGCGTAGTTGACGGGTCAATCAATCTTGATCGGCTCGCTTCCGAAATTTGACTGGAATTTCATGTCTCACTGTCTTAGACTCTGGGCCATTGTCACCGAGCGAGGGGAGCCGCATCCGAAGTGCGCGCACAATGCCGGCGACTGATGCTATCATCTCGGCAGCAAGCCCACGCCACGCGACGGCGAGAAAGGAGCGTCCGATAACTGCTTTCACTGGCAATTCAGGAAACTGGTCAAGGCACGTGGCCAGTGAAGTTGCGTTGGACGCCAGGACTGATGCTGCGATGAGGTGGCAGACGACCGGTAGTGTCAGTAAACCAGCCTTCAGATGTGGCCATTGGCTCTTGGAACCCCCGACGCGAAACAAGCCAACGCGACCGATGAGCGTGGGCGCCACGACATCGAAGATGTTAGCCAGGACGTAGACGAAGAATTCTGGCGCATTGTCCAAAGCGCAGGAAGGAGCCCAATCGAAGGCCCCAAGGACAGGCGCAGCCCCGACCAATGCGAGTTTCGGTGGCCGACCGACACTCCATGTTGCTCATTCGCTGTAGCGTGCTGGACACATCACTATCATGCAGTGCAGCTGGCATATGCAGCGGGCGGGCGGGCTTGTTGAAGACGCAACCCGCGCCGTCGGCTTCAACAGGCGTCTCGAGCCACTCCCTGCCACTCTCAGCCCAAGGAGTTGACAACCCAGTGCACTTTGACCAGATAGGGGAGGGTTGACAACAGTATATTTAGCTTAGCGGCGATGCCGAAGCACTAAGCGGAGCTGGCGTCAGTAGTGCCCTCCAACGGCGGCGTCTGTCCGGCGGTTCGAGCGGGGAGCTAGCGCTTACCGACGCCGTCTCGAAGGAGCTGCCGAGCAAATCGTCTCTGACGGCATGACGGCCTCTGAAGACATTGTAACCTGAGATGAGGGGCGTCAGTACGCAAGCAACGGCAGCGAGTTTAGCCATTGCGATGACGCATGCTGTGTTGGTTCGCAGCATGTGGATGGACCGTGCTTGAGTTCGGGGTTGACGACATGGGAAGTGCGATTGATGACTCGACACCTCGAATGCTCGAGATGAGATGAAGCTGCTGCAATTAGGTGGGTGACGTTGAGCCAGTAGTATCGCTGGTCACTGCTGCCGACGAAGAAACTGACACTGGTTTATGAGACTGAACCATATGCTGAGGGAGGGGTTGTTCGAACGAACAAGACTTGTCATGACAGGCGCTTACTGAGTTGAGGTCACGATGGCGGCTGCCAAAAATACACCTTGGCACCACACGCGATGAGCCGGGACGCAAAAGCCGCGGAACAACACGGCACACCACCTCAACGCATCGTAGGTATGACCTCAAAAGCACATGCAAGCTACGACGGGACGACACGAGACGAGACGAGACGGGATGTGGCGGTGTCGTCAACGGGGATGTAGGTTTAAGCATTTGTTGCATCATGTGGTTGTTAAGGTTAGTTGATGATGTGCTATGATAGTCACTGATTTGCAAAGGCTTCCATTGCGATAAACAATCAGAAACGGCCGGAGCGTTTCAATCCATGTGCGTCTCCAATTCATCGCGTGGGTGCTCGACCGTCGTCTGAGGATGTGCGACAGAGGGTGTTTATGTAAGCAGACAGGTGAGGTAAAGTTGCAGAGTGCATGAACATCCCAAGGAAGTCGCAGCTGAAGGGGAAATGACATTTGGAGACGGGGAGATGAGCGGACTGTGGACCGGACATCCGGTGGGCCCGGGTGTGGCAGTCATTCGAGCGGGTGATAGTAAATCCGTGCCTGGTTCGATGCCGGGGGGGGGCTGCTCATCTCAGCTCAGCTGAGCTGGCAGGAACCACCACTCCGCTCACGACGCTGAGGCAATCAATGCACCGCCGGCGGGATTGATAGTGGTGGAGCCGGGCCAGATTATCGTGGTGGGGCGTGGGTGGGCGGTACTTGCGATCTTGTACCTAAGCGAAGATTGCATCTGCGGCTGTGGGCGGTTTCGGCGGTCTCGACCCGGCTGGCCGCGACTCCTTTATTTCCCCTCCCTCTACCTCTGTTCTATGTATGTATCCGTTTCTCTCTCTCTTTCTCTGTCTGTCTCTTCCTCCTGCCGACGGACAGTGGGAGCGGCGTCTCAGTCGGGAAGAGGAGAACAACCCTGAGCACGAGAGCTGCAAGTGCTGGGGTGATTTTCGACAATGTCCGAGTGGATCAGGCACATTACCACCCCGTTGCCGCAGCGGCCTCTGACTGGCTGGCCGTCTAGGATTAACCTCCCCTTTCCCGGAATCCTGCTCCTGCGGGTGTGCCTGTTTGTCGGTGCTGCTAGTGCCTTGTTTCGCTCGAGTTTCTGCAGCCAGAGAGCCTGTCGCTGTCACTGGGACCACCTCCATCACGCCTCACCACCCATCCACCACGCCGCACGACACCACACCAACAGACCAACACACCCACCGCCGCGCAGCCTGCATACGTCTAATCTGCCGCCTGCATAGGGAATTGCGATCATAATCAGGAAAGCACCTGTCATTTTGGTCTTGAGCGTCAGCGTCGTCGTCAACAGTGCGACGGTCCATATCAAATTATGATTGTGCTCTGCGTCTTTTTTCCTCCTTCCCTTTCCCCTCCTCACCTGCTAGCGCAACAGACCAAAGGTGCAAAATGCACTACAGACAAAATAGGAAGAGAAATAAAAAAGATACCTGCTCTAAAGTACCGCCGACATCTCCGCCCCCAATCAGAGAGGGAAAATTCTTCTCCACGTCGTCCGCGTCTCTCCTCCCAGTCCAGTCTCCTCCTTCTCCTCTCCCCTCCCGTCCGTCTCCTTCATTCTCCAATCCACTGGCACATCCCGATCGGATCCTGTTTTCCCTCCCCCTTTGCCCCGTTTTTGCCCTGGTTTTTTCGACGACACCGCCGGAACGTTGTTCGTCCTGTCTCGTCCTCTGCCTTCCCTGTCCTTGCTGTGTGTTGATCTTGCCTGTTGTAACTCATCGCTGATTTGTCCCTCATTTACTGTTGCTTGGTTAGCTCTGCCCAATCTGCCATCATTTCGGCTCTACCAATTGCCATTTGCATCTTCACCCTTCTCATCTCCTGTCATCTTCCGCATCCTTCTCCTGCCTCGCCGTCGCCGACGTCGTTGTCGTCCTCCTCGACCCCCCTAATCGCTCGCTATTCATCTTGCCTCCTTGGTGTCCATTCGTTTAACCCACCCCTCCAGCCCTGTTCCGTCTCGGACAGGATAGACTCGCTCTGTCAATCGACGACGCTTCTGCATTGTTACCGGGTCTATCACGCACTATTACATACCGTCGCTCGCTACCTCACCAACAATCCGTTACGCCGTATCCATCCATACCTAACCTAGCCTCTCGCTGCTCACGGACACATTCGTAGTCGCTGTTTTCTGTACATTCTCGCTTGCAACTGCAACAAACACATTCCTTCCGGACAAAGTCGCTGTCCCCCCCATACCCATCCAAAGTCCAAGACGGATCTACAACAGAGCCAAGCCAACATCGTCGCTCGCTATATGCTCTCGCCATCTGCGACCCTCTCTCGTCCCATCTTTTCGACAACCTGACGTCTGCCTCTGTCACCGTTCGACCCGACCACAGCGTGTGACCTTGAGGACTGGCCACCCCGCTGTTCGCGCATCCCAGCTATTTCAAAACAGTTCACCCAGGCTTCCCACACACTGAGCATCAAGGGGCCTCCTACCCACAGACGTCTCTCGGTCTGCCTTTTCGTCTCGTCTCATCATCCATCCCTCGCCGGGAAAAATAAGACAAGACGACCAAGCACCGACCAAGAATTTGCCAGGGATCTGCCCGCTACGCATAACTGCGCCTTAGGAAACCAGCCCGCAACAACCGTCAACCCAGCAAGTCATTACAGCATAGCCTAGGCCCCCGTTCTTAATCCTTTTCCTTGCTCCACGCACCCAAGCCCCGGCCAAACCACCGCGACTCTCCACACCTTCACCCTATTCTGGACTGTTGCCCCGTCCTCCCAAGGCCTGGCCACGACAATATCGACCTTTGCTGCCGTCAAACAAGCTTTTTGTTGTTTTCTCTGCCTCTATCTCGCCCTCCCTTCCTTAGTTCTTCCCTTTTGTTTCCTTCAACACCCGACGATGCAATGATGATATACGGGCATCAAGACGTTGATCTCTCGGGTCCCAGTCCAGGTTCGCCGCCAGGCATGACATCTTCCAAGTCGTCAAAATCCTCTTCGTTCAAATCCTTCCATTCCGACGACAATAGCGTCCTGGACGACGTTAGTCACTTTGAAGAGATCGGTCTTGAAGACGATGCCTCCCATTACGACACACAACGCATCCGCGAACCACACCCCGCCAAGCCTTCACAGCCCTTCTCAAGATCGTATTCCAATGACTTTCGCCCCGTATCATGGAAGCCGCCGCACTCTCGCTCTCCGCCGATGGCACGAGACCTTGCCAAACCTAGGAGCACGAGTGTTTCCGCGGACCTCACTCTCACTCCCAACGCACGTTCGAAATCCCGATCCTCTTCGCGACCTCCCTTCCTGAACCTGAAGACCGATGGCCACGTCCTTAATCGACGAAGCCCAAGCGCTGGCCGCCTTCCCGACCCCCGTCGAAGTCCAGTAAACCCGGTGAACCCTCGAGGCTTTGCGAGCCACTCCGCGACTTCTCTTCACTTTCCCCGCAAGAACCGCAGCCCCAGCCCGAACTTTTCGTTGCTCCCGAGAGATCCCAACGTACCCCTGAAGCCCCGCCGGGGAAGCTGGCAGTCAACACAAGACAGGAAAACGGCCTTGGAGCTGGAGAAGGAGTGTGACGAGGACGACACTGACGACATCCCGGATGGCCTCATTCTCGACAACGTCCCCATCTCTCCCCGGCCTCGACAGGAGCGCACACCTAGCCGGCCGACTTCGTCAGGGGCATCACCCAACAGACCACCAAAGGAACGAGTTCGTAGCGTTGGCAATGGGACACCCCCAGTCCCTGTTGACTCGGGATGGCTACGTTCTCCGTCCTGGAAGTCGGACACTGCTCTATCATCCATTGGAGAGCATGGTGCGCCTGAGCCGCTCAAGAACCGCGCGAGAAGTTGGAACCTCGCACTGGCCGAGCTCAACGCAGACGCCAAAGAGTTGACAGAAAAGCTTGAGGAACACTCGGATTATATTCGTGAGAAGGCGGCAGAAAATGCCAATCCCACAGGACGTCACACGTGGAATGGGAAGTCCCTTGAGCAACACAGTCAGAAACCTCGGGTCAAGTCTGCGTTGCCTGAGCTCCCTCCGATTCGGCACCAGACCAACATCATGATAGACCCACTTCCAATCTCCAAGGAAAAGGAGGCTGTTCTTAGCCGCACACGACCCTCATGGCTTCCGCCCAAGGATCCCGCAGAGGAGAAGCGCCATTTGCGAGAGTACAAGAAAATGATGGCTCGCAGCGCCGAGGCGGACCGCCGTCGTGAGGATTCGCGCCAGGCCAAGAAGTCAACTCGCGACACTACGGCCGACAATCTCATGCGGATTTGGGACGATGATATCATCCCCAGATGGACTGATGCCGTCCGAGAGCGTCGCACTCGCGAGCTGTGGTGGAAGGGAATTGCGCCCCGCAGCAGAGGTACGGTCTGGGCGAGGGCCATCGGCAATGAATTGGGCCTATCTGAGAAGTCATACAATGCCGCCCTCGGCCGAGCTCAACAGCTCGAGGAAAGAGTCAATGCTGGCAAGGGCGATTCTGAGGACATCCAGAGAGCAGCTTGGCTCTCAGCCATCCGCAAAGACGTAGCCGAACACACCTGGCAGGATTTGCGGATCTTCCAGGTTGGCGGGCCTCTGCATCAGACTCTCGTTGACGTCTTGTTTGCCTATGCGCTGTACCGGAGCGACATCGGCTACGTCAAGGGGTGCAACGTAAGTCAATTCCCAAGTAAAACGAACCCCTAGTTCGAACCCAAACATGCTGACGAATTTGCAGACCCTTGCCGCTCTGTTGCTGCTCAACCTTCCCTCGTCAGCAGCAACCTTTATTGCTCTCGCCAATGTCCTCAATCGACCATTGCCTCTGAGCTTCTACTCCGAAGACCCCGGCGCGAAAGCTTCGGCCTACAACCTTGTCATGCAAACTCTGAGCGTAAAGTCTCCTCGGCTCCACGAGCACCTCACGAAGGACATTTCCGAAGGCGATGCGGATTTCTACTTAGGCAACTTCTTCATGGGACTTGGCACAACTCACCTCGCCATGGACGAAGCAGCCCGGTTGTGGGATGTGTACGTCTTTGAGGGCGATGCGGTGATGGTGCGAGCGGCCGTCGCCACGCTCATGCGAAATGAGATGGCGCTCTTGGGCGTCAAGTCCCCCGGAGAGGCCAAGAAGATGATTGAAGGCGGCACCAATAAGGATGGCCGCAAGGCTGTCGTTGGAGATGACGGCGCCGAAGACCGCTGGATGCGAGCTGTTCGGGAAGCGGGTAAAGCCTAATTCTTCCCCAATGGTCCTCACCTCAACACCACCTTTTACGCTTGATGAATACTTCGGCATTCGGAACATACGACATGATCCTAACTGTTTATATCTAATCTCCTTGGGCCGGCGTGATACCGGCCCTTCCATCGGAGGGAATCACACATACACGGGGGAAAATTTAGCCAAGCCCATTCCTGGTCGACAGCTTCGAGCTATTGATCGATGGGCGTGTATAAAGAGCACCGGCGTCTGTGGCGCGATGGACATTTTCGGGAGCTGGTTTTGTAGCATTTTTTTTCTCTTCCTGTTCTGGTTGGCTCTTGATTGTTACGGTTGAAACCGTTTTTCTTTTCTTTTTTCCCCGTCCACCTGGATGTTTCGCAGTGCGCGGGCATCTCAGGGACGCGAGACACTCTACAAAAGTGTGTCGGAGTGTAGATACGCAGACGCTGGACGCCGAGGATCTTGCCCATGCGGAACATGGCCTGCCCGGCATCCCGTGGATGAACCAAATTTTTGTTTTCCGGGACGATAGACGTCCTGGATTAAGGACATACCTGTATAGATCTCCTGTGTCATCGTCGACGAAACAAAGAGGGGTTCGTTTCCGACTCGACATTTCTGCCGTCGCTTGCGACCCGCATCTTTCCATTCTTATTATCCTTACGAACCGGGCGGGGTTCGCACACCCAAAAGGTGTTGATCACTTTTATTCGATATCCCATTCGTAGCATAGTCGTATTGTAGAAGAATCCACTTTGTGCAAACATCTACCCAACCGTGGCTCACGTGGCGTTCCATCAGATACTCCGTTACTAGTTACTTTCCAGCGCCTAGTTGATCAAAAGCAGGTTTTCCTTGGAGGACTCTGTAGCGACGAAGAGAAAAAGAAGAAGAGAACACCCGCCAATATGCGATACTCGCTGGACACAACACGTCGATGCACATGGGACAAGCAGATCGTGTCTTCAAATCCATGAATTAACCCTCCTGCGAAATGCCCAACCTCGCCCGATCGCCCCCCAATGAACAAACAATGTGAACTGGGAAAGGGCTTGTAGCGGGTCCCCTGGATACTTTTTGTCACTCCCACCCGTCGTCTACGTTTTTCTTTCCAGGAACCTTGGCTGCTTATACTGCTGCTGCTGCTGCTGCTTCTTCTTCATCTTCATCTACACACACACATGACTGCCGTCTACCTTTAGTTGACAACCTCCTCCGTCTCCTCGAGGACCTCCTCGACAATCTCCTCAATGACCTGCTCCTCGCCGTCGCTGGTCGTCGTCTTCTTGGAGAGGAGGTAGGCGACAATGTCCTGGGGCAGGCCGAGCTCCTTGCGCTCCTCGGCGACCTCGGCCTCGATGTCCTCGCGCCACGCAACCCACTCGGCGAGCTGGCGGCGGCGGGCCTCGACGACCTCGCGGTCGGCGGACGCTCCGCGGTCCATGTCCTCCTGCTCGAAGACGCGGCTGTACTCGCGCAGGTTCTTGCGGATCTGCTTCTGCTCCTCCTTGGAAAGCAGCGTAGGGGGGCGCGGGCGCCAGGCCCACTGCTTAAACTTTTCGACGGGCTCCTCGCGCAGCGCCTCGCCCTTGAAGTCGTAGATGTGGTATCCGTTCTCCATCTGTAGGTGTGGGTTAGCATCGGTTCAATAAAATTTGTTTGTGCCAGGGTCAACGTACAGAGTGCTTCCAGGCAGAGGCCCAGGTGGCGACGAAGCGTCCTGAGGGGTCCCACTCGATGTCGGTGACGCCGTAGTGGTCGCCAGTGTTCATGAGCTGGAGGTTGGCCGTCAGGTCCTTGTCGGACTCGGGCTTCTCGCCCTCAAAATCGAGATCGAAGAAGTCGAGATCGGAGCTCTGCTGGTTGTGGACGGTGGCGATGACGACGAAGCGGCCGCGTGGGGACCAGTAGATGGCGTTACTGTTCTTCTTTTCCAGGGTGCGGAGGTGCTTGAAGTTGCCGATGGTGTTGCCCTTGGCCTTCTCGGGGCAGAAGAAGGAGACGGAGGTCTTGGGTGCGACGGCGACGGCGCCGGCGGGCTCGGTCGTCGTGATGATGACGAAACGGTCGCCCTTGGGCTCCCAAGCGAAGTTGATGACGGTGTCCTTGATGGTGTCGACGACCTCGACGGGGACGCCCTTCTCCTTGATGCGGAAGATCTCGAGCGTCGTGGCCTGGGACTTCTTGGACTTGGAGTGACGGTCGACCTTGACGCAGAGGTACGAGGCATCGGACTGCCAGTGGAGCTTGGCGTCGGAGACGCTGAACAGGGGCAGTTGACGGACAACCTCCTTGCTGGGGATGCTCATAAGACCGACCTTGGCGGGGTTGCTGCCGATTTCAGGAGTCCAGTAGGTGAGGAGCTGCTCGTACGTCTTGATGCCGTCTCTTTGCGGGGTAGCGGGGCCCAGTCGAACTCCATGATGCCCTCAATCTTGATGGAGGTCTTGTCGAGGAGGTTCATGCGGGGCAGCTCATAGACGGAGATACCGGTCTGATAGTTGAGGCGAGCAACGTAGTTGTCGTCGGCGGACCACTTGAAGGCGGGCCACAGAAGCTTGCGCTGCTTGACCTCGTCCATGCCAGCCATGTCGAGGTTGGCGAAGGAACGGATGGGCTTGCCGGACTCGACGCTCCAGATGACATAGTTCTTGCCATCGTCGTCGACGGACAAGGCTGGGTGGCCTTCGTCGGGGATAGAGATGGGGCGGGCAGACCATGTCACCAGGTACTTCTCGGAGGGAGACCAGTCGCAGAAGGTGACGAAGGGGTGGGGGAAACGCTTCTGCCGTGACCACGAGGCACCGCCCCAAATCTGAACACCCTGGGCGTGGACCGAGGTGAGGTAGGTTCCTTGCGGCGACCACCGGATGAAGCTGTCTGTCCAATTTTGGCGGTCGACAATGTTCTCGGGCACGTCCTTCTCGTTGTTCCAGAAAACGCCGACGGTGTCGCCACGGTACATGGCGAACTGGTCTCTGCCACGGCCGCTGGGGTCCTTCATGAATGATCTCAGGTGCTCCTTCTCGGTGAACTCCTCAATGTAGGGCGGCGTGTACTCCTCCTGGACCTTGCCTTCGCGGCCGTAGCGGTCGACATCGGTGAGCTTGTTGACGCGGAGGGTGTGCTTCTTGTCGAGAGGGACCTGGTCGAGTCCGCGAACAGCGGCGGCAGCCTCGGCGGGGGACGAGTACTCGACGAAGGCGAATCTGCCATCAGTCAGTATCACCAATTTTTCTTTCTTCTTCCTCCTTTCTTGCGCGACCATGAACCGGTCTCAATCAAGATCCGGGTGAAGGTCGGGGTCCAGGGCTGGATCCACTCAGCCAAACGTACCTCAGCGACTTCCCATTCTCGCCCATGGGCATGTAAATCAGATCCTCCCTTGTCTTTCCAACCGAGTTCAACTTCTTCAGCAAGAACTTGACCAGCTTGGGCTTCTGCTCCTCGTTGACTTCGGGGAGGCCATCGATGACCACGAAGGTATCGTATCCTTGCTCCAGCTGAACCTCGTACTTCTCGCGCAGGTCGGAGATGTCGATCTCCTCCTCGTCGTACTCCTCATCGTCGAGATCTGCCTCGCGCAGATGGTCGAAAGAAGGCGCCATGATTGCGACGGCTGGTCAGGTGAACAGTCGAAGTGCGTTGGCGGGTTGTTTCGTGATTTTTTTGGGTAGGGGTGGGAGGGGGTGCGTGTCTCTCGGTGAGAACTGCGTTGCGATGGCCCTTCTGTGGTGGGAAAAAAAAGAGGTGCCTCGAGGTGTGGGGTCCGGGTGGCTTTCTTTGGGTGAAAAGTGCCCCGCGATTTTTTCGGTTTTTGATGAGGGTTTCCGGGCTGCGGAGCGGCTCTTTGGCTGGCTCTGGATGCAGGACCTTTTTAGAGGACAGAATCGGTGCAAAAATACGCGAAAGCTCCGAAGATGTAGGTGGCCAGTGACTGTCTCGACAACTGGAAATGCGCCTCGTTAGGGGGGGAAAGATAACCGGGGGTGGGAGGGGACCAAACGACTATCGCGCGCACAATTTGGGCGTCGATTTGGAAAGTTTTCGGTCGTCGAACTGACATTCGTGTGGGCTGGAACATTGCATTGTTCCGCCTCCGGAGCCGCGACAAAACCCCTCGCTACCTGACCTCTCGCGGATCACGTGGCACAGGATTCTGCCAGGGACGGTCTAGCGGCGGCGGGGGGAAGCTCGAGCGCCTTCATTCACCGCCTTAGAAAGCTCCCTCAGTGCCTTCTGTCTGCCACTTCGATGCCCCGGGCGGCGTGCACTGGCCACATGCAACCGCTACAGTGGAGGATGGACGCCTCTGGAATCACCACAGCAGCTCTGCTTCGCTAATCAGACTGCCTGGAAGCTCCTGCCCAGCAGCACCCCACTTCACCAGGCTGAACCCCCCCAAATTTTCGACGACGATTTTCTCGGTGAAGCTTCCCCAAGGCTGAGGAATCCGTACAACCCAGACAACCTTTGCTTTCCCCCCACACACACCCGATTTCAGTCACCGTCTCGATCTCGAAACAGAGTGTCTGAATAACATCACATTCACCATGGTTCGTCTTGAACAGAGATGCTCTCCCCCCGTCTGTTTGGTGTTTGTCACTAACCCTGTGTGCCCCTCCAGTCGTCCTTCAGCCCGACACAAATCTTTGAGGACGGAACCACGGAGGAGAAGGGAGAGAATGCCCGTCTCTCCGCCTTCGTCGGCGCCATTGCTGTCGGCGACCTCGTCAAGAGCACCCTCGGTCCCAAGGGTATGGACAAGATTCTGCAGTCTGCGTATGTTGAACCCCCCGCCTCCCGATACTTCATCCCACTTCGATCCACTGTCATAGCTGTAGCTGACAAACGTCCAGGTCAACCGGCGAGATCATGGTCACGAACGACGGCGCCACCATCCTGAAGTCCATCGCCCTCGACAACGCGGCCGCCAAGGTTCTGGTCAACATTTCCAAGGTTCAGGACGACGAGGTCGGTGACGGCACCACATCGGTTGCTGTCCTTGCGGCGGAGCTCCTCCGTGAAGCTGAGAAGCTTGTCGACAAGAAGATCCACCCCCAGACCATCATCGAGGGTTACCGGATAGCGAGCCAGGCCGCGCTCAAGGCCCTCAAGGAGTCCGCCGTCGACCGCAGCAACACCCCCGAGGCTTTCAGGAAAGACCTGCAGGCCATCGCCCGCACAACCCTCAGCTCCAAGGTCCTGGCCCAGGACCGTGACCACTTCTCCAAGCTCGCCTGCGATGCCGTCCTGCGTCTCAAGAACTCCTCCGACCTGAGCCATATCCAGATCATCAAGAAGGCCGGTGGCAAGCTGAGCGACTCGTACCTCGATGAGGGTTTCATCCTGGACAAGAAGATTGGTGTCAACCAGCCCAAGCGTCTGGAGAAGGCCAAGATCCTGGTGGCCAACACCTCGATGGACACGGATAAGATCAAGATCTTTGGCGCCCGCGTCAAGGTGGGAACGACCAGCAAGCTGGCCGACCTCGAGAAGGCGGAGAAGGAGAAGATGAAGGCCAAGGTGGAGAAGATCAAGGCGCACGGCATCAACTGCTTCATCAACAGACAACTCATCTACAACTGGCCCGAGCAGCTCTTCACGGACGCGGGCATCATGTCCATCGAGCACGCCGACTTTGATGGCATCGAGAGACTCGCTCTGGTGACGGGCGGCGAGATCGCCTCGACCTTTGACCACCCCGACCAGGTCAAGCTGGGACAGTGCGACGTGATCGAGGAGGTCATCATCGGCGAGGACACCCTGATCAAGTTCTCTGGTGTTGCTGCTGGCGAGGCCTGCACGATTGTGCTGCGCGGTGCCACGGATCAGCTCTTGGACGAGGCGGAGCGCAGTCTGCATGACGCCCTGGCCGTTCTCTCACAGACGGTGAAGGAGCCTTGGACGACTTTAGGTGGTGGATGTGCCGAGATGGTCATGGCTAAGGCCGTTGAGGGTGCCGCCACCCGCGTGGAGGGCAAGAAGCAGATGGCCGTCAGCAGCTTTGCGATTGCGCTGCGCCAGCTGCCCACGATCCTGGCCGACAACGCCGGTCTCGATTCTGGCGAGCTCGTCGCGCGTCTGAGAAAGGCCATTTACGACGGCATGACGAACTACGGTTTGGACCTCCTGACGCCCGGCGGTGGCATCACGGACATGCGGGATCTGGGCGTCGTGGAGAGCTATAAGTTGAAGAGGGCGGTTGTTTCGTCTGCCAGCGAGGCAGCAGAGGTACGTTCAGGCTTCAACATCCTTGGTCTTGGTTTCTGGGACGGATGACTAACTTTGAGCAGCTCCTTCTCCGTGTAGACGACATCATTCGTGCCGCCCCCAGAAGACGGGAGCGTGCTTGATTCGAGACACAGCAATGACGGCAGCACAGGAGGAGTTCCCGGCAGGATTGGGAGGCCAAGAAGAAGAAGAAAAGTCATGTTCTTACGTTGACGGTCAAAAGTGAAAGACAAAAGTCAATACCATAGATAAGGGGATCAATCTTGGGCTGGATGAATCAATGGCAGTGTCATGAATGAGTCTCACAACGCATCGCTCTGCACGCGTTGGACAGCTTGACAGTTTGATAAATTTTCTCATGACTTGTGTGTTGGCTGGATGACTATGTTGACATGTCTCGCCCAACGCTCTGGTCGCTCACGGTGTTTGGTGTGAACCGGGCGGGCAATTTACCAAATTGAAGGCTGCAGCCGGGGACCAAATGAGGCTATCCGCCCTACCAACCGCTGTGCATAAATAATAGAAAAAGGAGGCTCACAAGGGAAGATGGTGTTAGGTAGTACAAAAATAAAGACAAAGGGGCCTGGCTGGTTGCCGCCAAGACTATTATTCCCCGGTAGAGATGATCGACGCGACACAGCGACGCCCAGCTGGGGGGTGCCTTCTCCGCGCGACAACGGTAAAGTCGAATTTGAATTTGGCTTGGCGCCTCGTCTGTGCCACAACACGCGCGCAAACCTCATCTGCCGACACTCACATCAACGTCGTTCGTCTCAACACATCGTCATCATTCGTCCCATCTTCTTCGTCCGCGTCTTTGGTGATGTGCCAATCCCAAAACAAGTCGGGTCCACCGAGGTCAGCAGATCGGAATGTCTGGGTGGACTGGATCCCGGGCGGCAGGCATTGTCCATGAGTCGGTTTTCGCATTGCATCGACGCTTTCTTCTCCACACAAACACAGCCGCCGCTAGGTACACTACTATCTACATAATTAATTCCAGGCACAAACACAGACGTCCGCCGGCCGGTACACGTCGCAGCAGCAAAGCCACACGCTCAGAGCATCCTCCCCTTTCCACACCTCCGCTGCCTTGGAAGAGTGCCACAATGCCACAGTGCCAACCGTACGCCCTTGGAGCAGCACCATCAGGGGCGGCCCCGGATTCCATGGCCCACAAAGGCTCGTCCTGCCGTCGTCGCAAAAGCTGACCTATGACGACAGTCCACCTCTTTCCCTACCTCTCTTTTTTCTCGTGTTGTCTTCCCGGAACAGCAAACAGCCCCCGGCTGTCCGAGGGTAGCGAACCGTATTGGCCCCGTTTGCCAGCACCAATGTTGAGCACGGGGATATCAGCGATTTTTGTTAACCGGGGAAGGGGGGGAGGATTGGCCTGGCCTAGCCACGCCTAGGCAGATGCGTCCCACGAACAAAGCAAGGACCATGGCAGCGTACGAATATATGTGGACCGGTAGTACGGCACAATGACGGTAGAATGCTACTCGACCACCGACAGTGCATCATTGTCCCTCACTTTAGTCATAGGTAAAGTAGGGAGAGGCACAAACCGCAATGCTGGCTCTCTTCTCCAAACCTGCCACCGGGGGGCTTGCAAGTCGTGTGTGCTTGTTTGCTGGGCTTTGACTGGAACCAAGGAAGAGGTCCGCTGCACCAACAGCCAACGCCATGTGTGTGCCGGTCGTACGCTAGCAACTGTCGAGCTGTTGGTGACCTTCTTTCACGTCTTCTTTATGCCCCCTCCCCCTTGTCTTTCCCTAGTCTAGTCAGCTTCGACTTGTTGTTTTCGTACCTCCAAGTCTCTTCTGGCTAGCGTTACTCCCCTGCCGTCCGCTTTCGTGCAGCTCTCCAAGTGGAAGGTGAAGAGTTCCAAACTATGGTCTAGTGTGGGTGCGATAGTCTTGTGAAGCCCTGGATTTTCCAACATTGGTTTCTTCCTTCTTTTTCTTCCTTCGACCTTCCTGTTGCCAGCTCGCGGTTTCGTTTCGTACCGTTCCGCATCTGTTCCTCCGTCCCTTTGCGCGCCAAGCCGGTGCGAGTTGTCGAGGTCGATGGCGGCCCTGCTGAAGAGACATGGCGTCTTGGCGGCATGGTGAGTGAACACCCTCAGTCCTGGCTTCTTCAAGGCGGTCTTAGACACATTGTAAGAAGGTCTTGGGACCTACGCCTTTGCATCTGATTATCATTTGGCCAACCATTATGAGACCCTACGAACCAGTCATCTTGATCATGCCGAACCTGACCCAGCTGCTATGCTACAACCTTTACTAACAATTGGCTCGCTCACAGCTTCTTGCTGGTTGCCTGCACCGCCTGGGTATCCTCGCGATTCAACAACAGCGCCGCCTTTGGTAAGACACCATATACTATCGTATTACGTGCAACTCTCAGTTGCATGTGTTGGAGAAGATAACTGACACTGAACAGAACGACCGATACACTTCTCTATCCTAACGCTCCTCGAGTCCGGCATCCTCATCGCAATTGGTTGCAGACAGCTATCGCCATGGAAAGGTTCAACCAGCAGCGGCCAGGGATACCAACTCGCAACCTTTTCAACCTCAAAACATGACTGGCAAAGACGCCTCCAAGCAGGCATCGACGTCGGGAGAGTCCGCCAACTCCTGTCTTCGCCCTCCTTCCTTCTGGGATGCGTCATTGTGCTGCGCTCGCTTCTCTTCTGGCGCACGATTCGCACAATTCACTGTTCGTGGGAGAGTTTCATGGTACGTACACGAGAATCCGGCATGGCCCAGGTACACGGGTCTTTGGAAGACTAACGTGGTGCATGCAGACGTTCTTACCAGCTCTCGTTACTCTATACACGACGGCATCTCCCACCACGATCCAACTACAGCAATACAACCACGAACAACTACGGTCCCGCCGATGCTGCTGCAATGCAGGATCCGCGCGCTACGTCGTCCTCGCAATCCTCTGGGCCTGCGCCGCAAGGGCCACTCTCGCACTCTCGACACAATCTGCCGGCGCAATCTGCCCGTCGGGTTTCCTCCGATGGGAAAGACAGATCCCACTCGCACAGGTGCTGACCGTCATTTTGGATGCGCTGCTGGTCGTCTGTCTTTCAAGACGGCGTCAAGATGCGGTGGATGATGCGCCGCAGGCTTGGGCTTTCGCGTCACGGCTGTTCCTGGGCTCTGCTGGCGTACTGGCTGTACTTGCCACTTTCTCATTCTACCACCCCCGGAACGTACGATGGGCCTTTGAGCTACAAACCGTTGTCGCCAAGGATCTTTTGATGGACAGCACCGCGGCCGCGCTCGCCATCATCTCGGCGTTCTACGTCATGAGCGACATACACCCCAGCACGCTGGCGATGATTGTTACGGCCTCGGGAGTATACGCCCATCAGCTCTTCCGCATGTTGCAGACCGCCACGCCGGTGGACGACTCCCTGCCCTACATGATCGCCGGCGGCCTCACGATAGCCGGCGTCGGTCTCTTACTGCGCTACGAAAAGGACCTCACCGGCGCACCCGGCGCATCGGCAGGGGATCCACGCCTGATGCGGTTCCTCACGGGATGGTATGTGATCCTTGTCGGCTTCCTCTGCGGGACCTACCTCGTCTTCTATCCAGACTTCAACTCCTCCAACGCCCTCTCCTTCCCGGACCTGCTGTCCATCGCCAGCGCCGAATCCGACGCCTGGGTCGCCCGGGCGAACCAGAGCACAACCCTCGAGGGTGCCGTAGGTGAGTACCGTCGCCGGTATGGCCTTGCGCCGCCGCCCAACTTTGACAAGTGGTTTGAGTACGCCGTGGCCAACGGCTCGCCCATCATCGACGATTTCACGCAGATCAACGACGACTTGTTACCTTTCTGGGGCGTCGCGCCGGAAGTGCTGCGGCAGCGGACAAGACACGTGCTGGAGGTCCCGTGGCTCGGGATGGGAGGACTCCGGATCCGCCGTGGTAAGGTTGAGGTTGCGCCTGGGACACCGGGATCGCACATGTGGATGATGCACTCGATGCAGGACATGATTGAGGGGTTTGCCGAGCACTTGCCCGACATGGATTTCGCCATCAACCTAAACGACGAGTCCCGCGTCACCATCCCGTTCGAGGAGATGCGGCAGCTGCAGAGTACAGCCGCGAAGTCAAGAACGAGGTCACTGGGCAGCAACGACCTCAAGCCGTTCGATGGCACCAAGCCGCCGGTCTGGAGCGACGACGATACCTTTGAACCTCTCGAGAGGTCGCCATACTTTCTAGACCGCATCCGGGACCAGATCTACTACGACTTCATCGCCCCGTCCTGCCCGCCCGACTCCCCCGCCCGGAACACGCGGTGGTGGAGCCGCAGGGAAGCCTGCCGCGACTGTCTCATCCCGCACGGCGTCCGCGTCTTCGAGAGCCTCGAGAACCCCGTCGTCTCCAACTGGACCGCGGCCACGGACCTCTGTCACCAGCCGGATCTGGCATACCTGCACGGGTTCCTCATGTCCCCCGCGCCGGCCATCTTCACCAAGGAGCCGTTCCCCGTGTTCAGCCAGAGCAGGACGTCCGGGTTCGCGGACATCCTCGTCCCGTCGCCGTGGAACTACGACGATAAGGCGGCGTACCACCAGGGCGAGGACGTCGAATGGGATAGGAAGAAGAACACCATGTTCTGGAGGGGGTCGTCGTCGGACGGCTACGCGGCAAGGGGGTCGTGGCAAGGGTTCCTCAGGGCCCGGTTCGTCCAGGCTGCGAACGCGATCCAGACCGTCTCCCGGATCCAACAGGACGAGCAGTCGGCCTTTGCGAAGCCAAGAGACGAGCCCGACTTTGACGTGGGCTTCGTGGGCAGCTTTTCGAAATGCCACGAGGAGGACTGCGAGAGCCAAAGAGACACGTTCTGGGGCATCGGCGCGGACTCGTCCCCCAAGAACGCCGTCGCCTTTAGTGAGCACTGGAGATACGCGCACCTGATGGATCTTGACGGCGCCGGGTTCAGCGGGCGCTTCATCCCCTTCCTGCGAAGCCGCAGCCTCGTCTACCGCGCCGGGCTGTTCCGGACGTGGTTCGGCGAGCGGGTGCACGCGTGGCGGCACTACGTCCCCGTCGACGCGCGGCTGCACGAGCTGAGGGGCTTGCTGCGGTACTTTGGCGCCGAGGACGAGGGGAAGCGGAGGGCGCGGGAGATTGCCGAGGAGGGGCGCGCGTGGGCGGCGAGGGCGCTGCGGAGGGAGGACATGAGGGTGTACATGTTTAGGCTGTTGCTGGAATGGGGGCGGGTCGTGGACGATGCGAGGGAGGAGCTCGGGTTCGCGGTGGCTTGATATACCCCCTTTTTTTCCCCTGCTGGGCTTCTCTGGAGGTGGGAGATTGGATGTTTATCTTGGATGATCTTGTGTGTTTTTGGCATGGCATGGTATCGGCGTTGGCGGTGACGACTCCATAGACTCGCTGTGGCAACTTGGGTTATTGCCGTATGAATTGATCACGACATGAATGGCATTTGCCTCTTGTGCTTACGTCTCGCTCCTGGATTGTGTCCGAAGACACGGGCTATGGCTCGACCTGCGTCTATGATGGGCTCTGCTACGGCATCGTGCTCACAATAGTCGCCGCCGTATCCTCACTTACACCTCTGGCTCTGTTCTCAGCCCCGAGATAGAGTAGCATGAGGTGTGAAGCAGTCACGTAGCACAGCTGGTGCGAGCAAAAGCATATTTGGGAGGGGGCGAAGGGCACCGCCAGCTTCGAAAGAGGTCACGGCAAACACAGACGGGAACTCCGGCCCAGTCAGCAGCAAAACGGTGATACCCAGGAATGCCGACCGACTGGCGCCGCTCCCTCCCCTCCTCCTCCGTCCGTCAGGGAGCGTTTCCACCGTTTCGTCCAAACAGATGCTCCCTCGGCCCGCCGCCCAACGCGAACACCGACCGACCGGCCGAGCAAAATATCAGCCAGCCCGGGTCTCCTTTCGGCACGCCAGGCGTTAGGACGAAGGAACTTGATGAGACGCGGGGTCGGGGTTGTTGGGTGTCTCAGTTGTCGTGGGGGGTATGGAATCCAGTGACAATTTATCGAAACGCGGCCGAGTTTGGTTGGCAACTGTGGCGGGAGGGGAAATGATTCACCCTATTTCCCCGCGCAAGCTGGGAGGGACGAGGTGGAAAGGCTTGTCCGAAAATCACTTGCCTCGGGCAGGGCTTGATTCCGTTCTCAATGGAATTGAAGGTTTGTGACGTGGATGCGCGGTTGTGGCATGGCAGGAAGTCTAGACGTGCGTCCCGCTCGCAATTACAACGATATCTGCCTTGTGGACATTGTCGACTCTCATGCAAAAGACAGAAGACACATGCCAGCTTGATCGGTACGATAGCAGGAAACTCGAACATGCCATGTCACATGCCATGGAACCCACACTCGTTAATGTAGATAACCAAGAGGATGGTCCTCGGAGATCCAATGACATTATTACCTACCGTAACATAAGCTTGAATGCAGTTGCTGCAGGACACTAGCGGTCATATACAGTGGGCATAGCCAGGTGGCATTTGATGGGAAACACCTGGGACCATGCGCAGTTGGCGATCAGGAAATCTGGATCTGTCCCTGGGTTGCTGTTTTCCCGGCGGTGAATAAGGGGGCGTATTGGAGTCGAGACAAGACCACGATCCTACCAGTGGCGTCTTGTAAGAAAACTCACAACACGTTTGTTGGATCCCCATGCGGATGATGAGAACTCCGCCTCTTGCGTTCTGGGTGACGGCTTGGGGAGACTCGTCTTTTGGTTTGGATCTCAACAGTTCTCTCTTTTCCAATGACACACCGAGGCCGTCACCGTCGTCACCGTTCCTTGTCATGCAAATTGGGAAATGCTAGTTATTCCCATTCCAGCCCATTCACATATGATACTGCTGGATCAGTGACGGTCACTTATCGTTGCCGTCTGCCGCAAGCCCAGCAAGGCGTAGGCCAACCGTGGGCTGGCAGCGCGTGGTTGGTACTGCTGCAATCCCCCCTTTTCGTCCAGGAGACGTCGGTGGACTAGGCCAGGAATAACGAACTCGAGGCGCCTCGCAATAGGTTAGGGCAGGTGACCTGGCCGCCAGCCAGTTCCCCAAGACCAACGCGGGGCAAACGAATGCGTTCCGCCTTCAGCCGCCGGTCTGGTGATTAACGAACTGAGTCCTGTTTGGTGCTTTGACTCGCAGGAGACTTGCCCGAGATGGGGAGGTATCAGCAAGCTGCCAATGCTGCCTGTCTCCTGATTTCTTGGGAAGCCAACCAGAGTCGCTGCTAGCAAGGCGTGACGGAGGCGTTGCGACCCTGAGGCAGATTGCCGTGCCTGTCACGACCGCCTCTCGTCCCCCTCGTCGACGCACCCTCATCACATGTGAGACTGTTCCTCTCGACCGTGGAAAGGGGGACCAGCCTCGGGAGCAGTAGGATGAACAGCGGACCAGACGACACCATGACGCGAGGTTGACACAATTTGCAGGATTGCCATCATGATGAACATGGCTTTTGGTCGTGGGGCATCCAGCATTTCAGGGACACGTCGTCGTCCCAGGTCTGTCGCGCTGAGTTTTGATTCCCACATGATGGGCGATGTCTCCGCTGTGGACGAAGCCACCGGTATTGAGCAATTATCATGTGACAATTGCAAATTAGGTGTAAGCAACAGCAGAAGTGACTTTGACAGCAGTGAGCTTTTCAGCAAACCCCTGCCACGGAGTGATTGAGTGCGTTGGGATTGGACCTGGAGGATCTCGATGGGCTCAGCGTTGAGGTCCTATCGTGCAAAGACTCCACGGGGAGACAAATTGCTGGACTAGGTGGGAGGTCAATGGGCGCGCATTGTTTCCTAATCCACAGAATATTCACTGACCAGCATTGATGAGTGAGAGGCGGGTTATTTTAGGCAAGATATCCGTCGTGAAGAAGCGTCCCCTTTCCTGCGCTTCGCGAGGTACGTACCCCTAGCAAGTCAAACACCACAATCGCAATGAAGACGCGATGGCACAGACCAGGCCTTGCATCCATCTGAGTGGGCAAGTGGGGGATGGTGGGGTGCAGTACGTACCAATGAAGCTCTGCCGTCGCGACAAGGCCGGCCCTGGCCAGCAACCATCTCAACAAAATTGTCACCCCCAACAGAAAATTTCAAGGGCAGCAGGAAAGAAGGGGAAAAGGGAGTGTGAACGTGTGAACGATCACCACTTCGCAGAAGCGAGGCAAGCAAAAACGGGGGCCCTGGAATGCCACAATGCTTCCAGAAAACAGCGTTCCCACCTCGTCTTGTTTCAGGGTCTCTGCGCGCGACTCGACCCGGGCTCTTTGCCATAGCCGTTTCATCCAGTGTCTCGCGGTTTTGCCCGAGTCGATCCAACATTTGCCGCCTCTTGCGCTGAGTGTGCTGTGTATTGGCATTGTCGGCCATCAGCATGGGAAACTTGGACGCAATGCGATTCAGGAGTTGCGTTTGCCGACGGGAGAAAGCATCCTTTTGACAGTTTGGCGGCGACGTCGTTGACTACGGGCGTCAATTCAAGATTCAACCCCCTTCCCCAGATGCGGGCCCGTGATTGGCTAGCCATGTCAGCGGTATGCTCTGCTCCCGATTGGCTGGGGTAAGCTGCCGTCCAATTGCAAGGCTCCATTCTGCCGTGCCTTGTCCCCTTTCTGTTGCTCCGTTCGTGGGGTTCAAACAGACGAGAGCCACCTCTTCACGTGTATCGGTACGTCCCATGGCATTTCCCTCTTCACCCCTGTAGGCCCCTCTGGCGAGTGTGGGGAACATGGGTACGTATTGTCGTCGTACCTACCTCGGAGGTGTATCGATCCTGTCCCTCAAAGATCCTGAATCCTGTCAACACGATGGGAAAACCCAACACTTTGGCCCTGGTCGGTTGCGGCATGGGCGTAGTCTCTGCCGTGTACATATATCGATCCTCGCCCCAGAGGCATACCACAATGAAGCGATGTCTCCTGATCGCGAGGCCTTCGGAGAAAGTCGGCGGAACGACGAAGATGTCCAAGGACGGAGCTGTGCTGTCGCCATTGAAGCCCGAGCTGGTATCGACCGACAATAGTAGTGGTACAGTGGTCTGAGTGTCGATCTGACTCGGTTTTCCACCACGCAGCCGCACCGCCGTCTGCGCCTGGAGAGCATGCCTGATCTGAATTTCGCCCCGAACAAGCGCCATTTTCACATGCACAGACGAACGCCGGTTTGTGCCAGCCAGACAAGCCTTCGACGTCTGGGGGGGGGGGGACGGATGACCACCTGCGGCTGTACCGTACCACTACGCAAAACAAAGCCAATCGGCAGCCAGAGGCTCTTGTTGCTGCTTCAAGACAAGACGTCAGCAGCCGCAGGTGCGACACGGCAGCGACCACGGGAGCGGGAAGACGCCTGGTGCAGGTGGGATGGCAAATCAACTTGGACTTGGACGAAAATGTCTTGGATGCTGCCCAGCTCCAACTCTGACGGGCTGGTGTTGGTGCACATGCGGTGTCTTGCGTAAAGATATGCCCCATTCAGGCCGCGGCTGACGGGTTATCTCAGGATCGGCGGCCCTCCGTTGCAAGAGCGGGAGGTTCACCAATGCCTCCAATGGCCGGTCCCGGGAGGCTGTCAACGAGGAGATCCGGAATGGTTTGGGTGATGGGCAAATCAGATGATGCCACCCGCCAGACCAACAAAGTTACAGGCTGTTGACAGGTTTAAGCCCAGCAGCAGACCGGAATCGAAAGGCGGTGAGTTGCAACATGACATGCCCAGAGTGGCCCGCATTTTGCGCAGGTAAGGGTGCATTAGAGCATGAGCCGGGTGTCGTTGGCGAGCAGGCAAACGATGCTGTGGTAAGCTGATCCAGCAAGAGTACGTACGGGCCAGCGACCCAACAATGAATCATTCGCGGAAGCCTCGGTAGCTATACCTCGGATGCCGTCAAGGCGAGCACAGTCCAGAGGTATGTCTACTTGAGCAGAGGAATCCGACCCAGGGAAGCGAGACCGTTTTTGCCTTCCCGCTGGACAAAAACCCCCCTCATCCCAGGTGATCCTTCCCTGCGGTGTGCTTGTGCCTGTGCCTGTCTCGCGTTGCAGTGGTCGATGTTGCCCTCCCAGCCTACCACGCCGCTGCTGATTTGCCTCCCACTACTGTAGGGGCTCAAGGGGCTTCTTATCCTAGAACTCGGTCGTGAATGCAAACATTGGCCACAGAGGAGATCTAGCGAGGATCTAGACTGACCAAGACGTCTCTCAGAGCGGATAGAAGATCCCAAGATCCCGCCCCGGTGCCTGCCAGGCCTCAGAGTTGGCACAATGAAATCAGGTCGCCTTGCCCGTGTCTGTGCGGTCATGCAGAGACAGGAACCCCGACGAGAACAAGTCCAAGGGCAGCCAGATGGAAGGTGCAGCTGCGGGTGCAGTTGCAGTTGTAGGGCAATTTGTACATGTGCAGGTACATCCAGTTGAGGCAGGGACAGGTGTGGAAGTCGAGCGGGAGGAACCTTGGGCAATGTATCCGTACATGGACTTTCAGTCGCGACCTCCTTCCTCGCCTTACATGGTACATTCTCTACGGACTAGGCCCCGATACGTACCGTTCCGAGACCCTTCAGACCGCCGACCTCGTCCCAAAAATTCTTTTTCAGCCGATCTTTTTTCAAATGTACCCTCTCCTGCAATGCCGCCTTCTCCAAACATCCTTAGTCCAAGACCCCGTCCATTTTCGGCATCTCCATGCTGTCCATCAAAACGGTAAAACCCGCATCCTTTTGGCTTGTGAAGATAGGTGGGAACATTGGCCGCAATATGCTATGCTGGGATAGGAATCGCCCGAGGAAAGCCTATTCGAAACGTTATCAGCATGGGCCGAGGATAACAGGAGATTTGCTAGGCGCGACAGCTCATGCTCTCTGCCTGTGGTCGTGGATGGGTATTCAATGGCATTTGCCGTTATCAAACCCCGTCTGCTGGTTTCTCCTGAAGTGTGAACAGGACCCCAGTACGTGATCCATCGTCCAGCTTCCAGCTCCGGGAGTCCCTTCCGTCTGGCTCGCAAGTCTCGAGAAAACACCGGGGGGGCATCATCCCGTAGGGGGAAAAAAGATACCTTCGGTGCACATAGGAATTGGACGTTGCATTCTTGTACCTCCATTTATCGCCTCCTCAATCCTCTTCTCCTCGGTGGGTAACTCAATCAACAGCAGGCCCAGCAGAAAAATCCAACAGCAAGCAAGCAACCCTTTTTTTTTTCTTTTTTTTTTTGCCTACACACACCCCTGCCACGCACTTCATCCCTCCCGTCCCTGGTCTTGCCTGTCCTCTTCTCTCTCCCCTTGCACCGTGCCCTGCAAAAAAACCCCCGCGTGGCCAGAGAGGCACAAGCAACAATCGTTCCTCTCTGCAGTTCGTCCCCAACAAAAACGGAGACGTGGGAACCGAACAACAGCATACTTCCATCAACCACCACCGAGCACGAAGCACCACCATCTAGCCAAGACCGACCACCGAGTACCAGCACCACATATTCGCCTCACAAGATACCGGGCACCACACCTGGCTTTACCTACACACCACTTGTCACAGGGCTTGCCTCACACCACTCACCATCCGTTACGGTACCTGGCCGGCCACCTAGTTGTACGGATACCCTCGAGCACCACCACCAGCTAGGCCCCGTGCAGAGACATTTGACAACGGGTCCCGTCCGGCCCATCGCTTGCTAACTATTTTGTCTATTCGCCTCCGCCACGACCCGGTACCGACCGTCGTCCCTTTTTCCCCTGTGCTTCATTTAATAGCCCCTCCCTTCCTCTTCTTCACGTCTTCGTCTTGCTTCCCCGCGACCCAATTGGTATCCCTTTCAGTCTTCCTCCAAGGGCCATCATTGGAACTTGTCCGTTGTTCCTCTGAGTGTCGTTTCCCAACCCCGAGGCCACCACCACCCACAACGACTTGTCCTTCTCCTTCTCTAAGCCAAAGCCACACACACACACACACACACACCAGCCATGGCTTCCACAACCTCATCGACGCCGGCGGCTCAGAACCCCGTCCTGCGCCGGACCGTAACTTCCACCACCACTGAGACCGACGCTTCGGTGCCCTCGACTGCCGTCGCCTCGCCCATGGACTCTCCTCGTCCTTCGGCTTCGTCAACCTCGTTGTCCTCCATGGGCTCTGATGTAGCTGCCAAGAAGGCCAACTACGGAAAGCTGTACGACACGTACGGCAACGAGTTCACCCCTCCCGATTTCACCATCAAGGACATCCACGACGCCATCCCCAAGCACTGCTTTGAGCGTTCTGCTCTGAGGGGATTCGGCTACATCGCTCGGGACATTGTCTGCCTTGCCACCACCTTCGCCATCTGGTACAACTTTGTTACCCCCGAGTATGTGCCGTCCAAGGCTGCCCGCGCTGGTCTCTGGGCCGTCTACACCGTTCTTCAGGGTCTTTTCGGCACCGGTCTTTGGGTCATCGCCCACGAGTGCGGTCACCAAGCCTTCTCGCCCTCTAAGACGCTGAACCACACCGTTGGTTGGGTCCTTCACTCGGCTCTCTTGGTCCCGTACTTCAGCTGGCAAATCTCCCACAGCAAGCACCACAAGGCCACTGGTCACATGGAGCGTGACATGGTTTTCGTCCCCCGCACTCGCGAGCAGCACGCCACCCGCGCTGGCCGCTTGGCCCACGAGGTCGGCGAGCTGACCGAGGAGACGCCCATCTACACCTTGTTGATGCTCATTGCCCAACAGCTGGTTGGCTGGCCCAACTACCTCATGACCAACGTCACCGGTCACAACTTCCACGAGCGCCAACGCGAGGGCCGTGGCAAGGGCAAGCAAAACGGCTTTGGCGGCGGTGTCAACCACTTCGACCCCAGCAGCCCCATCTTCGAGGCCAAGGACGCCAAGCTCATTATCATGTCCGACATTGGCGTTGGCATCACCATGAGCATCCTGACCCTCCTCGGAAACAAGTTCGGCTGGTCCAACCTTTTGGTCTGGTACTTCATCCCCTACCTCTGGGTTAACCACTGGCTCGGTAAGTTCCATCAGACGAAACTTATAACAAGACTTGTACTGACCTTTCGTAGTTGCCATTACCTTCCTTCAGCACACCGACCCTACTCTGCCTCACTACACTGCCGACCAGTGGAACTTCGTTCGTGGAGCTGCCGCCACAATCGACCGTGAAATGGGCTTCATTGGCCGTCACCTCTTGCACGGTATCATCGAGACTCACGTCCTCCACCACTACATCAGCACCATCCCCTTTTACAACGCCGACGAGGCTTCCGAGGCTATCAAGCCTGTCATGGGCAAGCACTACCGCGCCGACGTTCAGGATGGCCCCGTTGGCTTCATCAAGGCCCTGTACAAGTCTGCGCGTATGTGCCAGTGGGTTGAGCCCAGCTCCGAGGCTCAGGGCGAGGGCAAGGGTGTTTTGTTCTTCCGCAACCACAACGGTCTCGGCACTCCTCCCATCAAGGGCGAGGTGTCCTAGAATGTGGTGCTAAGATGAAGGGGGAAAATGGTCGCGTAGTTTCAAGGCCGGTGCTCTGAGATGGCCCTCTTTGCATGTATCGGTGCAGGATTCAGACAATCACACGACTGTCGAGTCCTCCGGGCCCTGGACCTGGTGGTTATATCGTTAATGCGCGGCCCCTTGTTGACGCCGTGGTACTGGCGAGGCAAGTACAGGATCTGGTCGTCCAACATGGCCTGAAAACGGTTAGGAGCGTTGGTTTGAACACTGGCAAGGCGTTAGCATTTTTATACGAGTACCAAATGGATAGAAAATCCATAGACACAAGAGAAAGCTTAGAACGGTACGTTCCGGGTATTCCGGCCTCAGATACAATTTGCCAAAAGCCGACGCGACAAATTGCCAAGGCGGGATGTGTGCTCAATGTGGCCAATGCAGCTATTAAGCAAGAAATTGCTTCCCACTGTTACAATGAGACTTGAGCCCCTCTGGATTTGGGAAAGAAACCAAGCAGTAGAAAGGCGGCACGCGAGCTGAAGGATCGCAGGTTCAGCCCAAATGATCTAGATCGTGGAGAATGAGAGAAGGAAAGGTCGATTGCGGGGTGCGCCCACGCGACCTTGACAGACCAATCGGCAGCCATCTGATGGTAAAAATGCACGGGAGGAACGGGGCAGGTCAGGGGCGCCGGTACAGAGAGTTAGTGTTGTGAACCTGGCCCGTGGGTTTTTGCTAACCGAGACGACTTTCTAGCATTCGTGGGTCCCCGGCCCCGGCCCCCGGTCCCGGGGGGCGCCTGGGGTCCGAAAAGAGGGCTCCGGATTGCGGATGTTGGTTCCGGGGCCGGCCGGTGCTTTGTGCTTGTTGTGACCGTGGCTGCACCTACGAAGTTCTGCGTGCGAGTATTCACGGCGTTTTGTGCTGTTTTTGATGCCAAAACTAGAGGTCAATGACGGTCTACCTCTTGACGTCGCGATGCGGTGGTTTCCACTTAAGCTGAGGAGCTCTGTGGCCTCGAGATGGGCTTCATCACGCGCTTGTTGATACCTAGGTAAAGGAGTGAGCGACCTTTAGCCACAACAATAATGATTGTACCAACGGGCTATTAGAAAATGAGTCTTCGCTGGGGACACATATTCCAGACCAGGTTGTGGACTTGTTTGCGGTGGGCATTGCTGCGGCTGCCTCTCCAATCAGTTCGGCACGGCTTTGACGTTTCGCCAATACCGGCGTATCAAGCTAAGATGATGGCCATGGCAACATTGGAATAGTCGCTGATGTCGTTGTGAAGGGCTGGCGGCCTTTGATTCTTGACGGAGGAAAGTGGTTAGTGAGTGCATACACGAGAAGTAACTCAAGTTGCAATCCTTTAATACTTCAAGTTGATCAGATCCGCAAATATTTGAAGGAAAAAGGGCTCTCTGATCGTTTGCCCAAGCAATGCTGTTTGCTGTACCACAATCGTACACAAGCCAAAGAGGGCTGCTTCACTCGATAGAGTCACAAACGACGATTGTCGGAGTTTGGAAGTCGACACAGCGCACATGGCAAACCCTAGCTGAGTCGTTTGGGCACATCTAGGAGACTCCCTTACGCCTTGCGATTAGAAGGAATCTAGGAATAGGCTGCAAGTCTCTCGATTTGGAGCCCTAGGCCAAACATGTCTGTTAGCAACACAGAGCTTGGTTAGGTAGGGATCGAACTTGTCCAAGCAGGGAACCGGTGGAGGAGGGCGTTGTTCTCTAGGCAGCCTTCGACAGTCGTGTTTGAGCCATGCAAGCAGTTACCGGCTTCATGTTCTTGTTTTCTCGTCCTGTGGAAGTATCGGCGACCAAGAGCGGCTGTCTCCTTTACAAAAGGGTAGAGGGTGGTTTCCGTCAGTATTCGCGGTCAGAGACACTTGCAGCTATTGCAGCAAGGGTAGATAAGGTGCTGGTGCTCTGTGGCTTACTGGACACAACAGGCAGATGCGAAGTCTCCGAGTCGTCCGTTCAGGGCTGGAACTCCTCGCTGCCTCGAAGAATGGAGAACGACAGGACTCTCGGTGCCACGTGAATTCCAGTAGTCGGCACATGAGCCCGACATGTCTCCCCAATTCTGAAGCGAACGCCTTCTGAGGACTTGTCCGGCACATTGGCACACCGTTCATCTTACAGCGTCCCGAAACGATCGCGGACTTGGTGCTCTCAAGTGAGCCACGCGAGAGTCCGAACATCAGCAAATACGTCACAGCGGTTCTCGACTGCGGTCTCCGAGATGTCTCAGGCGCGGCAGTTGAAGGCGTGGGCTCGCAAGGAGCGCCTCTCCCCGTTTTCACCGACTTCCGGGATCTTTTGCTTGACCTCGTAGCACTGTGAACGTGGAAACCGTGGGTTGAAAAAGATGGATGCGGAATACAAGGTGGTTCGAGACAACAATTTTCTGGCATTCCAGTCGAGGAATGGGCGTGCATTGGAAGGGGGAAAAAAGGCCTGTGAGCCATGTCACTTCGGGAGAGCTCGCCACTTTCCAAGGGCCCGCCCGGCTGGAATTTAGTCTCCGGGCCAGACTAGCTAGTTTTCCTAGCCCAAGTACGCAGGTGTGATGGGATTCTGCATGCGGAAGCGGATTTCTCGTATCTTACAACCTCACAGCAAATCATAAAGAGGGTCCCTTTCAATGGAGCGCGCTCCTCACGCGGCGAGAACGTGGCCCGCACGAGGAAATGGCCAGATTTGGACCGACGTGAGCTTGTGGCACTGTGGCGAGGAGACCCCATACACTTTTGGGTGTTAGTCGCCGAGATAGGCCGTGGACCAGCGCGAGGGAACGGCGTGTGAGTGGCGGATGTGTTGACATTGGCTTCCGTGTGATTGGGATCGGTTTGTGGGCTAGTGTAAATAGGCTACCCAGGAAAGTTACGTGCTCACGGACGTGATTGATATTGGTAGTTGTTAGTACCTTGGAGATGGTAGAACCAACAATCTGATACCTCCACTTGGCTCACCTCCATGATTCACGGAAATCAGCACGCAAGACATTTTGGCGTTGGCCAGAGACCATGACCAAGTATCCCAGAAACCAGGGTAATGGATTTAATTTCGACACTGAAGCTTTTCCAGCACACCCGTGGAAGCCTAGTCGAGGACAAAGGGCCCTGACGAGAGAGAGGCCTCGATGGCCTGGCGACTTTGGATGACGGCGCATTCGTCCATGACATACGATTTTTGACGCTTCCCGCAGTCTGAGGACCGGTCCAGAACTATGTGATTCGGGCACCATCACATCCTGCTGGATGGTCAGTTTCCGCGACGACCACGCCGTGGCCACGTTTCCAAAGCACGTTTTTCATGCAGTTCACGCGTGTCAGACTGGTCTAGGCAGGTGATTCGCTGTGAGTTATTTCGGGTCAACTGGCAAAGACAGTCGAGCATCAAACTTGGGAACATGTGTAGGCATGTTGGTGTAACGAGGCATTGAGGTACCAAAATGAAGATTAGCTGATCTCCCCCGTTCACCGAAGAACAACATCAGCCGCCTCGCTCTCGAATTCACCCGTTAGAACACCATCGCCGAACTGCAACTTCTCAATAGTCTCCTTGCTTAGCTTGTCCGCCGTCGTGGGCCACACAGTTTGCCACTTGCCCTTGACCGCCACGCGCGCCGTCTTGCCGAGCTGGTCGAGCGGCACGATGGGCTCCTTGAGGACCACCTGCTGCTCCCTGCGCTCGCCCGGCTGGAGGGTGATGAGATCATCCGGTGGCGGCGGCATAACCCGTCGCAGCTCGATGGTGGGTAGCTCGAGCGGCTCACTCTTGCCCCAGGCGTGATGGAGACGAGTCCGACCTGGATGGCCAGCGGATCGAGGGGAGTTTTCCACCGGAGAATCGTGAGCGGGGCGTCGTGATTGTTCGTGACCGAGAGTGCCAGGGTAGGAGGGGAGGTAGACGTTTGACGGATGCGGACGGCGAGGTTGGCTAGGGCGGCGCCGGTGGGCTGGTTCTCTTGTTCGGCCATGGTGTCTCGAGGAGCGCCGTTGCGGTTCCAAAATACGAGGACGAGGATGGTGACAACGACGAAGATGATGGGGCGGAAGAAGTTGCGGGCTTGCAGGCTGCTCATGGGGCTTTTTGTTGAAGATGGTGTTGGGGAGACGGTGAGAGAACGGATCAAGGAACTATTCAGGTCGGTCTGAAGCGTTTGCGTGGAGGGGAAACGAGGCGGCGCTGAGGGGCAGCTCAAGTCAGACAAATTGGCAGCAGGCAGTAAATGCGCCGGACGGAACAGCTTCCCAAGGCGGCAAGTGGCATGGAAGATTCCGGATGACGTCAGTCCAGTGAATGCGGTCTCCCCACGTTGTGGAAGGAAGCGTCCCTTTCGTCGCTTCTGTTTCGTAAGGATATTCTGTATCAACGTAGAAAGTAGGTGGAGCGAAGAGTCAAGGGATATTGCGCACTAGTCCTGGAACGAGCAATTACAGCCGTGGGTTAGGAATGGTTTTTGGCACGAGCCACGCGAGAATGGTTCCGTCCCTTTGGGATCAAAGCTACGGGTGTAGGCTTCGGAGTTGAATCCTCTTGAAGCTGTCGGCGGCGCAAGGGCGAATCGTGAGGCGCACCGATGGAAAGCTGCGACACGATTCACGAAAGATCAGAGTCCATCGGCAAAGCTTGGCAGAGCGGTGTGAGCCTACCCAACAACACTGATCCTATCGTCAGCTAAACTCTTTATGATGAGCTTCTGAATAACTCGGCCGAACAACGGGAGTCCCCGCACTTTGCATTGAAGAAAGACGCACCATGCCCCGCCCCGCCCCCTCCTCAAAGCTGGCTTGAAATTGGCTGCGCGACGGCAGAAATGAGGCGCCGCTAAATGGCCACTATGGAGACGTAGCTGATGCGACGGCGAGCTGTGGTGCATTGAGGAACCATAGTCCACGGACCAAAAAGGAAGGTCGCCAATCAATTGCACCTGGGAGCTATGAGTGGTGGGTGGGAGAAAAGGGTCCGGAAGATCGGCGCCGAGATCCCCACTGGTTCGGTGGGCCCACTCCGCTCGGCGGAGGCTCCGTGCGTTTTCCCGCCCGGGGGGCCGAGACCGCATTTCGTGCTGCATCCGTCCTGCTGCCGACGTCATATCGAACCCCGAAGCGCGAATAACGTTTCTAGACCCCCAATAAATCACTGCTAGTCTCACCTGCTTCGCCAGCAACCCGGGATCCACGAGAAGGCCGGTACTGTTCGTCGCAGCGCTGTCCCTATGGATACGGAGGCTCTCTGTCTTACTTACAACAGCCAGCCCGTGTCTCGCAGCCGCTTAAGGTAAGCTCTCACTGCGCCTGTCTCACTCTAAATCCTTGTCCCAAGGTGATTTGCATCAAAGACTTGCTATCCTTAGCGCAGCGGAACAGGCTACGGGCCCAGACGTCCCTTCCGCTCTCTTTATCCCCGCGACTCCAGAAGCCGTTTGCGTTGGAATGGCTCTTTTGCAGTGCTCGGCGCCCAGAGCCAGCTCCGGGACCAGCGCTGGACCCACAGATCATCTTGCGTCTCGGGCGTCGGCACTTGCACTCCATGGTCTCGACGTGGCTGTTCCCACCAGCTAGGCTTGGAGCCTCCACGCGTCCGGTGTACGGTGCCGTGTCCTTGACGTACACAACGGATGGCATCCTGCCGACGGCAGCCGCAGCCAGAGAATAAGGTAGGGTCTGGGTCCTGTGGCGTCGGACGATTTTTTTTCGCGGTCAATCAATCGTCCGCATCTGTTGTTCGTGGCTTGTGGTCAGAGAGGGCCTTCCCTTTTCCTGGAGTTGTAGCTATTCCGTCAAACAGCCAAAGGCTGGACGCCCATATGAATTCGAGGAATTCGGCCCTTGTACCTCGTATCTCGTACGATCTACCTATCGTTGCTCTTCATTACCGTCGTCTTGAATGTACCCTGCACCCAGCCCCTCTAGACTTTCCCCTGTTGATCACAGCGGTCACCTTCTGTCGAATTCTTTGGCCCGACAATGGCAAGCGCCTCTCGCCATCCGGTATTAGCCCAGACCTTGGGGTTGGCCGAAACATTTTCTTTGAATTCAATCTAGCCGCTGGACGTTCTTTGCTACTGCCGCTCTTCCAGACTACCCTCTCTGCGTGGCTTGGTTCCCGATGCCTCCATCTTCTCTCCGACCGGATCGGGGTGCGAGGATCTACGCCAAGGGAATTGGCATCAATCGCTGAACGGTAGCATCTGTTGGAGTCTCATCCGATATAAAGCCAAGTCCAATCGCACCCTCTCGATAGCTTTCGTTTCGGATCACCACTCTCAAACAGCAACATCTCAGCTTCCTTTTCTTCGACAAACCCTACAGTCGCCGATCCGCAAGTCAAGATGAAGTTCTTCACCGGTCTCACCCTCCTCGCCTCCCTCGTGAGCGCTAGCCCTCTCGACATCTTTAGCAGGGCCGAAACGAAGGACGAACCGCTCCAGGCCAAGCTTATCCGCGGCGCCGGCAACACGCTGGTCAAGATCGCCCTGACCAACTCGGGCAAATCGGCCATCAAGTGCTTCGTTCCCGGTACCATCTTGGACAAGGCCGCCGTTGAAAAGGTGTCCGTTTACGCCAACAGTGAGTTTCCCCCCTTTCCTTCCAATCGTGTGCTAGCGGTGCTGACCCCCGACAAACAGACACCCAACTGCCCTTTGACGGTGTGCGGCTGCGTATTGCCCCGCAGAACCTCCAGACGGATGCCTCCTTCCAGACGATCCGGCGCGGCCAGACCGTTGAGATCAAGTTCGACTTTGGAGAGATGCACGACCTCGGCGACGCTGGCGTCCTGCAGCTCGCGGTCAGCGGCGGCATCCCCTACGCCAAGGAGGGCACGACCGAGATCATCGGCTCCATCCCCATCAACAGCAACACGCTCACGGTCAAGGACGTTGACGCCAAGAAGGCGGCCCTCACCCGCATGGCCTTCCACCAGTCCATCAAGCGCACCCTCGTCCAGGCCGACTGCAAGGGTGACCAGAACAAGACGGTCAACACAGCGCTCATCACCTGCGCGAGGCTCGCCCGCCAAGCGGCCAACGCCACCAAGGACGACGCGAGGATGAAGGAGTACTTCAAGGATGCCTCGCAGGCCGTTAAGACCAACGTCACCGACGTCTTCAATAAGGTCGCGAAAGAGTGCAACAGCCGCAGCCGGGGCGTCTCCATGCAGTACTGCAGCGACATGTACAAGTCGTGCTCGCCCGGCGTCCTGGCCTACACGGTCCCCGCGCTTAACTACATGGTCAACTGCCCTCTCTACTTCACCGCGCTACCGCCTCTCTCCACCAACTGCCACGCACAGGATCAGGCCAGCACAACGTAAGATCTCCCAGAACACCAAGATGCCGCTCCAAGAGTCCAGCTAACAAGTCGTACAGCCTTCACGAGATGACCCACCTGATCCAGATGAAGGGAACTCTCGACTACGGAGTCTACGGCTACGATGCGATGAAGACGCTCGTCGCAGCCCAGAACCAGAACCACGCAGATACTTACTGCCTATTCGCCAATGGTAAGCTTACTCAGTCCTCGTCTTCCATTGAGGTGTCGGTTGCTAACTCGTCTCCAGCCGTCAACGTTGGCAAGACCTGCTAGAGAACAGTCCCGGTGACTGTCGCAGACTGAGAAAGGAATTGTGAAAGGCACAAAAGCGAGAGCAACGAGTTACACTGTTCATATTCAATAATAGGGGGGCCGACTACGCCAGGAGTCTATGATGCTCCGTGTATAGGCGCCGGCCTATCACAACCACTAAGACTTAATGACGCCGGAGTTTTTGGGGCACGGGGGCGCATTTAGATATGCCATTCATGGCATCCATCCATAGAAACGATATAACGATTTACCAGAGGTTTTGGATACTTGGTCCAACTATGCTGCTGAGATTTCGAAGGGTTCCTGACGTCTGGGTGGGTCTACTGGACATTGGGTCACATGAAGCCGAGTGTCAGAGTCGAAATGGGAATCAGAACACGAACCCGTGCAGAAGTGGCGCGCCGCCCGAACGCAAGAACTGAGATTCTGTCACAGGCGTAGATAAGTCCAACACATGGCCAATCCTGAGCGGAACCGAGACCGTTTGTGAGCAAGGGGTGCACCTGCAGAGCGACAGAGACAAGTGATGTGCAGTATGAGATATGCGGCCGACGACTGATGCGCGTGGGAAAGCTCCTCCCGTGCCTGTCATCAGCCGCAATCTCCAAGGGGGTGGTCCAACTCGGATATTGCTACCGAACGGCCTGGGGGATAGACGTCGACGACGCCCGCCCGCCGAGATGGCGCAGCATGAGAAAAAGCCCCTCTCGTGGGAAGCAATGCTTACTTTGAGAAGACAAAGTGAGTCACAATCTCGTACTAATTTGATATCACGGAAGGGGCCAAATTACCGACCGCCTGGGCGGAGGTTCGAATTTTCATGTGAGGTTGGAAGGGGAGTTGGGAGCCGTTGGTGCGAGGGTTCAGAAATAACATCGTATCAATCCTGGGCTTGCTGGCTCCGGCGGGACATTGGACATTGGACATGGGAGGGACGCCGGAGCCAGAGGATGGCCTGAACCCCAGATCGATTTCGCAGACAGTTGAGCCCCGCCGGGGGTCGTGGACCGTTCGTTCCGCGAACCTCGCAATCGGGTCCATGGGCGGAGAACCGGCAGACGAGAGCTCTGGAGTGGACATTGCGAGATGCGTAGACGACTGGTGGCCGGCGTCGGGTATCACGCTCGTTCCCGCCAAGTCGAATCTAGTTTACATCTCATCGCAATTTGTAGCAAACTGGTGAGGCTCTCGCCGTGGGGGTCGTACACGGCATGATACGAGCTAGTACTGCAGGACGAAAAGTATGCCGAGTCGTGGGCTGCATCTCGTCCGTGCCCCCATCAGACGCGCGGGCGCCTGAACCTCGAAAGAAGCAAAGTTTGCTGGAATGTTCCGTGAGAGTTTGCAGACCGGCGAGGGAAAAGTAGAGTTTTTTTTTTTCCTTCCCTCTTTGCCGTTCAGGCTGCGGGCGGCATTGGAATGCTCGCCAGGAAAAGCTCCGAAGTAAGGGATATGGGACGAGCATGTCACAAAAGGGAGAAGCCGACAGGTCGCTGGGCCGTACGTTGGTAGGGAAGCCAAGACGTGAGGGATAGCGGGATGTCTGGGATGTCGCGGCCTGTCACTTGTTAGGTTCCAGACGAAATGCAAGATGCAAAGGCTGAATTGGTTGATCTGCATAGTGTAGTCGTACCGCGGAGCTGAGAAGTGTTGACCGACGAGACCAGTTGAGCAGTTCGACCGATTCCCAAGAGATCGCATGCCGATGGAAAGGATGATCGGGCCATTGTTGTGTGAGGGGATCAAGTCAAGAGTCCCGCCATGCCGGGTTGAGTGTCAGGATGAGGTCGATGGCGGCGGACTGGGATGAGATGACTCCAGTGAGTGACGGACAAGTACCAGGGGTGGCGAGTTAACCAGTGGGGCATGGTACCTTTGCTTGCTCTGGTCCTGCATCTGGCCATGTGCCCGCGCAGGACAGTGGAGGAGAAAAGAAGCGGCAGTGCACTCGAATAGGTACCCGCCATGCGATGACTAAGACAGATGACACAGTGTGACAGACGGCGATCGGGCAACCTCCCCGCGGCACCAAACCTGCTTGCTGGTTGCTTATTGCTTCCCGCACCTCCCAAATCTCTCATTCTTCCGACCAGTGACGACTAAGCTGCAGGAACACCCGGCAGCATCGTCAGATGGCGACAGTAGCCAAATAGGTTGCCTGAGAGCGGCCCCCTCGGCTGAGGACACTGTGTCTGAGACGCAAGATCTGCCTGATCAGCGATCCCGTCGACGACGACGGGCTGCCCGCACCGACAGACTCGGCCAAACATCCGTTGCTCGAGGGTCTCCTTGGACGAAGGTGGAGAGAGGTCTCTGATTCGAGGGCCAACCACGGGTAATGGTGAGGAATCCACAGCCCACCTCGGGCAGCCAAGTTCTGCAGGAGGGCTGTGAGCAGCAGATGCTTGCTGCTGCTGCTGGCTGCTAGCTCCCGCGGCTGGTCGAGGCTCGAGCGAGGACGAGGACGAGGTTTCGACATCGAGGTCGAGGTCGTCGGGGTTGCAGTCTAGCCGGGGGCTTGTGGATCGTCGTCTTCAAGAATCTCAAGCCCAGCCACACGCACAGGGCGTGACCCGCCGCCGTCGCAGAAGCTCAAGGCCCCCCCCACTGCACTGTGCCGACCTCATAGCACTCGCACTATTATCCGGCAAACCTTGGGAAGGCACCGGTGCGACTGCGACATTACGACACCGGCCACTAGGCAAGTCGGGGCAATGGGCATGTCGATTCGGACTCGGCGCGCGCGGCTAGGGGGGCTGGCTCGAAGTGGTTCAAGGGTTCGGGACGCGGAGCCCTAATGTGCCCAAAGACCCTGAGAATCCGTCTGAGAATATTTCGCTTGTTCGCTTGTGCCCCGGTAGATGGTAGGTACGGGAGAGACGTCGTCGTCGTCGTCGTCGTCGTCGTCGTCGAAGAAAGCTGGAACGATGATGCTCCGGGCACAAAACCAAACATTCCTCGCGCGGAGACGTGGGCTCCAATAATCCCGCTTTTCCCATGGCCAAGGAATTTGGGAGATCATGCCGGCGGTGGTGCTGGTGGTGCCGGTGCTGGTGCGGCCTGCCTGCTCTGGCCAAACCCCGCGATTTTAGTTTGCCACAGTTTGAGGTTCCCAAGGGCGGTCCTGTCCCAACCGGAGGACAAGGACGACGACGTGTCGGTGGACAGGAAGACGGGATGGGATGTACATCACATCCAAGAGGTCGTGGTCCCGTTTGTTCTCCTCCCTTTCGAAACTGGGGGAGCAGCCGTGAGCTGTGAGTGGCCGACCCGACAACAGCTGGTGGGGCTCGCTTGACGGGAATGGTGGGGCGACACAGTGATCGAGGTTCAGTGTCTAGGGAGCGGCACTGTATACCTAGGCACTTTGCATTCACTGCGGGTGGTTTCTGCCTGCCCCAGCTGTGTTACTATGTACCTCCTGGCCCTTCAACAGCCCTCCCAAACGCCCCCCAATGGCGTGGCCTCTCTTTTGAGGTAAAAATGGTGATGCCGGCCGGCCGCAGTGGTACGAGGCCCCCAGGTACACCACCACGACCACGTACGACGACGCCGTGGGCGCTCTCTGTCTCCATCACCCCTTTTGCACACTTGCACTGTACGACCCCGAACCACCCCCCCATCCCCGTAGCCTGCTTCCCCTTGCCTTCCACAAGCCGTCTGGCGGGCATTGTTGCGTATGTGTGTGTGTGTGTGTGTGTGTGTGTGTGGCGGGCGTGTGTTTGTGTGTGCGTGTTTGTGTGTCGCGCGCGTTGCATTGCACTGGGCACGACTGACATTTGACCACTGGCACTGGCATTGGCACTGGGTTGGCTGACTGGCTGACTGCGTTGGCTGCCACTGGGCTTGTGCTTCAGCCGAGAAGAAAAAAAACCCAAAAGCTGACAGGGTCAAAATAAGAGAGCGAGGAGGAGAGCATCCAAAAAACCACCACTTGCCTTTTTGCTCTCCCTCCTCCCGACGAACCACCTCTTCCCCGTTCTCCATCTCCATCTTTTCCATCCTCCCCGACCTTCAGCCATCACCGCCTTTTCTTCGGTGCATCACAGCTCATCCACAACCACACCTCCTCCGTTCACCTCCACAGCTGGTCCATCCACGCTGTGTACAGGTACACCACCGTTGCATCTGTGGGCTCCGATTTGGTTCGCTAGCCCAACCCACATTCACATGGTCGATTCCCGCCGTCCAACCACCATCACGACGACGACCACAACTACGACCTGCAGCATCGCGACCACGACGACGTCCACAACTGCTTCCATGTCTCGCCTGCTCCACGATTCTCCCCGGGAAGCGTTGATGTAAATCCCTCCCCTATTATAACACACCTACCATGCTGCGACGGCCTCCAGGCGAAGGGAGGCACGTCGCTCGTCAGCGGACCTACCTCCTCGCCCTCGCCGTCCTCGTCATCTCATGCCTCCCCCTGGCCGACGCCCAACAACAACGAAAACCCTTCGAGCCCATCGCTCAAATCCCCAGAGTCCACCAGCAGCAACCCGCCGCCGGCAGCAGCCATCACGAAGCTATCCGTGATGTCCACCCGGACGCTGCCGCCCGCAACTGGGCTGCTACCAACATCAAGGCCGACAATGCTGTCGAGTCTCCGAGGCGCCGAAGCTCCGTAACCTCGAAGCAACCCCAACCCAACAAACAACAAAAACAACAACAACACGATCGTCGGTCTAACCCCGACAATATCATTATTCCTAACGATGCGAGCGCCGTCGCAACTTTGGCTCCGGCTCAGTCCGTGCGAGCACCTCCTTCTGGACATCGACCCATCGCCTCCCGCGTCGGAGGCGATGGGATCTCTACGCAGCACCATGCGCGGAGTCTGAAGGACTGGGAAGTAGAAGACTTCGTTCTTATGGCGACCGTCGATGGGCACCTCTACGCCAGCGACCGCGGCACCGCCACAGAACGCTGGCATCTCGAGGTTGACCAGTCAATGGTGGAGACGAAACACTACCGTCTCAACGCTTCCGACCTCGACGACGACTACAATTTCATCGACCACTACGTCTGGGCCATCGAGCCCAACCGCGACGGAGATATCTACTACTGGGTCCCTGGCTCTAGCGAGCCCAGGCTCCTGTCCACCGGCCTGACCATGAAACAGATGGTTGACGAGGGCGCCTCGGCGCTCGAAAACCCTCCCATTGTGTACACCGGCACCAAGAAGACAACCATGATCACGCTCGATGCTGCCACTGGCCGTGTGCTCAAGTGGTTCGGATCGGGTGGCTCCCACGTCAACGAAGCCGAGAGCTGTTTGCGCCCCAACGCATTGTACGACCAGAACAATGAAGAGTGCAGCTCCATTGGCACAATCACGCTGGGTCGCACCGAGTACGAGGTCGGCATCGCTCGCAGAGATGGCCGTCCCATAGCTACGCTCAAGTTTTTCGATTGGACTCCCAACACCAACGACTACGACCTTCTCAACCAACATCATCAGTCCATCGACGCCCGCTACCATACCTCTACCCACGATGGCAGGATATACGGCTTTGATTACGGCAAGACCAAGAAGGGGGACCTCCCAGTCTTCTGCAAGGCACAATTTGCGTCTCCTGTGGTCAAGGTCTTCGACGTTTGCAGGCCCATTGGACTGGAGCCCGTGGTCAACCCGGACCTGATTGTACTGCCACAGCCCGTTCCGCCTGCCAGAGACGATGGCACAGCTCGCATCAGAAGCCAACGCATTTTTGTCAACCAGACTGAGACGGGCAATTGGTACGCCTTGTCGGGGCGTTCTTACCCCCTCATTCTCGATGCGCCTATAGCCAAGACTTCCTCACCAGACTGGCTTCAGCTGGCTCCCCCATGGGAGAAGATGAACGAGACGCAAAGAATCAGGGCCATGATCGGCACCCACTACATGGACGGCGTCACCAGGGAAAAGATCTACCAGCCTCCCAGTCTTCCTGGGCGGGCCGAGACGTCTGATGCTATCCTGGACCCTGAGAACGACTCGGTGCTGCCAACTCCGGTCCCGGAGGATGCTGTCGAGACGCCGACGATCGTGAAGAAAGTCAAGTCGATTCCACACCATGTTTCCAACAGTGTCATTGACTTCTTCTCCAACCCTGTCCTGATTGTTCTCATTGTCTCTGTTCTGTTCTTCTATCAGAAGGACCTGCGCCGATGGTACAAGGCGAAGACAACAAAGTGGAACATGCGCTACGAAGCTGTCTCGGACACGGAGGACATGGCGGCTGATGCCACTCCTGAGCCTACAGTCCATGATCATCATGTTCCTTCTTCCGCACCCGCTCAACCTGATGCCTTGCCCAACCCTGAGGTGACTGCGACCGACAGCAAGCCAGTACCCGATGCTACTGCAGAGGCGCTAGCGAGCTCTTCGGAAAAGGATGGCGATAAGGCACCCACCGTCGCCCAGCCCGCTGCTCCTCTCGACAAGGAGTCGTCCGCGACCCCCCGGAGCCTGGGACACCCGAGGTCAAGAAGAAGAAGCCTGCGCACCGTGGTCGTCGCGGAGGCACGAAGCATCGCAAGGGCAAGAAGAGGGAAGAAATGTCTCAGTCTCGAGACGATGAGCCGCCCGCATCTGTCGAAGATGCCGTCAACAAAGCCAAGAAGCTCGGTGGCCAGGCGACTCGTCTGGAGCCTGATGTTATGACCGTCGCGAACGACATGCAAGCTGTGACGGGACCCATTATCAGAATGGGCAACATTGAGGTAGACACGGAACACCAACTTGGCACTGGCAGCAACGGCACTCTGGTCTTCGCTGGCAAGTTTGATGGGCGCGAGGTCGCTGTGAAGCGCATGCTTATTCAGTTCTATGATATTGCGTCTCAGGAGACAAAGTTGCTTCGGGAGAGCGACGACCATCCCAATGGTAAGCCGAAAAAATCACTGCACCTGCTGATGTGCCCGCTAACACCACCCAGTCATCCGTTACTACGCTCAGCAAGTCCGAGATGGCTTCTTGTACATTGCCCTTGAGCGGTGTGCAGCCTCTCTGGCCGATGTTGTCGAGAAGCCTCACCACTTCTCCAAACTGGCCCAAGCAGGCAAGATGGATCTACCTGGTGTCCTGTACCAGATCACCAACGGTATCCACCATTTGCACAACCTTCGTATTGTTCACCGCGACTTGAAGCCCCAGAACATCTTGATCAATATGGGCAAAGATGGTCGGCCACGCCTTCTCGTTTCCGATTTTGGCCTTTGCAAGAAGCTGGAGGGTGGCCAGTCGTCCTTCGGCGCGACCACTGGGCGTGCCGCCGGAACGTCTGGCTGGCGAGCCCCTGAGCTGCTGCTTGACGATGACGCCAGAGATTCCGCCATGGATGTCAGCATCAACAGCGGCTCTGGCTCCATTCTCGTCGGTTCTGACATGATGTCGAACCGTCGTGCAACTCGCTCCATCGACATCTTCAGTTTGGGATTGGTCTTCTTCTATGTTCTGACCAATGGCTTGCACCCCTTCGACTGTGGCGATCGCTACATGAGAGAGGTGAACATCCGCAAGGGCAACTATAACTTGACACCGTTGGACGCGCTCGGCGACTTCGCCTACGAGGCCAAGCATCTCATCGGCCTCATGTTGAACGCGAACCCCAAGGAGCGTCCCTCGGCCCGCGATGTCATGGCCCATCCCTTCTTCTGGCCTGCCAAGAAGCGCCTTGCCTTCCTGTGTGACGTCTCGGACCACTTCGAGAAGGAGCCGAGAGACCCCCCTAGCGACCATCTTCAGTACCTGGAGAAGCACGCGCCGGCCATCACCAAGGGTGACTTCCTTCGCCTGCTGCCCCGCGAGTTTGTGGACTCTCTGGGCAAGCAGCGTAAGTACACGGGCTCGAAGCTTCTCGATTTATTGAGAGCGCTACGGAACAAGAAGAACCATTACGAGGACATGCCCGACACGCTGAAGCGGACAGTAGGCCCCTTACCCGACGGTTACCTCGCGTTCTGGACAGTGAGGTTTCCTCGGCTGTTGCTGGATTGTTGGAACGTGGTTTGGACAGTGGAATGGGACAGCACTGATCGTTTCCGGGAGTACTATGAGCCGGCAGGTCTGTAGGGGTTTTTTTTTTCTTTTTTTCTTTTTGAATGTTCATACAAAAATGATTATTTGAGCGGACTTTGGGTTTTGACTGGCATCGCTTGATATGCCTCTCGAGTTGTGTAGAAAATTTTGCGTTGGGCCTTGTTCTTTACAGCGCGCACTATGTACCTTGAGGACGACGCTGCTAGCATTGTGATGAATGTACATCCGTCTTTGCTGCCTCCACCAGCGCCTGCCTTTACCGTGTGTTGCCCCCTCCTCCCCGCCTCGGACTAGCATTCTCCATTCTTTCATGTTCGTGATCGACGCGCCCAGCCCGTCGGGTCGTATGTGGGGTCATGGCCCATCCGCTCACGCAAACATGTCACAGCAGCAGCAGCAGCAGCAGCTTGGGTCAGCCCATCCGGGTCCTCGTTCTACTGGTAGACAATTTGCCATGCCCCCTCGAGGCCGGCCATGCGCGTCTCTCGCGTTGGCTGTATTCCCTCAACCCTATGCTTTTTTCTTGTTGTCTGGTCTACTCTTGTGCTCAGTTGCTGCCTTTTCCGTCTTTTTGTTCTTTTTCCTCCCCGCCCCCCCTTTCCTCCAAAACTCCGGGGCCACGTATTACCAACTCCTGAAGCGACTCTTCTTCCTCGCAAAGGCCGCGATCCTCCACGCCCGTCGGCGCCGACACCGCTGCATTAACCCCACTGGACAAGCACCTTCTTGCCCTTCTTCTTCTTGCCGCCAGTGCTCTGCCCAGCCTCTTCGTCCTCCTTCTCCGAAGCGTTCTCGCTCGCCGCGCCGCTCCCGGGCGCCGATCCCCAGCTGAAGTTGCTGGCTGCGCCTCCGAGGTCGCGCCGCACCCCCCTGCCCGACCCGTAGCCGAAGATCGTGGTGAGAGGCTTCTGGGCAGGGGGCAGGGCGGGGAATGCAGACGACGGCGGTGGGCGGCCGCCGGGAACCGTGCGTGACGGGCCCGCCGGGCCGGATGACCTGATGTTGTTGGAGGAGGAGGGGTTATTCGGTCCAATCCAGGACGGCCGGGCCGCGCTCGAAGATGATGATGACGAGGACGCGGCAGGGAGGGCTGGGAATGCTGATGATGCTGGGGGTCGCCCGGCAGACGACGATGCAACCCAGTTGCTTGAAGCGGATGGCGTCACCGGCTTGGGTCCAGCGGCGCCAGCGCGAGTGCTGTTCTTGAGGCGCAGAACACGGTTCGAGTGCTTCTGGTTGGGCGCGGCGGCGGGAGCGGTGGGGGAGGGAGACGCTGCGCTGGCCCAGCCGCTCGAGGCGGTGGTGGCGCCGTGCATGCCGCCCAAGCCAGGCAGAGAGGGGTAGTCCTCGTTGATGGCTCTCCAGTCCTGCCAGGCCTTGTGCAGAGCTGTGACCTTGGTCTTGTCCTCGAACAAGTCGGCAACTTCGCGGACCAGCGTGCCCAAGGCGTTAGACGACGTGTCGGCGAAGAGCGAGAAGAAGGCGTCTACCAGCTGAGGAGCGGTGAGTTTTCCTTTTCTAAAATTTGAAATGTACTCGCGGAACGCGGTCATCTTGGTCTGGTCGTGGCCAAGGAGGTTCGAAGCGCGCTCGATAACCCCTTGGTGGCGCAGCATCATCGCCCGCTCCTGGGGGGGCAACGATGCGATATCGGTGACGCTGAGCTGCTCAAGCTCAGCAGTCGGCAGAGCAGGCGCAGGCGCGGCACTTGGTGCGGCTGCGGCCGCTTGGCGCGATGATCCTGACGGTGTGGCATTACCCCGACGTGATGAGCTGGAAGGTGTTGGCGCCGAGGGCGTAGAAAGAGAACCGCCAAAGGTGCGGTTGGACACAGATTGCGCCGAGTGGATTGCCATCTGTCTCTGGAAAGCAATCTCATCGCGACGGAGTGGTTGCGCAGAGCTCTGCGGGATGGGTTCGGCATTGGGGTCGCGGCCACGTCCACGCCCTTGACGTCCACCAGAGGGGCCGCCGCCGTCTCTACCGCCACCACCTCCGCCGCCTCCTCGTCTCTCGTTCTCGTACGGTGATCTGTAGTCGAACCCGGACATGTTGACCACTCTCGCGTCTCTCCGTACATCCTTGGACAAGGAGTTGGCATGTTCTGCGAGCTGGTGGGCCTTGAGGTCCATCTCCGACTCGAACACAACAAACTTCTTCTCCAGACATTCCTTGTCGAGACAGGGGAAATGGTCCTTCTCAAAGTGCTTCTCCAAGGCATTGTAGTTGACAAAGTAGTGGGGGTGGCGCGAATCTCTCCGGTCGCAGATAAAGCACCTCTCGTGCTTCTCGCGGCAATGGTCGAAGAGCTTGTCGTCGTCGTAGAAGCGGGATCCGCAGAAACCGCACAGAGGGTGACCCCTGAAACCGGTCTGGTCAATCGCACCTGGTCTGTCGTCGCCGTGTCTCATGTGCTTCTCGAGCTCCTTGTCGGCGAAGAGCTCATGCTCGTGCGTAAACACCTTCTTGTTCCTCGTGCAGAGATCGCACATCTTCATGTGGTGCGTTGAGCGGACATGCCTGTGGAGATCTGGCCAGCCCAGACCCGCGAAGACGCAATCTTCTGCCGGGCAGTTGTAGCGAAGCAGGACAACAGTATCGCCGACGATTTCTTCGTTGGTGTATCGGATGCCAATATTGTTGTCGAAACTCGTAATGTCGGCGTCTGTGTAGTCTTCATATCGCTTGTTCGCATCTTCGGTGAATACAACAAAGGGAGAAGGCGTCTGGCCCGTGTCAGCTCATGCGCATAACCATACGTGAGAGGGGCGATGACTTACTCGGCAATGGGGGCAGTCCTTGGTCTTGTACAAAGCCCTCATGCGCAAACCGCAGATGTGGCAGGTCTTGTGGTTGCAAGGCGCAATGGAGTGGAACTTGATCGGCTCGGCGCAGATGAAGCACACCTCGCCGTCGCTGCTAGCCGTGTCATCGTCCTCGGCAGCGGTACGGGCGAGCACCTTATTGTCCGGCTTGATGTGCGCCGGTTGAGGTGCGCTCGAGGCGTTTGGTTGAGGCGCGGCACCAGCGGTGCTACCGCCTCTGCCACGTCCTCCTCTGCCTCTCCCGCGGGTTCCAGAGTTACCGCCTCCTCCACCACCACCACCACCACCACCTCCACCACCTCCTCCTCCTCCGCGACCTCTACCACGGTTGCGATTGCCCCTGTTGGGGTTCGAGTCGCTCGCAGGCTGTGTGTCAGCCATCGGGGCAGTCGTCTCTCGCTCAGAAGGTGGGGCTAGGAGTCGAGAGGTGCGCTTGTCCAGTTGGCGGAACAGTTCGGTCGAAGCGGGCTGGGCGTCTCGTTGTGACGATGCTTCGATGCGTGAAATTGATCTTGAGCTTGACGACAGGGATTTTGGTACAGGGGATATCTGCAGTTGGAAGCTGTAAATCGAATGATCGTTCGTCTTGTCTTTGCAGAAGCAGCACGTGGGTTTGGGATATGGAAAAGCCAGGTGCAGGAAGGCAGCCCGGTGGTTTTAATCGATCGCGGCCAAGACCAAGAGAGGTCGAAATTAATGGTTATGTGTGGCTCCCTAGAGAACCGCGGGTGGGCTGGACTGGCTCTGGCATTGGTGGGTGCGAAGGAATTCATGGCGGGGTCCAGCAAAAAAGTCCCCTGCACCTGTATCTGCTCCTCGCTGTTCGGGGGAACAGACAGGTGCCGGGGTTTCTCCGTCTCTCGGTGTGCGTCATTTACCCCCCTGCTACCACCACCACCACCACTAGGTGCTACCTAAGCTTCAGTTGCGGCCCATGCTTACATAGCCCATTGAGTTGGCTATGGTGGCGAGCAGAGCTTCGAAGAGTCACCGGACAGTCCCTGTTGCTTGGTACGCCGCAAGGCGTACGGTACCTGCGCTATGGCTTTGCTAGTGAGCTGAGTGCGGCTGTGTAGTCAAATACACTTTCCTACCTACATTCCCGGCTTTTACGGCGGGAAGCCGTCCGTAGAAAATCAAATGTATGCAACGTGGGTCATTTTTTGTCATCTTCAGATTGTTTCTAGAAGCTCCCGACATGGGAGGATTCAAAACGGGCGGCGCTGCGCTTCCTGGCTTCAACCCAGCTTGCACAACAACAAACACATGTCACTGGAATCGCGACATTGGGAATTCGTGGAGCGACATGATGGCTAATCGAGTGCGTTTAAATAAAGACTAGTGCCGGCCTCTTCCAAAGGCCAAGCTAGCCTGGTCTTTCGTCCTTTGGGCCAAGCCTGCAGTCTCAATGGCGGCAATGCCCTGGCCAGCATGACCGGATATGTGAAGATGCCATGCTGACCACAAACTCATCCACGTCTACTGGTGTCCTCGCGAACCGCCCCCATGTCGCGATCCGTCCCGTCCATTTACTGTACTGTCCCTGGATGCCCAAACAAATCCCCAGAAAGTTTGCTGATTGCCCGTCCCAAACCAGAAAGACGCCATTGCCTAATTCGCTCCGTTTGTCCGCGCCAAACTTGGACCTTCTTGAGTATGTCATCTACTGCTCCTCGACCGGGTAGAGATGGGCGCCAATCATCTTGTTCATCTGAAACATATCCACCTTAGATTGCTTGAAAATGGCGTGCATTTTGTCGTCGCAACGAATCTGCCGTTTGTTGTCGGGGTCCTGGAGGTCGTTCCCCTTGATGTGCTGCCAGAGCTTCTTGACGACCTGTGGGCGAGATAACTTGGCGGGGTTAGCAAACAACCTCAACTCCGCAGGCGGGGGGGAAATTCGACGGCGGCGAGGACGTACCTGAGGCTCACCGAGCAGCTCTGCCAGCGGCTCGCTCAAGTTGAATGGTTTCTGGAAACCCCCGCCGGCCTTGCGCTTCGGCGGCTCCCCGCTGTCCTCAACGTCGCTATCGTCAATCTTCTTGTCACTCTTCTTCCGCGGTGCCTTCTTCTTCTTGGTTACTTTGCTGGTCGCGCCATTGCCGCCGCGCGTTGTCCGTCCTCTGGCCATTCTGTTCTCCTGCGCCTGCAGCTCGGCAGCGAGTTTGGCATCCGCGTCCTCCGACGAGTCCTCGCGCTTCTGCCTCTTTCTGACAGGCGCAATTGACACCTCGATCTCGCCGTCTGCCTCGTCGTCATCGTGACCGTTCGCTTCTCTCTTCGGGGCGGGACTTGCGGAATACGAGTCGGCAGTGGGGGCGGCGTCTCCCGATCCGGAGATGGCATCGAAACGCTCCTCGATCAGTGCCTTGATGGCATTCTAAACCAAGTTCAGTCAGCATGGGCTTACGTTCTTGTCGCTGTCAATCAAACGACAGCGGACGAAGCCGCGTGCCGACGATTCGCCGCAAGGGAAGGAGGGAATCGTACTTTTTGATCACTCAAGTCCTTGCCGCCAAGAGCCTTCTCTAGTCCCAAACGGATCTTCTTCCGGGTGATGGTGGTCAAGTCTGCAGTCGCAAGGATGCCATCGATGATGGAGGTGTAGTTGTTTTCCTCCTCTGAGCTTACTGCGCAGGCAGAGTTAGCAGTGGAAGATGCGGGCAGCCAAGCCCAGAAGGCAGGAGCGTACGAGGAAGAGACATGACGGCGGTGGTTATGGTATACTCATAGACCAAGAGTTGATGATGCCTCAGAGATTATTCCAGCTCGCCCGATAGCACGAGTGCACGGTCGGTCGAGGTGTTGTCGATCGGAGGGTTCGAAGCTGAGGTGGACGGGGCTTGCAGGTCGGTGGCACGACGTGGAGAGAAAGAGGGAACGGCGAGAAGAGTCGGGTGGAGTTTATTTGGCCTCGAATCAGAGCATGTCTCTTGCAGCGATCAGAACGAAAGTGCGATGGGCGTAAAAGTCGGGAGAGAAGTCCAGAGTAGAGCTGCGACACCGCGATCCACGCCTCTGGTCGTATTGTGGCGGAAGTGCATCAATCGTGCCGACGCACACGCACCCACGCAAGGCTGAAAGAGGACCGAAGGACGATCTCAGGTGGGGCGCGGATGCCAAGGCGGGAGACACAGAGATGAGGGCGATGATGGGACCTGAAGGTGCTGAATTGCGCAGGTCTGGATTCTGTAGAGGTCGAGGTGATGTCGGAACCGAGGACGGACTTCGTTTCCAGACACGGCCGGATACGACAGATTGGAGGTCAAGGTCAGAGGGGGGTGGTGCGATCGAGTGGTCCAGGCAAATGTGAGGCTCACACTTTGTGATGTTTGGGTTGTTGTCAGTCTGGAGGTACCTAGCGGACGGTCCGTTCTACCTTGCCTTAGCAACAAAACTGACGAATGGAGAGCCCAGGAGCGGCTAGTGTGTGTATTTGTGGCTGGAGGCTGGAAGGGAAAGGCCGACAGAAAAAGAAGTGGATTATCGGTCTTGCATTAGACGTTGGCTCGTGCTTCCGTTCCAGTCCAGGCCAAGCCTCCGAGCCAACCAGAACACCGAATTGACTCCCGGCTGATGTTCCTTGGACCAGCCCCCACACCGGTCGGCTGACAAACATCACGTGGCCCGACTTGCACGGCCGGGGAAGCCACAGTCGGTTGGGGGAGTTGGGGACGAGGTCTGGAGAGGTTTCACGCAATCTTGGCTCATTGGGTCTCAGTTTTCTAACGTGATTCTTTGATCGCGCTTGCACGTGCAACGGGGCCGGCATCAGCCTACATGTTTGCCCTTCGTACATTACTAAGCTAGATGCAGCGGCTGCATGCATTCTGCAAAACCTCCCCAGCCCGACCTGGGGGATGTCCCTGGAGAAGGGGGCTATGCTATACGATTCGGTTAGGCATGAGATTGAACTGGTAAACTGGGAAAACGGAGGCATCATGGTCATATTGACAGGGTACCTTATGATGGGATGAAGGGTACCGGTAGTGAAGAAGAAAGAGGATGTGATTGTTGCGTGGCCCACTTTGAACAAAAAAAGAGTTGCCGACTCGGGTGTCATCAGCTGTCAGCACCTTTACCATTCGTCTGGGAACATGTCTTCGCTGGACTCACCCAATCATTTGGCGCGGATCTCGGTGAAGAGCTCGCACCCCGATCCATAACCGGTAAGTTTGCTCATTGTCTGCCAAAAACGCCACGGCACTCCACTATTTTTTCGTTAGCTTCGGGCCAATGAAGTCCCCGTTGGCCACAACAGTGTGATCTTCATCAGGTTGTCGGTTTGTTATCTGCAGATACTTCTAGCTGGTGTATTAATGACGTCGGCTTCTTTTACGTCTTCCATCTCATCCACCTCTCATCACTCTATCCGAGTATATCGTTGAACCTACGTTTAACTACCTACCTCCAACCTTGGTTTCAAGGGATAACATCAAGATGCTCAACCCTTTCAGCATCTTCACGCAGGCCTTTCCTCCGCGGCCGCAGTTCACCGAGAAGGAGATCCCCGATCTCTCCGGAAGGGTCAGTTGATCATACCTTGGCCCCTTTGACTCAACTACACGTTGCTCACACCTCACAGGTCTGCATCGTGACGGGAGCAAACACTGGGGTTGGCAAAGAAGTCGCGCAGATTCTCTACTCGAAAAATGCCAGTGTCTACATCACCTCCCGCTCGGAAGAGAAGGGCCGCGCTGCCATCGCCGCCATCAAGGAAGCCCTGCCCAGCTCAACTGGAAAGCTGGACATCCTGACTCTGGACCTGGCTGACCTCACCACCATCAAGCCTGCGGCCGAGGCTTTCCTGGCCAAAGAGTCTCAACTTCACCTCCTTGTCAACAATGCCGGCGTCATGATGCCACCCCAGGGGAGCAAGACCGCTCAGGGCTACGAGCTGCAGCTGGGAACGAATTGCGTCGGCCCCTTCCTCTTCACCAAGTTGCTCACGCCCACGTTGGTGGAAACGGCCAAGACGGCACCCAAGGACAGTGTTCGCGTTGTCTGGGTTTCGAGCTCTGCTGCTGAGCTTCTATCGCCTTACCCTCCCATTGAAATTGACAATCTTGACTACTCCAAGAGGGACAGGATCAAGGAGTTCAAGTATGGAATCAGCAAGGCTGGTAACTACTTCCACTCCACAGAATTTGCTAAGCGGCACAAGGCCGACGGTGTCATCAGTTTGGTACGCCTAACGTGAAGCCCCGGTTGCTCCGAATGACACTTACATATCCAGGCTCTGAACCCCGGAAACCTCTCATCGGAGCTGGACCGTCACATCACGGCCCTGATCCCGACATTGTTCAGGAAAGCAACCACCTACCCCGCCATTTACGGCGCATACACCGAGCTCTTCGCAGCGCTCTCTCCCGAGGTGACAATCGAGAAGACGGGTGACTGGGGTGAGCTGAGTTCTGCTACCGGCCTGGAGTCCATTGTCGCTAACTGCTCACACCACAGTCGTTCCTTGGGGTCGCTTTTACGCCATCAGGGAAGACCTTGTACAGGGCTCCAAGTCCCGCGAAGAGGGCGGAACTGGACTTGGCGAAGACTTTTGGAAGTGGACGGAAGAACAGGTGGATAAGTACCTTTGATCGGAAGGGGGGCCATTTTGGGACTACATAGACAGCGTTGTTTGATACCAAACATTATTTCTATATTTACAACTATTCACGTGGCTAGCCCATCGTGAACTGTCTGACAACTTTGGCCGAGGCCAAAGACTATAGGTTTATGGTTCACTGGCTTCATCAACTTCACTAGATGGAAACGGGACGCTTGGTTCGTACACTGAAGAATATATTCTCAAAGCTAAATCCGACAACCACAGTGACTAGTCATGTCCAAAAAGATATGTACAACAGAAATGGTCCTCTTTCTATTGAGGTCCGAGCTCCAATATGGCTTCAAAATAGCCCGGCGCTCACATCCAGTTCATTGCCGACCAGGTCGCTTAGTTGCGCTTCTGGTGGTTGCGGCGGCGGCGGCGACGGCAAGCGGGCTTGGCGCTGGCGCTGGCAGCAGGGGCAGAGCTGGTGGTGGCAGCGGGAGCGGAGGGCTCCTCGGAGACAACAGGGGCAGCGGACGAGACAGGGGCGGCAGAGGTGGGGGCAGCGCTGGTGGCGGGAGCGGCCGTCGTTGTAGGGGCGGCGGTGGAGGTGGGGGCGGCGGCAGCGGGAGCAGAAGAGGCGGCGGCCGAGGTGGCAGCGGGGGCAGCAGAGGAGACGGGGGCGGAGGAGCCAGAGTCGGCAGAGCCGGAGCCAACGGAGGTAGTGAGCTCGCCGCTCTCGATGTAGACGCCAGAGAAGTAGAAGTCCTCGTTCTCATCGGGGTAGCCGTCTCTAGGGAGCTCAAGAACACCGACGTGCCAGTCGGCACCGTTGCTGGAGGTGGAGGCGGTGACGGGGGCGACGACCTGGGTCAGAGCCGCGGAGCCGGTGGAGTGCCAGAAACCGACAGAGCCGGCGTCAAAGTCAATCTCGTACGCAACGTTGTGCCAGACGTCAGCGTCCCAGTTGACGCTCCACTCGGTCTTGCCGCCAACGACCCAGCGGAGGAGGGGGTCCTCGGTGCCGGTGGCGCCGCTCTGCCAGCCCGACTTCATCTCGACGAAGTGGCTCTCAAAGAAGGCGATCTGGTGCTCCTTGTTGAGGGAGGGGGCGTTGGTGTCGCTACGCTTCAGGGAGAAGTGGTAGTAAACCTTGCCCTTGTTGATGGCGGCCGACGTCTGGGGAATCAGCTCGGTGCGGCGCATGTTCTGGCCGTTCCAGAAGGCGGTGCTGGTCAGAGAGATCTTGGCACCCTGCTTGGAAGCCGTATCGGCCGGGTTCTTGAAATCCTCGGACAGGTTGACGTACTCGGTCGTCTTGCCGGAGCCGTGGATGTAGTACTGGTAGGAGCCGACGGGGCTGCTGAAGGACCACTTGTCCAGGTCGGTGGACGAAGTCATATCATTGAAACGACCGTCCCAGAGGATCTCGCACTGGGCGCGGGTGGCCAGCAGAGCCGCGCTGGCGATGCTCCAGGTGAACTTCATTTTTCCGGGGTTTGGTTGGTTGTGGTGTGTAAGACTTGTGGTGTACTTTTTGGTGTAAGTGAGCGTGTGCCTAAAACCGACCGGGCGGCTTGGAGAAAGCTTGAATTCAAGGGTGGGAACGAATGAAAGTTCTTGAAAAGAGAAAGAGAGGACGCAGGTTGCAGCAATCGATGCCTTGGCCTTGCTTCAGGAAGTTCAGTGTACGATGAAGGAATGTAACTAAGCTCAAAACCAAGAGGAGGGAAGCAGTAGGCACACGCCTGGCGATTCGGTCTCCTTATGTAGAATCCTTGAGAACGTGGGACGAACGACACATGGATTTCATTCTCGATCCGTGGTTCCTGGAAAAAAGGAGATGTCCCCGCAGGCCTAGCTGCGAGGGATAGAGTAAAAGGCTGCTTTGGGGGAGATGGGCCTACACAAGACACTCTGTTTCACGGCAAGGTTTCCCGGTTCAGCGGTTCAGCAGAGGCCTGCCATCTGCAGAGTCTCTTTTCGTGAGACGGGGCCGTGAGCGTTATATTGCGGAGACGTCCCTGGCTTCAGGTGAGACCATGGCTGATGAGGCCACGCCATATTGGTACTATGTACATATGCGGGCTGTAGGATCCAAAATTGCAGCGGCAAGGAAAAGCACAGTGCAGTGGGAAGCGCCGGGTAAAGTCGAAGGAACCGAGACTCGGGCCTGGACTCGATTCGTCGAAGGGCAGAGAAAGTGGGATAACGGAAAACTGGGGCGCGAGAGCGGACCAACAGAGCAAAGGAGAGATGAACAGGGCGCCTGGTAGGCGCTTGATGTTAATGAACTGCGAGTCCACATCTCGTTTGTATCTTGTATGGATGAAAATGCAGGGGGGCCATCAAATCTGACAGAGCCGAAGGAGACAACGTGCCCGGGCGAAGCTTTTAGCAGCTGGGAAATTCACACGGGGCTCGGGGTGGGGTCGCTAGTCCCCATCGGGTCTGTCTCCCAAACCATGCAAATGCCCCTTTTCGGCACGGCCGGGAACACCCTTCCTGGGCGTCGACCGTCACGGCGCGCGTTCGTTCCCGAAATCACAACTATAAGCGATTGGGAAACCACCCCGCTGTTAAGTTGTCAATGGCTGCCAATGCCGAGTGGTGCGGGCGAAGACGTGGCGGCCGTGGTATCGTTCTATATGATGTGAGTTGCTATAGCCGAGATTCTGATATGTCTTTGGTTATCGCTCCAGGACTGAGGCGGGAGATCGCCCGCCGAGACAAGCACAGTCGGACCCGAGAATCCGGTGTTTTTAAAATTCGCCGCAGCTCCCAGATCGGATCCGATGCAGAGACGTCACGCCAATGAAAGGAGGAGGCAATGTAGCATCTTCAACTAACAACCAGCAGCAGCAGCCAGTCGATGCCTTCTCTAAGTGCAATGCGCCAATCTGCTGTGCAGCTACCCATCTAGCACCCCTTCGTTGTTGGTTATGACCGAAGGTAGTTGCAAACGCTCTTCCCCCAACGCGAAGCTCCCTTGTAAACCCACATGCCAGGCGCATTGCCATTCTTCAGTCCATCTATGGCGTCCGCCAGCTGCAGCCCGAGCCCTTCCTTCTTGACTTCTTCTATCGGTGTAAGATATGTCTTGAAGGAGAACAGAATCGCGTCAGTCTTGGGAAGTCTTGTCAAGGTCTGTAGCTCTTGGCGCAAGCGAGCCTACGACATGTAAGTAATGGTTCGCGAAGACATAGTAGCAAGTCGCAGTCCAGACACTTACCTTGCTAATATCGACATCCTCGTCTTCTGTCGTCTTGTCACCGTCGTAGATGTGCAAATCGCTCGGGCTGAAGAGTTTATCATGGGTTGAAATAGACCACTGCATCGCCTATCAACATCTTTTTCGCCCATGTGGACATCGGAACACGACGTAAACTCACGTTCATCCTTTTAACGCTCTTCCCCACCTGCAGTCGACTGAAGAATCGTTCCATACTTGCCCCTATCTTGTCATACGAGGGCACTGGTGTGTGTATTTCCTTCATTAGCTTCCCTAGCTTATCAGAGGGATCGAATCCAGCCGGATGGCAGCAAACGAATGCGACCGCACGATGGCCTTCAGGAGTCTCAACCAGCAGGAAAATATCGTCCTCCACAGTCTCTCCGAGGGCCTGAAGCGCGGTGACGGGATCTTCCGGTGGCGTTGTGGGTAGGGAGATGTTGGTGACGTGGTTCTGGAAGATGGTTCGGTCCTCGGAAAGAGAGAACATGGTCGGGTAACGCATTGGCAGATACTCAGTGAGCAGATAAGCCCAAGCTTCGTGAAGAGCCGGAATGCCTTCCGGTACCGCGCCAGCAACCTTTGAGGTATTCTCCTTCAAAATCTGCCGGCGGTTCGTGACCCGGTCCAGGTAATTGTTGTCGATAATGATAAGGTCTTCAGGTGGGCTGGATTGAATGGCTACAATGGGTTCTGTAAGTCTCAATGTATGAAGAGTCATTAGACCTCCAAAACCTACCCATCGTTATATGATAGACCGGCTTGAAGGGCCGGTGCTTGGTCGGGTCGTTCTGTCGCCAATCAAACCCCGTCCGTGGCTCGATCACAGCCATCTCTGACTTCTCTCTGGCAGTTTTCTGTACAGACTGTGTCTGTAACACGCATCAGACGAATAATGTAGCTTGGTAAGGTGAGTAACCAACCGTTAGGGCGTATCGCCACCTCCATCTCCATGCGGAAAATAGCACAAGGGCTACGGCTAAAGCCGCGACAAGATACATCTTCTTGAATGCAGTATTGGTTTGCGTTCTCGGAAAAGATTCAAGAGATGAGATGAAGTGAAACGCTTTGGGTGAAGGTCAGTCTACAGCATGAGTCAAGCTGATCTCTGACCTCAAATAAAGCGAGGGTCCCTGATATAAGTCTGCCACTCAAGCCTGACCGTTATCGGCCCAGCCGGTCGGCTCCCACGTCGGGCTCCCGCCAGGTATTTGGTTCCCAATCAGAACCTAGAGGATGCACCATGAGTGATGATTCCTCTTTTGGGCAATAGAATGAGAGCACCAGCGAATGGTTTTATCGATTGATCCATCAACCGATAAGGTACACTGTAATCGGGCATTGAACAGAGACCCACGCGGAAGTGCATTAAGTTCAGTTCTGATCTACCCGCATAGAAATACGTTCAGCGTAAATAGCGTATCCCGCGTTCCATACGGCAGATGTATACACGCGGTAGGTTATCACACGGAGCAAGCCTAGACATTGTCCTCGAAGAAGAGGCTTTCCCCGCACGCCGCGCTGGCCAACAGCAGGGATGACCTTAGCTTCGTCTCGTGACGGGGCGACGTGAAGATCTAGTGTCAGATTTCTGAACGGTTCATACGTAATGGTGAATGCTCATTGTATGGCCTTGACTTTGTCGTGCCACCTTCATTCACTTGTTTAGTTTTAGTACAGGGTGTTTCTTGCTTCAGACTGGACGTTAGACATTGGCCCAGTTGCGCAAGACGATACAAATGCCCTACATTGATGACGAGACAAAGACATAAGTTAATTGTGATGCCTGTCGAGAGAAGTAGGTACGCCAGGTCTAGAAAGGTTATATGATGGTCTGTTTGGCTATGTGAAAGTGCACCTGCTGTAAGCATACAGTGCTGCCTATGTTTCATCGCGTAGCCAGCCGTCTATGGTGTCGATGATGACGTCTGCCGAATTCGCAGAACTGAACGAAGTATCTGGAACTTCACGATGTAGAAGCGAAGGTCACGTCTCCCGGTCACGAAACCAACATACCCCGCAGTCGGAGACAGACCAGACCAAAGACTACCACAGATAAGATGCATTTCTTGAGAAGCTGACTCATCAGGTTTGAGCTCAAGGTGTTGACTAAGCAAGAGCTTATCATCAAAGCTACGTAATCACGCAAGCTTTGGCAAGGGTGAGCTCCTCATTCGACTCCACGCTCTCACCATCATCCATGTCATTGACCAGTTACAACGCCGAAACCGCAACCGAAGGGAACCGATCACAGCGTGTGTGCCCCTCCAAATAGCCCAAAGCTCACAATCGGACGGCGATGGTTGCACTTTAGCTTTGAAACGTCGGCCAATAATCCATCCGGGCCATCTGCCACCTTCTTCATTGGGCAAAGGGCTCGGCCAAGAGACCTCATCCTTCGGGGTTTGGGTTCCATGCCTTGATTTAAAACCATTTTCCTAAAACCTTCATTCTTAGCTTCTCGTCTCCAATCCATTCGACCAGCACCAAACCGTTGTTAAGATGGAGTCGGAGAAGAGCGGCCTTTTGCCGCCGTACAGCGCCGCAGCCGTCGCGTCGCCGTCGCCTTCGGGCCCACGCCGCTCGGCACACCATCACAAGCGGTGGTTGCGCCCCAGCCGCAGCATGAAGCTGATCGTCGGATGTCTTGCATTCATCGCTTTCGCTCAATGGAAGCAGCTATCGCTTCTGCCCACTCGCCAGCCGTCTAGCGATTTATCCGTGGACCGCCTGCAACAGGATCTGGCAACTTGCTCCAAGCTGCGACACAAGCCGCAAGATCCAATTGGTCTTGGTCGTGAAAAGAACGCCCGCTATGTTGACGGCCAGCGTCCGACGCTCATTCGAAACGCAACGATCTGGGTTGGCGAGGCTGCCGAGGGAACTTCCCCGGAAGATGCGCGTGCTGGCAAAGGATACTCGTGGATCACCGCCGACGTTCTCGTCGACTACGGCCTCATCCAAAAGGTCGAGGCCGACATCTCGCTCGACTCTCTTCCTAAGAACACCCAAATCTGGGATGCTAAGGGCCGCCAGCTGACCAGCGGCATCGTCGACATGCACTCCCACGCTGGCGTTGGTGCTCTGCCTGAGCTCAACGGCAGCGAAGATGTCAACGAGCTTTCTGATGATATCACCCCGTACGTCCGCTCGATAGACGGCCTCAACCCGCTCGACCCACAGATTCAGGTCATCAAGTCCGGCGGTGTCACTACATCCCTGATCTTGCCGGGCTCAGGCAACAACATGGGAGGCGAAGCCTTTGTTATCAAGCATGCCGTTGGCAAGGCTGACGGCCGCACCGAATTCTCGGCGGAAGACATGTTGGCCGACCCAGACCGCAACTGGCGCTACATGAAGATGGCATGTGGAGAGAACCCAAAGCGTATTTATGGAAAGGTTGGCAGCCACGGCCCTTACTCTCGTCTTGGCGAGAGTTGGGAGTTTCGCCATGCGTTCGAGCAAGCAGCGAAGCTTGTGCGAGACCAGGACGACTGGTGCGACGCTGCGGACAAGTTTGGCATTGAAAGCCAGACCTCGTATTTGCCGCAGGATCTGAAGTGGGAGAGTCTCAGCGCTGCGTTGCGCGGTCAAGTGCACATCAACACCCACTGTTACACGATTCCAGATTTGGAGGCATTCGTCGACCACACCAACGAGTTCAAGTTCTCTGTGCGGGCGTTCCACCACGCTCACCAGACCTTTTTGGTTCCAGAGGTAGGCTCCGAGGCTACTCGACTCTGCTGCATTGACAACTAACGTGAAATGTAGATTCTGAAGCGTGTTTGGGGAGGCCGTCCACCTGCCTCTGCATTGTTTGCTGACAACATGTACTACAAGGCCGAATCCTATGTCGGCTCTGAGTACGCTGGCAAGATCCTCTGGGAGAACGGCCTCACTCCTGTCTATGTCAGCGACAACCCAGTTCTCAACGCCCAACATGTCTTGTTCGAGGCTGCCAAGGCTTATAGATATGGTCTTCCTTACCATGCTGCCCTGTCTAGTGTGACATCTGCGCCTGCTGAATTGCTGGGTCTTGGTCAGCGCATCGGCAAGATCAAGCCCGGGTTCGATGCCGACATTGCCGTCTGGGACAGTGATCCTTTGAGCGTCGGTGCTGCGCCCGTGCAAGTCTGGATTGACGGAACTGCCCAGTTCTCTGACCCCGTTGAGCTTAAGAAGCCCCTTACCGGTCCTATCTCTCCAGACCCGAAGCTAGCAAATACCACAGAGGAGACTACAGATCTGGAGGAAGTGGTTTTTACTGGTGTGTCTAACGTCTGGCTTTCCGGCGAGGATGTTCACTTGGCGGGTGATGAGACTGTCAACGTTGTCTTCGACAACGGTGCTATAAAGTGTATTGGTGCCTGCGCTGAAGAAGTCGCGGCCGCCAAGTCTGCGTCCAAGAAGGTCATTAACCTGACGAACGGTCACATTACCGAGTCTTTCACTGCCTTCGGGTCGCTTATTGGCCTCAACGAGATTGATAACGAGGCAGACACGGATAACGGCCGCAATCCCACTGGGTTCAGCCGCGGTCTTGACGGGCTTGTCCTGGACAACAAGAAGCTGCATGTGGCCAAGCGGTACGGTGTCACCAAGGGCATCTCGGCGCCTAAGTTCACTGGGGGTTTGACACACTCTGGTACTAGTGTTGGTTTCAACACTGATGCTTTGCATGCTCTTGAAAAGGGGGCTGTATGGAGTGAAGATGTTGCAGTGCATCGTACGCTAACCCTGGCTGCCAAAAGAGGCGATAACCCCTCCATCTCTAGCGCTATTGGAGCACTCCGACACAGCCTCTTGGAGGCAGTTGCAAACAACGACACCGGTTCGGACCCGTACTCAGAAGCGGCCTACCTCAAGAAGGTTGTCAACGGGGAGCTTCCCTTAGTCCTGACGGTTCACAGTGCTGATACCATTGTGGCTGCGCTGCGAGTCAAGGCGACTGTAGAGGAGGCTCTTGCTGCGAAGAGCCACTCTACAGAATCTCCTAAGCTTCGTGTTGCCATCATTGGAGGCGCGGAGTCTCATCTCGTTGCTTCCGAGCTGGCTGCCGCTGGTGTCGGTGTGGTCCTTGCACCGTTTCAGTCGTACTCGAACACCTGGGACCAGAGGCGTTCGTTGACCGGCGCTCCTCTTACGAACGGCACCGCCGTTGACACTCTCCTCGACGCTGGGGTTGTGACAGCCATCGGATTGGAGGAGGACTGGCTTATCCGTGATCTGGGACTTCTTGCTGGCATTGCACAGAAGAACGGAAATGGTCGGCTAAGCGAGAAGAAGGCGTTGGACTTGGTTTCGACCAACGTTTACAAGATCCTTGGCATTGAAGAGTCGCAGTCCAGGAACGCTCGCCACTTTGTTGTATACGAGGGCAGCCCCCTTGAGATCGGAGGAAGAGTCCGCGCAGTTGGCAGCGGCCGTGAAACGGTTTCTGTATTTGTGTAGCTGGTTGGCGGGGATGAGGCTGGCATCGCTCGGTCTGGGCTGTAACCCGAAGGACCCATAATCCATTACGAGCTAGATTCCGAACCGCGCGCGCGCAGACGCTCCAGGTCCAAAAACATGATCGATGCTTTGACGCCTGACCGTATTGCAACTGATCCTCCACGGGATCGGTCTATTGCGTATGATTATGGAGGAAGTTTGACTCAGCCCCATTACCTCGACTTGCTACTGGTTGTACAGTGGCTGACTTAACGATGTGATCCCGCGCGGGTATTACCAATCTGATCCTGGGCGGCGAAGATCCCGTGCATTTCAGACAACCAATGAAAATGAACCGACGCGGAGCCAACTGAACTGAACCGTGCAGCTAGTTTGTTGTATATGAGGCCCACTGCCACCCGCTACCGAAGCCCAGCCCTGAAGGCTCAATGGTAGGCAGCCGAACAACATCGAATGACAGCAACGAAAACCACCTTGGGCTCATTCACCTTGCTTCGAACCTTGAATTTTCCTAGATCTATCTTGGCACGTTCCCGAAACCTGAGAACAACAGCGCCCACCATGACACGTGGTGCAGTTATCTGTGTTTCCCACGGCGGAGGTATGCAGTACCCCAGCTCCAACGACTTTGGGCGTTGACTTATAGCATCAAGGCCCATGCCCATCCTAGGAGATCCTGGCCACGCTTCCATTACCGCATCACTGAAGAACCGCGTGCCCAAGATCCTCAAGCTTAACACACCAGAAGCTCCCAGAGCGATTGTGGTTGTAACAGCACATTGGTCCGAAGGCAGACCGACCATTTCATCAGGGGAGCGTCATGACCTATACTATGACTACGGTGGATTCCCACGGGAGGCGTACTCACTTAAATACCCCGCCCCCGGCTCACCAAGCATCGCACAAGAGTTGAAGCAGGCTCTCGAGAAGGAGGGCCTTTCTCCAGTGCTGGACTCAAGACGTGGTATGTCTGATGAAACACAGCAGCCGAGCGTTTAACCGCAACAAGTGAAAACGCAAACTTCGTTTCGAGGCTAACGCGCAAGCTAGGCTGGGACCATGGCGTCTTTGTTCCACTTCTCCTTGTTAATCCCGCCGCCAACGTTCCTGTAATCCAGCTTTCCGTCCTCGCCTCCGAGGACCCTGAAGAACACTTCCGCATGGGACGCGCCCTTTCGGCGCTGCGGGATTCCAACGTCGCCATTCTCGGCTCCGGTTTCGCCTCGCTCCACAATATGGGCAAGATGCGGTCCCTATTCATGGGAGATCCCGTAGCGGCCAAGAAGCTCGCCAAGCAGGTCGGCGAGTGGAATAAGGACCTGACGGATGCTGTGAAGAAGGAGAAGCGCGATGATCGCGTAAAGGCGCTGTCTGGTTGGCGAAAGTTTTCCCACAGTTACGACATGCACCCTCCTCATGGCGGTGAGCACTTCATGCCCTTGCTGGTATGTGCCGGTGCGGCGGAGGACGAGGTTGCCGGCGTATACGATGACGACTTTCTCGGCTTGGACATTAAGACGTATTACTGGGGAGATATACGTGTCTGATTAATCTAACTAGTACTGAGTTCATCTATATGCCTATTCATAAGCGCCAATCCTTTTCCGCATTTTCCCAAGCGGATCATGAAGAGGGTGAGATATCGCATCCCTGTCCATCTATCCCATAACACATCGATTCGTTACATCATGATTCTTTCAGTGTCCTAACCAAGAACCCCGGCGCCGAATGCTGATGAGAAAATACAGTCCTCTATATCCCGTACATTTCCGTCGTCCTCCGATTTGATCACACCCAACCCCCTTTTGTAAAAACTATAATCCAACAGTGTAGTAAACATTTCGAATCAGGATCAGTCAGTGTGAGGAAGAAGTCACCAGAATTTGCCTCCGATGCCCATGGCGTCGACGATGTGCGACTCTTTCTCCACAACCCAACCAGTTTGCACGTAGTTGGTAAGCCAACTGACCTCACGACCACGATGGCCATCGCAGTCCCGGCACCCGCGCCTCGCCATTTCGAGTCCCATGACGCCGTCCATGACGCCGCTCTTGCCGCCAACCGTTGCTCCCAGGCCGGTCCAGCTGAGACGACGGTTGTCCTTGCGAGATCGCCGGGTCTGCGCGTAGTTCGCCATGGCAGCCAGCTCGCGCTTCTCGGCGATGTCTCGGTCGATCATCATAACGGAGTCGAGGATGCTGCTGGGGGCATGCGGAGATGTAGGGTCCGGGAACAGTGCCGAGAGGTAGTCGGTCAGGAGCATCACCGGGCGTTGATCGGGCACCCACTGACCTGAGGGTTGGGGAACCTGGTTGTGGATGACAAAGACACCGCCGCAGAAGCGGCCTTCAAGCTTTTTGTGGACGGAACGTAGGACTCCCATCTGCGCGAAGGGGTCGTTTGCGTAGGCGAAGTGTTCGATATGAGGACCGCGCTCTTCGACAACGGCAGCAGAGCCGTCGTCAAAGCGGGTCGGCTTGCGGCTACTCTCACCAACAGGCACAACAAACTCTGAAGCGGTGGCGCCGAACGTGTAAATCTCAAGTTTGGTGAGCCTTTCCGGCTGGATGTCGGAGCAGAGGCGGGCAAGTACGTGAGCAACGGGCAGAGATCCATTGTTGTGGGCAAGAACGGCGACGCGGTGCACAGCGCCATCCAGGAGGGCTGAGCGAAGCTCAGTGTATAGGGCGCGTGAGGCTTGTGTTTCGAAGGGAAAGCAACGTTGGATAGCGAGAAGGAGCATGTCGAAGGGGAGGCCGTAGGTGGCCATCTGGATGCCGCTGAAAGAGCGTCCAAAGAGGCGGGCGAGACGAGGAATTGTGCATTGTGTTAGGTGGAGCGAACTAGATGGATGTAAGTGATTTGATTTTTGGGCTGACATTGAACCCAGAGAAGACAAGAGAACTCACCTTGTGCCGATGCCACCAATGAAGATCCACCTCTCGTTGTCGTCGTCGATATCTGTAGTACTGTTGCCGAACTCGTCGCAGCTGATCATGATTTCATTCCCATTCATCAACCAGCTCAGGCCGAGGACCATGCTCATTGAGGTTCCTAACCAAGCGGCGAACAAAATCCCCGGCAGCACGGCGAATAGTGGAATAGCAAGTGTGATGATTCCAACTTCGACAATGGCCAAGCTGAGCTGGACAATGATATCCTTTAGGTGACTCTTAGAGAGGTGTTGGCGGTGGTTGGCGACGTGGGTTCTCAGTGATGACATCAGGCCCGGCATCATCTGCCACATTTCCTGCAGGTCTTCGTGGAGCATTGGCAACGCCGGCTTCTGCGCGAGGGGGACAGTTCCGCAAGCACCATCAATGAGTGGCGGGATGTATGTCACCGAGGGGCCACATGTCTTGATAGGCCCGCATGTGCTCGACCTTGGTGATGTGCGCGGAGAGTTGATGGGCGACTGGTACGAGGGTGACCTTGAAAGCCAAGGCATGACGGGCGAGGAGGTTGGAGATCTTTTCGGTGCTATGAACGGCATCGGGATCAGACCTTCGTAAGAAATCAAAACCTAGGTGGGTGTTGGGAGGATATAGAGAAGTGCGAAGAGGGAAAATGGAGCCTTGAAGCTTGGAACGAAGAACAATCGGGGGGTTCAATCAGAGTACGAGGGGCGAACTTGTGACGATTCACATGCAATCATAGATCTTTTAATCTTCGTTGCGTTGTTGTTATTGATGTCTCGTCGCATAAGCTGGTTCTCACCCTCCCTTATCATTCCTCTTGACGCTCAGGCAATCTTGTTGCAGACACCGGCGCAGAGCGCTTGTTTGGTGGCGCATTCCGCGACTAAATTCGCCCCGTGCCTTGACCATCTAGACTGTGCACCATTCAAGCCCAGAGTAAGAAATTGGATTGGGAAGTTTGTTTGGGTTCTTTCGGCTTGGTTTGTTTACTTCGATGCCATCGAGGAGGCAACAAGGATTGCAAGCTTGAGGTTGATCAGTCGTCGTTTCCTAGGAAGCTTATTGGCAATGTCTCACATGAAAACTGATAGTACGAATGCTCCCCAACAATCCCAATCAGAAAATCCCCGTGTACGTTGCAGCAGGCCCATCGATTCTCGCCTCGAATTCTGGCAGATCTCAAAAAGCATTGATCACCCCGGCAGCCCGGGTTCCAGAGCCGGGTCGATCCCGCTGCGGCTAAACGAATTTTGCTGGAATCTTGGGACGAACGATGCACCGAGCAACAAACTTTGCTCTGCAGCCCTGAAAGAGATTAGCGCACTGACAGTCCTATTCTTTGCTCGTCCTTCCTCCGCTTGGATTCAGGGTTCTGGTGAGCCTCAGGCGAGCTAGAAAGCAGAATGACGCTAGACCTTAACAAGGTATTTTCGTCCAAAGTTTAGCCCAAAGCTCTTTGCATGTGAATTTCTGACGTACATTCGTCCGTTTTTCTGCGCCCGGAAAAGCACGTTTCTTCATGCAAGGTCGGAAAGCTTCGGTCTTCAATGGGACCGTGATTCGAGCGTCAGACTCCAGCCGAGCTGCAATCCTGCACTGAACGAGCGGAACATGCGGGAGGAAGTGGTCTCTGACACGCTAGTAAGGGCCAATTGAGGATTGACCCTCCGACTAATAAGCTGGAATGAATTGTAGTAAGACAACGAGCTTCTCTATCGGTCGAGTATCTACGGGTTAAGAATGACAGACTAGCCCCGGTGCAGGTTGGATCTTGAGTCCTCGACAACGCATGTCAACGTACTGCCGCCGAGGTGATCAAATGAATTCCTTGAAGAAACCTTCAGCCCTCTCGATGGTCCTCGCTGGAGGATTCATAAGGCTGCAAATGGATATTTGTCTAGAACCTGCCGACCGGTTTGGCCTCCTTCTAGCCCTGATAGCCACCGCCAACTCCAAACATGAGGCGCTCATCTAGTTAGCACACGGGTGCCAGGCACGGACTACACGTGGACGAGGCTTATTATTGACTGACCGTTATCCGTACAAGAATTGATGGACATGAAACTTTGCGTTTGAGGTTGGGTGCCGGGGGCATTCGACGAGGTCAGGAACTTTCACTGGTGGCCTTTGTGTGATCAAGAATACAAGGTGGTGGTGGCGGCGGCGGCGGCTAATAAGTTGGTTGAGTAAATATCCACGAGGCGTTTCTTTGATCGTCATATTCAGCCCTGATGGAGCATGTCAACGCATGTGGCGAAAAAGAACGGTAAACAGAAGTACGCCACTGGAGAGCCACAATCAACGTAAGTCCATATGTTGATGTACGAACTAGGGAAGGAACCAAGGAGGGCCTGGCAATGGCTTTGTAGTAGATGTGGTTTTGTTCCAATTGTTTACCCATTCGCCGGAGTTTACCGTAAAGTCCAGAAGTAAACAGTCTGGTCAATTCCTTGGCGAGCTAGATCAGCATTGGCGGAGAGAGGACGATAGTCTTGCATGTGTAATCGGATGCTAGAAAGGCCTACTGGAGTGAAGATACGGTTACCATAGCCGACAAGTCATGAACACGTTTCAACTATTCGCGACGCCATTTTCAAGTCGAATCTAGAAATGCTGGGCACTGAAGTTGCACGTTATCAGGATAACATCAATTAAGAACCACAGGCATGAAAATTGGTGTTCTCGTACAAGCTTCCCGCCGAACAATATTCGGTAACAACAATTCAGCTACATCACTCAGAATTTACATCGGACTTCCGCTTCCCACACAAACATTGATTGGACGATCTGAGTCTTAGTGGGCTTTATGTTACATTCGGACATGTGGAACGAACCTGGATCAGCGCAACAACGTATCGAATCGTTGATAAGCAGATGTGGTACAGTACTCGATCTGTATTTTAGAGGTAGAAAAGTGGGTATTTTAGAAACTGTCTACGAGACGAGAAGTCATCTCTTATACAGGTTACCGAGTTGCACGAATCGTGTGAGAAGTGCCTGGCTCGGGCCACCTGCGCCACTATCTCGTCCTATAACCTATGCTCACGACAGTAGAGCAAACAATGTGGGTTCTGCGCAAGAACTAGATAGTACACCGCCTTAATGCAATTGTGACTCAGTCTCATTCCAGATTACAACCTGCATCTTGTTGCAGCTTCGTCCTGTGCTCCGATGAGAATTTGAATGTCAACCTGTGACAGCTATTGATTGCTAATATTAGATGGCAGGCAAACAACCGAAATACATACAATGGTATATTCGATGGCTTCAGCAAACATCGGTCGATGCCCAGTGCCGCGTATAACAGGTAATAGAGCAGACGCTGGCTTGAAAAAAAAAAATTGAAGCAAACCGGTTACGGAAAATACGGAGAACCTACGCAGCGTTGAAGTTACCACTCGCAAACACAGTCGAACTCATAGGGCGCGAGGGGTTGAAGTCACAGAGTGGAAGAAACTGAAAGCAGGGTATATGCAGGCTTAATGCTAACCAAAGTACTATGTACAGGAATGCAGAAATCGAAACCGAGTTCAAGTTGAAACTCGAGTCTCTAGAACGGTGCACCGGGCAAGACGCAGTAAGCCTGGAATGCACATCTGGTGTCTATGGTAAGAAAACAACTCTCATCTTCGATTCGTAAGACCATCATAATTGATAGACCAACAATGACCGCATAGCCTCAGAACCCTCCTCCTTCCTCACAGCAACTGCGCCTTTAACGCTTAGTGAGCAGAGCGGCGAGCCTTGTGGGAGCGGCGACGCTTGCAGCCGGCGCTGGGAGCCTTGGTGGGAGTAGCAACGGGGGCAGCAGCAGAGCTAGAGCTGGCAACGGGGGCAGCAGAGGCGACAGAGGTGGCCAGGGTAGTAGGCTTAGCAGCTCCGGTGGAAGCAACAGGGGCAGCAGTGGTGGTGGGGGCAGGGGCAGAGCCGGAGCCGGCACCGCCAGTCCAGACCTCAGGGCCGGGAATCTTGTAGGTGGAGGCGTCGGCGCTGTACAGGTTGTAGTGGATACCGGGGTCGGCGTAAGTGTAGCCGGTGTTGAAGTCGAAGTTCTGGGGAGGAACATCGGAGCCGGTACCAGTAACCTCGACCTGGATGCATTCGGGGTAGAACTGAGCGCCACGGGCGGGGTTGACGTCGTAGGTGGTGTCGGACTCGTGGAGAGCAATGATCTCCTGGCGGATGATGTACTTGCCCGCCTTCAGGGACGCGGGAAGCGTGATGGGCTCAGACACACCCTTGTTGGCAACAAGAGTCTCAACAGCCCACTTGCCGTTCTCGTAGCCTTTCTCGGCAATCTTGGTCCAGATGGCGCCAGTGCCGTCGGTCTCAGTGTAAGGGGCAATGTAGGTGATCAAGGGACCCTTGTGGGAAAGGTCGATGATATCGTCACCAGGGGAGTTGTGGTACCATTCGACAGTGAAGCTGTCACCTGCGGCAAGAGGCTTGAAGTCCTTCGCAGCCTTGCCACCGTTGACGTTGCAGACGATGTCGGCGCTCTTGAGGTCCTTTACGGGAGAGTTGGAAGGGGGGCTGCGGATGTACTGCGTGGCGCCGGTGCCAGTGGAACGACCATCGCTCTTGGGAGCGTCGCCAGGCTGGGCGAGGTTAAGAACCAGAGTGTGGGCGGCAGAGTAGCCGACGAGAGTGGAGAGAGCAGCGGCGGTGAAAGCGAAACGCATCTTGACGGTTGTGATGGGGTTCGGGTAAGAGAGTTGTTTGGTTCAGAAGTGAAGCGATGAAGGTTGTGCTTAGTGAGCGTGGGCGAACGTCTAGTTCGTAAAGGAGTGTATGGCACAGCCAACAAGAGAGAGACTTTGAGTACAGGGAAAGAATGACACCGATGTGATGATGGGGAAGGGGGAGAAGAGAAAGAGGTATTGACTTGTGGGATAAAGAGGCTTTATAGCATGTGTACCTAGTCGACCGCTCTCCTCGCCCACAATACCTTCTAGACCATACCCGCCTGAGGGGCCCTCTCTCGCCTCCATCTCGAATCGTCTATGCCCATCTCCGGGCCTGACCCATTCTCACCGCACTAAGTCGAGGTAGGCAGCCAATCTCGGACTGCATCTCGTCCCTCATCGCGCGGCTAGAGCTGGCGATTCCGTCAGTTACCCAGCAAGCCAGGGCCCCTGGCTCCCCTGAGAAGCATCTTATCCAGTAACTCTATTCATACTTGCGCAGCAATCCGCAATACAAACTGTTGATGTGGACCCGTGGAGGACAGGGGGTCGCCCTAGTTTAATGTCGTCTGCGATGGAGACTTTCGTCTCATCCTTCCCTCCTGCCAAGAACTGCAGGAACGCTGCAAGAAGAGATGAGGCTGATGGGTCTGTTAGGTGGCCTACTTGTGGGAACGAGTTAGCTCACGTCAGATCCTTGTCGTTCGGCGGCAACCGAGGATGGGTGCAATTAATGAAGCCGTTGCGATTAAAGTGAGAATGGAGATGTGAAACATGCAAACAGGGTGATAGTGGATCCCGGCGAGCCCCCCTGCAGCGGCGCGGGTAGTTAGCTAGAACAATGCTTCTTGGACCTTGGTTCCTGGGGTTGAGACGAGTTAACGACCATGTCGGGTGGCCACACCCCCCCTCCCAGTCTAACAGGGATAATGTTAGCGAGGCCAAGTCTAAGCTGATTAAGAATCTGCTTGAGAAACATGGTCGAACAATTAGAGCAGGCCTCGTTTGTGGCTCGCTACTGGCCAGTAGACTTGCCAACTTTGTAATCAAGGAGGCGGCATCCTGGAGAGGACGAAGAAGGAAAAAGAGGTTTATCGCACAGTTTCAGGTCGTTGATGCAAGACGGTAACGCTAGCATCGGCCGTCATAAGACAGCCAGGCCTGCACCTGAGGACCCAAATCAGATCACGAACCAAATCAATAGTGCCTGACAGGCCTAGGCCCAAGGATGGCTAATTTCTATCACCGAACCCAGTGACTGGCGAGCTGATGCTTCGAGAAGACAGTGTTAATGAGCAAATATTGCCCACAAGTTGCAACTGTGCCTCCCAAAACACATGCAATGTGGGACATGCAGCCTGAGCGGTGGCGGCCGCATCGGAAACTTCGCAGGCGCAAAGAGACGTTTTATGTGCAGGGCCCCGATAGAAAATAAGGAAAATGAGAGACGGTGAGAGAGACAATCGAAATGAGTGCGTGGTAAGTATGTTGGACCCGAGGATTCGAATCAATCATCAGAGATCGATCCTGGAAAGTTGGGCGGGAGCCTCTATTGATCCGAGCTGACACGAGATGAACGAGGAATTTAGCCCCTTGGTCCCGCCTTTCTTCCATGTCTTCTGCATAATCGTTCTCTCGGTAGCTAGACATCGAGTCCGACGAAGCCGGGTGGGCTGATTTGTTGATGTCCATAGGAGAGAAAGATGCGGGTACGTGGAGATGGTGACGGTATCGGCCAACGATCTTGTGTTGCATGATCTTCGTTTTGGTTGCATTCATATTGTGGTCTTTGCCAAAAACTGGCCAAGACTGCCAATACCACCCAAATAAATGGTGCGGCTGACTCTGTGACTCTGGGATTCTGCACTACCGGTCATTGCGACCCTGTCTGGCTGTGACGTGGACTGGCCGTTGAAAAGGTCTGACCGCCCCATTGACCTAGGGGCAGATTTGTCCCTACGATCCCAGTGCTGCTCGCCCGTATTCTAAGCTCAGTATTTACATTGGTAGGGAGCAACTCTGAACTGTGGAAGTGCCTTTTGAACTGATGAGCAACCTCTGCAAAACAAAAGGGGCCCGGCTTCAGGCTCGTGCAACCGGCCCTTGCTAGGGTGGTGGAGCGAGAGGAAAAAAAACCCCCATTTTAGCATCGGTTAACGGGTCGGCTGCCAGCATGGCAAACTCATTTCACCAGAACCTGGCAGATCCGCAGAGGCGTTGGTGACGATGCCTACTAGGCAGGATTCCGGCGACACAGGTTTATTAAATGGCGGGCGACAGGACTCGGTGCATTTGGCCAGTAAATTTCTTCTTATCCACTTCTCTTTCTTCGCGGTGAGAGTTGAAAAGAATTGAGATGTGATTGCGGTTGCATGACGTGTGCCTGTATTGTTGATCTGCAGGCACCTGGCTGCATAACTGCAGACCGAGTCTCATCCGCGGACTCCGAAGAGCGGCGAGCCGCTCGGAAGAGCGAAAAAAACCACGATAGGTTGCCATTGTGTTTCGTCTGCAATTCATATAAGCGCGACCCATCACCCGTGTCTGTGGGCACTCTCTGACAGGAGATGGCAGGTCGTTCGTCGACACGCTGTGGCCGATAAGGTGACCAAGGAACCCGCGGTTGAGGTTTGATGTGTGGCCAGTGTGAGACACGAGGGGTTGATGACAGCACTTCTAAGTCGTCGGGTCGGTGCGAGTACGAGATTCGCGAGCGCTGGGTCCTCAAAACACAACAGTGTGTCTCTTCTACAGTTGTCCTCCACATGGCAGTTCTTGGCATCGACATGATGTGCCAAGTAAATAGGTTCAGGCACACCTGCTGTTTGCGGCGGGAGAGCATGTTTAGCCAGGGGTCTCCAATCTGAAAACAGCGAAGAAAAGGGGCCCGCTCAATGTAGACGCGATTAAAAGATGAACATGAGACGGCCTTTGAGCAAAAATTGCAATAGAGATGTAACTGAAGTATTGTGAGCAAGCAAGGAAGCAAGCAACCAATGGAAGTCAAAACATGGAAGATGGACGAAGTCGAAATAAACACCGCCCATATTGGCAAGAGTTGTCCAATATGTCGCCGTTAACCTCGATATAAGGTTTGCAAGAACCTTACAACTTTATTGAGAACAAACCTGATTCCGGCGGTAAAATCAGCTATGGACGGCACAAGTTGCCGGAATCCCACCGTTTCGGTTTGCGTTTGTTTTGCGCGATAACTCCAGGCCGTGTAGCCGGTATTCATCAATCATAGGAGCGGATCATAAGGGTGTTTCGTACCCACTGCTCACTGCGCATTGCCCTGTGCTGGCCGAACGAGTTCTGCTGCTTACGCTGCACTGCATCTGTATTTTTCGGCTTGGCGAGTGCGGGGGAGAACTGGTAGGGGGCCAAATGTTTGGGGACTGGACGCCTGAAGAGTTCAACCTGAAGGTCAAGGCAGCAAGCAGACTGAGCTCTTATCTTATCGCAAAGTCCAGTTACAGCGATCTTCGCGTCGTCACGTCACTGCGTCGATTGTTGCATTTTGAACAAGCAGCAGCGAAGCGCGCCCGTCGCAATCTCTCCGCAATTGACTTGACGGATCCAACCCAAGTTTATTACCGACCTCTGTCCATCGTCAAACCCCCTCTGATCCCCGCAATGTCCACCGGCAACCCGCCAGAGCCTACAACCGGCGCACCGCAAAAGGTCGACGATTCCTACGCCGAGAGCAAGGCTAAGTTCGAAAGGTAGGCGGGGGCCTCTGTACGACATATACAAGGGGAAAGTCAATTGAAACGGGGCAATAGCAAAGCGAAGAGCGAGTACTTCGATCCATGCCAAGAGCTCGCCCAGAAGAGCATCAAGTGCCTGCACCGAAACGGTGGCGACAAAACCATGTGCGGTGACTATTTCCAGTAAGGATACCATTTCGTGTTCTGTCCATGCGCCGAACCCCTGGGACGATAAACAACTGGTAGTCCTATGATACTGATGTCCTCTCAGAGCGTATAGGGATTGCAAGAAAGCTTGGGTTCGTATCTATACACCCCGTCGTCCATCGATCCCAAACGCTGACCTTGCAAAAGTTCGACAAGAGAAAAGAAGAGAGAAAGAAAAATGGCGGGTGGTGGTAACAAACCAAACTCCGTACCTGTGCAGGCGACCATCGCGACGATTCCGACACGGACCGAACCGATTTGAAGCCATTGCAGGAAACTTGGAGCGAGAAGTAGGGACGGTGTACACTATGTAATATGCTGTATAAATGGGAAGGAGTTATTATCTGTATGAGTAATTTCGGTCATGTCAAAAGAGGGCCACCTCTCTTCTATTGGATCTCTAGGGTTGACTGGAAGCCCATTGAGAGGCTACCAAGACACCGCTGGGCCATGTGTAAGCATTCGGTCTTGGGAATATCGCATTCTAGGGTAGCACAATCCTGCAATTCGAGCGCTACCGGTTTGCTTCTCATCCTTCCCGACGGCCGTGATCTTTACGTTCGGCGACGTTCAATTAGGTCGGATCGGCGGCGGGGGGTCCAAGGCGGGAGGGACAGCCGTTGGCATCGGACCTCAATACAGGAAAGTGGACCCACGGGCCTCGGAGAAGGGGTTTACCCGTGGGCCAATCAGCCACCCAAGTGCCCATCCCTAGACGTCTGACAGCTCTCGGTGCTGCTGTACCTTACAGCGCAGTGCCCCTCCAAAGCTAATTCTGCCCCGCCATCCGATCAGAAGCATCACCATGTCCTGGAACCGGCCTCAGCTGAGGAGCGGCACCGATCTGCAGCTGCAGTCGGCCTTTAACGACCGGCAATGGGCAAACGTTATCCGTCTTGCCGAAAAGCGGTTTCGGACCTTCAATGACCCCTACTTTGAGGTTTGTTGTTTCATCTCACCGCTCAAGTTCACTCAGTCAAACTAAACACCACCCAGGCCGTGAAAATATGCGCAGAGAGCCACCTGGAGTCACCCTTGGAGAAGGCATCGCCTCTTATTGCAATTCAGAAGCTGGCCAAGGACCCGTCCGCTGTGAGAGATGCTGATACTCTCGAACTACTAGAGTGGGCGTCTGAGGGTTTCATGGAGGACCAAGACTTTGCTGAGACCTTTGGACCCCTGAAGTTGCGCTATGTGAAGGCGAACCCCAAGGATAAGAACGGCGGAACAAGATGTCTTGAGTCTTGTCTGTTGCACTGGGACCTGATTAGCGCACAGCAGGTAAGTCTCTCTCTCTCTCTCTCTCATGGGAGGTGGTCGCAGCTGTTAATATGTGTACATAGATTGCGGCTGTACTTGATAGGTCGTTTCCCCAAGAAAGAAGCTTCATGTTCTGGAACATCGCCATTACGCATCTGCTTGCGGTGAGTCTCTTGAGCTGCCAACTTACGAAAGAAAGTGGCTGATTTAGTTGCAGACCAGCGACCAGTGTCCCGCTGGCAAGAAGCAGCTCTACGGCATGTTGTCATTGAAGCAGATGCAGCGCGCTGCCCAGTTGACTGAGCAGGTAAGAGACGTGCCACAAAGCGGAATGGCTAGGTGGCTGACTTGGTCTCAGACCGGCACCGAAAAAAATGGCGATGTGGCCGATCGAGCGATCAAGACGGAGGAAGAGATTCTTCTCTTCTACCGCATTCTCGAAGCCCATGGCTCCGACGCGGAGTGGGAAGCTGCTCTCAAGGGTCCAACTCTCAACCCCGTCTATCAGTTCAAGGCTGGCCGCAAGGATCTCTTCCTGCAAACCATCGATGTACTTGAGAGAAAAGGAAACTGGAAAACGGTTTACGAACTCTGCAGAGAATGCCTTTCGGCGAAGGACGAGAAGGGCCAGCTGAGTCTCCTCGCATGCGACTGGGCTGTTTGGAAGAAGTTCCTCAATGCTGCTGGCCGAACAGGAGAGGCCCAAGAGTAAGTGGAGAGGTGTCTGTTTGAATTGATCATGTCTGATTTGTCGCAGGGCTTCAACCGAGGTTTTCGAACTTATCAACCGGTTTTTTGCACAAGAAAACGTCCGCTCGATTTACAAGCGAAACGTCCGCCTGGCCAAGGTTGAGGCTGCCTTCCAATTTTCGCAGCTCGCAGGATCCGAGGCCAAATCAACCACGTTCGAGGAGCTTTGCGGATACATCGACATCGAGTGCGAGTCACCCGCTTGTTTCGATGATGTCAAAGGCTTCGTCGAGCGCCTTCCACCACACGAAATCAAGGAACTTGCTTATGAATACGTCACCCGGCTGGCAGAAGAGTCAAAGGACGCTGCTAGGTCATCGTCTGTGAAGGCGTTAGCTTTCAAACTGCAGTACCTTGGTCTGTCTACGTCGAAGACTATCGTACGCGTCTCAAACGAAGACCCCAAAAAGCCAAACGACTGGAAATGCATCATATGTGCAGCTGTCAACAAGACACCTGTCTGCACGACCTGCTTGCAGAAATTATTGGAGTCCACATTGACTCTCTATTCTACTCTTATTAACTCTTCTAAAACCAGCTCCTCCCTCGACTGTGTACCGGAACTCGCAATTCTCGCAGCAACGTGCTGCATAAGGCTGAGCGGCGTTCACCAATGCGGCACTGGCAACCCTACCACCTCATCGATAAAGAGCAGCCGAACTGATCGCCTACTCCAGGCTGCCCTTCTCATTGAGAACCAACTCACTAAAACCCCGAAGCACACAAGATTGACCCTAGTTTTGGTGCGCATCTATCTCGTGCTTGGCTGCGCATCCAGAGCTCGTGAGGTGTGGGACACAGCAGACGTGAAGCGTACCATCATTGATTCGCTAGGCCCCTATTTCTTCGATCGTCTGTCAAGCATCGCCCCTGCGCTTGTCCTTCCGCCGAATAGACCTGAGAAGGGCCTGATGCAAGGCCTGAAGGCACACTACAATACGTCGCTCAAGCTGAGAATGCCTAGAAGGCTAGCCGATGCCTTCGAGGCCGAGAGCTACACTGCCATTCTCGACATCCCGAGTTATATCGAGCATCTGAGATCGAGTTGTACGTTGGTCATGGGCTACGTCGAGGAAGCTAGAGCTGCCCGAGCTCTTGGTATCCGTAACGAGTCGATCTTCGACGAGCCCGCGATTGGTGAGTTACTTGGAGGCTTTCAATGTCGTGGACCACCTAACGAGGACTGCCAGAGGAAATCACCGACATCTCCGTACTGAACGAGGTTATCGATTACGGATCTGTTCCCAACCTGGAGGCGGCGACAAGCCGGCCCATTTACGATGTGCTGCGACTTGGCCCTGATCCATCGGTATGTGGTTCATTCACACAAAATTTGCCACAGACTAATTGAAGAAACTAGAACCTCCGTTCTCACTTAGCCCTCGCCGCAGAGAGATTCTTCGACATCCTCTCTTTCAAGCCTGCATCTTCTTACAAGGTGACCAACGTTGCTCAAACGACGGCAGCGGAGCAGGTCTTTGTCTTGGAGTCCCTCCAGCGGCTCAGTAACTCCCTGAACAAATACCTGCACACTCGCGGAAATAACCTTACCCAACAAGAGGAGATGTATTACGACATTATCTCCTTACTTACCAATTTGGTGCCCCTCGCCGTCGCGGCCAGTAGAAGTCCGCCATCCCCGGAACTCCTATCGAACATCGTTTCGGGCATCAAGTCTGGCCTCGAAGTTCTTCGAGCCCAGTCCCTGTCGACGCCGGCTGATGCGGAGAGTTCCAAGGCACTGCTGATGCTGAGCTCGCTGCACGGTCTGTCCGTTCTTCGTGATGCTGCCGCGGCTGTGAAACTGGCTGCATCCCACATTGTGGCGTTCAACGAGCGGGAGAAGGAGAGAGACCGCTCTGGACAGAGCAATGTGCCCAAGGACTTTATGACGCAAGTCAAGGCTCTCGAGGCTGCCGCGGGCACCGCCCTGGCCGAAGGAAAGGCGCGGGTTCTCCTCTTGAAGAAGGAAAGCGACAGTCTGAGTGCCAAACTGGGCTCCTGGACATTCGAGGCGGACTTAGAGGACAAGCTGGCGGAGCAGATCCGCGACGTGGCAGGGAACCATGTGAGCGTTTGGTCGCAGAGGGTCACCGACAGCTGGCGGACAAACGTAAAGGGTTGGGAGCTGGTGCGATGGGAATAGATGTGTCTCATTTCATTTCATGAGTGCTGCCATATCCCGGGTGTTGCAACTTGAGCGTGATAGTCCTCCACCCCATGCCAAGGAACCCAAAACAGAGAATCTCGTGTAACCCATACAACTTTGATTGAATCACGAATGCGCCGGGTATATCCCTTCCATGATACCATTCGTCCGACAACTCCGCATGATGCAAGCCGGGCCACACAGGCGGCCCGAACCTTCCTATTTTCCAGCAAGTCATCCCATCAGTGGACAAGACATACCTGCGACATCAGACCGACAACGCAGAATACTGAAACCCCCTGCACATCACTGTTGTGCGTCCCCTTTACTGGCTATCCCTCCTCTTTCTCTGCTTCTTCTGGAACTGCTCCTGCTCCTCGCGCAGCGTCATCCACACCCAGAACCAGCAGATCATCTCGAGGAAGGCAAAGGTCAGAAACACGCGGTTCTTGAGGCCATCGCCACCCCAGGTTGAGGGCGTGTAGCGCGGGTTGTTGACCTGTGCCGAGGGGTGGGCAAAGCGGTTGCCCCCGCGGGTTGAGCTGCCATAGAGGGGCGATGAGGGGCCGAAGAGGAACGTGTAGATGAGGAAGGTCATGGACAGGAAGAGGCGGACGGGAGCTGAGGTTTGGAGGTTTTAGCTGGAGCCCGGGTCTTTTGGGGTGCGGCAAGAAAGACGGAAAGCTTACCCTGGGTTCCCCAATGGTAGATGAGCCATACCTCCTCGGGCATGCTCAGGGTGACGAGGTCGCTGAAGCCCAACATGGCGAGGACGGCGGCGAGGAAGGCGAGGGCGGGTGACTTGTTCTCGAAGCTTCGCGCATAGGGCTAAGAAAACCACATATGTTAGACTCTGGAAATGCCATGCGCGGCGGCGAGAACTCGGCGACTTACCATGCCCATGGACTCGCCCAGGACGTACACCAGAGCCTGGTCGGCGATGGTGGCCGGGCTCGTGATGAAGAAGTAGGCGAGGGTGATGTGAAATAGGGAGAGCGAGGTTATAATCGTTTTCGCTGAGATGATCGCCATGATGCCGGTTTCTGGGCCTGTCCGGCGATAGTCGAGAAAAGAAGTTGCGGCAAGACGGTAGTGATCTGGTCCTCAGGGGGGGAAAGTCGCAGTCGGTTTCCGCAGAAAAGAATGGAATGGACAGTAAAACCGACACATGTCTTATCGGGAAGCCGATGGTGTGAGCTAATCCTGCAGCTACGAGCCTTATCGAAGCGGAGCTTCTCATTCGTCTCGTTTCGCTCACCAATGCAAGGCTTCAGCGGTCTTTCGGTGGTTCCCTTCCCTGCTAGCGCAATGGTAGCTCCCTTAGCTGAGTTCGGCCAAGGGACAGCTTGAGTGGGGGTGGGGTTCCTTTGTCTGATCGTATCCCTTCCTGGAATGAAGCCTTTCTAACGGCTGGGAGGGTCTCTCTTGTAGCCTACACACTTCGACACCGTCGATCCCACCACTCTCCCCGGGTCTGCAATACCGAACTGAATTGCGGCAAGGATGGCGGCCGACACCACAATGCCGCTCGAGAAGGCGCGCCACGTAAAGTACTGGCAGCGCTGCCACAAGACTTTCCTCCCGCACCAGTACACTTCCTCCGACAGCACGCGCATCGCTCTGAGCTTCTTCATCCTCGCCGCCCTCGACATTCTCTCCCCGTCTGAGCCCTCCAAAGAGGACCCGCACCTCCTCACGCCAGCCGACCGGGCCGCCGCGCGCAACTTCGTCCTGGGACTCTACCACCCCGGCGGCGGGTTCTGCGGCTCGCCGAACCACGCTCTGCCGGCCGAGCTATACGCAGATTGGGACTTTGAAAAGGGCATGCCCCGGACAAGGAACTCGAGCTCGGCAAACTTGGCGTCGACGTACTTTGCGCTGTTGATCTTGGCCATCGTTGCGGACGGGCCGGAGGCGGCGAGGAATGCGTTCGCGGGCGTGGACAGGATCGCGACGTTGCGGTGGTTGAAGCGATTACAGCGGCCGGATGGGAGCTTCGGAGAGCTCGTCCTGGACGACGGGAGCATAAAAGGTGGCAACGACATGCGGCTGTGCTTCCTGGCTGCCACCATACGGTGGGCGCTGAGGGGCGATGCGAAAGAGGGGGACGCGGATTGGGTCGAGGACATTGACGTCGATGCGCTGGTCAGGCACATCCGCCAGGGCCAGACCTACGACGGCGGACTCGCGCAGAGCTCCCACCAGAACGAATCCCACGGTATGTCCTTGCCTTCCAAAACCGTATGCTGAAGAATGAAACCTGAGTAAAGGGGCCACCAGCCGGCTACGCGTGGTGCGCGGTAAGCGCGCTCGTCCTCCTTGATCGACCATCCGAGCAGGATGCAACACCTCACTGCAGCGAGATTCTTAGGCAGGGCGTTCCCGACGTTTCGTTACTGGTTAAGTTCCTTGTCTACCGCCAGTTCGAGTATCTCGACAAGGAGGACGACTCGGACGACCCCGACACCGCCAACTTTGCGCTGCCCGAATCCCTTAACGAGCTTTCTCTGGACCCAAATCTGCGTTTTGTGGGATTCAACGGGAGGTGTAATAAGGTGGCGGATACGTGCTATTGTTGGTGGGTGGGAGGGACATTACAGGTGCGGCTCGAGCTGTTGCTATGGAGTACCACCGTTTTACTGACAATGCCTTTAGATGCTGGGTCATGTCGACCTCATCGACGCCGAGCCCTCGCGCCGTTTCATCATGAGCAAGACGCAGCATCTCATCGGCGGCTTCTCCAAGTACCCCGGCGGCCCGCCGGACATCTACCACGGTTTTCTGGGTTTGGCCGCGCTTGCCATCATGGGCGACTCAGCCCTCAAGCCGTTCGATGCGTCCGTGTGTGCGACCCAGGAAACCGTCGATAAGATTGTGGCCGCGCGAGAGGGGCTCAGGCATGCAACCGAGGCAGGATAGCAATAACCGAACTCGACTTACACGGGAAGGTAGAACTAGGCAGAATGCGCTTACTAGCGGCATTCTTGAGTTTTTGATCATGGAGTGGGAGTGGACAGATAATCCACTTCACGACGTTTGCAAACGGCGGTAACAGTGGCCAGCATCGACTGGATATCTCTTTCAATTGCAAAAGCAGCAGCGCCTTCCCTTTAGTACAAGGTATCCTCTAAGTATGGTACATGATGACGCCGAAGGTGGAATATAGAGAAAAAAAAATAACTATGAGAGCTTGTGTCTCGGCTCGATTTATCGAACGTGGATGATGGAACTGGTGTTGTACAGCTCATCTTAAGAAACCAAAGAAAAAAATAAAACTGGCAATCCTCCGCGATGCCGTCAGAACGGTATTGGACTCAGGTTGGCAATCATGCTTGAGCTGGTGGGGCCGTGGCCTTGGGCGTGACGGGAGCAGCGTCGTTGTCGGCGTCCGCGTCTGCTTTAGCTTGGTCTCCCGCGGCCTCTGTCTCGCCATCTTCAATAATCTGCTCTTCGATGCGCTCACCCGGCCCTCCAATAACAGGACTGAAAGCATCGACCTCCTCAATCTCTTCTTCTGCTTCTTCACCTTCCTCCTCTTCTTGTATGGTCACCTCGCCAGACCGACGCCCAACACCAGAAGCACTTGCACTCCGCGCATGGCCGGACCCTGTGCTTCGTGCGACGCTGCCTCCACCACCGCCGCCACCGCTGGCAAAGGCTAGCATCGGCCCCTTGAAGATGTTCCGCTTTCGCTTGGCGAATTGAATCCCCCCTCCTTGTGCAAAAGGATTCGGTGAGCCCGGAGCCTGCACTCTTGATACCGGTGGTGGGGGCATGCCCTCATTGAACAAAGCAAGAGGGGCTGGGGGCCCGGGTCCCCGAACAAGGCGAATGTTGGACGGAAATGCCGTAGCTGTCGGGGTGGCGGGGAGAACCTTTACGGAATGGTGAGGTGACTGTCCGCGCTGAAGAGTGTTTTTGGACATTGATGTCGACACCGAGCCGTTCGAGCTTGTCGAGGAAGCCTTGGAGTGAGAGTGATGATGATGGGGCATCGAGCGAATTGAAGAAACTGACGAAGAAGTTGATTTGCGGCCCCTCAGTCCTGCCGAGGAGCGCCGCATTGTTGTTCGAGGGGTCATTGGAGACGGTGACAGCGACTGCCGCTTATAGGATGTCGCTATCCGAGACGGCCTGTGCGACGGCGTTGAGCCTGCTCCTGAAGCAGGGCTGCTGAATCCGCCAGAGCCTCCATGACCGGGCAGAGCTTTGTTTAGGTGGCCATTGGCGACCACTCCGCGAGGTAAGCCGGCCTTGGCCTGCTGTACGGCGTTGTCCGTCGTTGGATACTTGCTCGTCTGCGGCCGAGGACTAGTGTCCTTTGAGTGCTTGCTACTGTTGCCCGCGACGCTGCCGTTCTTCTCGACCAAGTTGGGTGTTGAGTGGTTGCCTCTTTTAGTTGCGTGTCTGCCCCTACGAGTGTTCTCAAAGAACCAGTGCGTCCAGTGCTTCCAGTGAGCAATGATAGCCTGGGACGGCTTCTTTCGCACTTTCTGTTGCTGTTCGGGGGGTCGCTCTGGCGTTCGGTTAGCCGCCAAAGCTTCCGAGGTGGTCACTAGGTGAAGGGTCGAACCCCGCGATCTTGCGCTGCGGATTACGCCCTCCTTAGGGGGCGGAACCGGGCGACGATGTCTGGACGTACTGGCAGACCGGATAGAGTCCTTGTCGATTGGAGGTGGCGGTTCCTCCGCGTTCGGGCTTCCACTCTCCTTGCTGTGTTCTGGCAGCCCTGGCAAATCTCCAAAATCCGAGTAGTGAGCGCTCCTCCTCTCTGACCGTCCTCTTGCCCTCGGGGTTATCGGAGCATCTTCGAGCCTGATGAAGCGATTTGTCAGTCCGCCGTCCTCGTCGACCTCCTGCAACACTGGCGCAATCCGCTCGAGTCTGCTGGACGCGGCAGACAGGCGACGCAGGCTCCTATTCTCGGCCTCGCGTTCGCGGCGCTTTCTCTCCCTCCTCCGCACTTTTCGTTGCTCCTTTTCGATGAGGAGCGTCCACCAGCCAGCCAAAGCATCGCACCGTTGAGCCAGAACACTTTCTATGACTGAGTCGATATCGACACCTGCGCTCCGCATTCGCTGAAGTGTCTCCTTTTCCAAATGCGTCGAAAACGGGGCTGGTCTTTGCAGTTTCAGGATCGCCTGTTGTGCCGGTGCGTGTTCAGCGAGGAATGGATTTGTGAGAATGTCGGGCAACGAGGGTCGAAGCAGAGGCCGTTTGGAGAGGAGAGATTTGATTAATGGAATGGCGGCGAGGGGAAGGTGATCGGGAAATTTCGGTTCTTCGTTGAGAATCCTCGTCCGCGTGACGTTGTCATCGTCATCGTCGAATGGCAGCTCTCCGCATAGCAAGGCGTATAGAATGACGCCCAAGCTCCAGACGTCGACCTTTTCGCCAGCGTATTTTTCACCCTTGAGCATTTCAGGTGCGGAGTAGCAAATCGTGCCACAAAACGTCTGCAGATAGTTGGACTTGCCCTCGTATTCTCTCGTGAAGCCAAAATCCACCAATTTGACATTCTCGTGCTTGTCGAAGAGGATATTCTCGAGTTTCAAGTCGCGGTGGACACATGACTGTTGATGTACGTATGCGACGGCGCCGACGAGCTGGGCAAAGATCTTTTGGACTTTGTGCACAGGCAGAGGGCCGTGTTCGAGGAGGTAGTTATAGAGCTCATCACCTATGGAGCCATTATCAGCCGCGCTCATGCAACGAAGGTAGAGCATAGCTTACCAGCGCAATATTCAAGTACCAGCCACACCAGGTTCTCCGTGACTATGACCTCGTACAACCGTGCGATGTGGGGATGGACAAATTGTCGGTGGTGGTGGATTTCGCGCGCGAGGTTCGAATCGCCCTTGTTCGCGGACTTGAGGACAACCTGCGCCAGTGCATGTAAGTAGTCGGTCGATGACACAACATCGATCGATGCTAGCGGGCCTACGTACCTTGGAACCATTGGTAAGCTTGTGGGTGGCAAGGTAGACTTTGCCGAAGGATCCTTTTCCAATGAGACGGCCGAGGGTGTAGTTGCCGACAGAGCTGAGATCTTTGTTGGAAAACTCACTATAGGAAGAAAGGATCAGCTCAAGTCGAGGATCGGAGGGAAGACGGAGATGGTGTGACTTACTCGAGAAGCTCCTGGTACGAGCGAGCAAGCTACCACAGTGTTAGAATCAGAGAGATGTTCTGGTGGACCATGGCGCAGGACAATTGGCTACCCAGACAAACGGGTAGTCAAGCACTGCGTCGCAAAAGTACACGAGGGGGTGGTTGTGGTGACGCACCTTGGCCTTGCGACCCAGGGCCTCGGCATTCCCTCTATTCGCCTGCATCCCTTCGCAAGGCGATGACTAGCACGTCAAGGCCGACCGAAGCGAAGCCCGGCGGTGTGGGTGAACTCGAGCAAGACACACGGCAACTCGAAGACGGGTTCGGATCCGGAGTGGGCGGGAAGGCGTGAAGAGGTTTAGGATAAACGTCTGGGAAGCCCACAGCGGCGCGCAAGGGGTACCAGCTGCATCTAGGTCGTCAACGGTAAGTATGTTCGATCGAGGGTCGGATGCAGGTCGTCGAGAGTCGTAACGAAGGCTGCGGTGTCGCGATTGAAGCTGTTGTTTGATGCAAGTCGAGAAAGCTCCCAGGGTTGTAGGGAGCGATGGCTGGGGATGTTGCTGAATTCACAAACAGTCCTGGTCAAGCGAGGCGAGGCGAGGCGAGGGACAGACACGCCAAAAGAGAGAGAAGGGGCCAGGTACCTCGGGAGGTACCTCAATGCAGCGCCCCAATCCCAGACGGGCAAGAAGCAGCGGTCGGGTGGAGCCAGTGGGATTTCAGTGAGCGCAATAGCCTAGACCCGCCACGGATTCCAGCCCTCCAGCTTGACGTCTCGCCCCAAGATCAGCAGGTCTGGGGAGAAAGAATGGGCGGGCGCAGCACCGTGAACCCACTGAAGCCGCCCGGAATTCTTCGGTTGCATGTTTGCTGCATTGCTTGAGGCTTCTAGCAAACGCGACGTCGAACAAACTTTGGGCGCTGTGCCAGCTGGACCTCGCAGTGCCTCGGGCCGTCTGAGCTGAATGCCCTTTGACTATCGAGCTATCTCCCCGGGTATGTTTTGTCTGTGTGTTCCTAGGGTGGTACGAGACGAGCAAGCACAGCAGTTGACCGTTCACAGACAGAACCTGGAATATCACGACGATCGAGTTACAGATCAGGTCTCCGTGAGGTGGCTTCGTTACACGGGATGGACGAGCGACCTTTAGTCGTTATTTTGGGAAGGTCAGAAACCCGACCTGCACCTTGTTACAACCAAGATGCCGATGCCAGGTGATACTGTTAGCGTATAGCTTTTTCGTCTACCTGGTGAGATGCCACCATTTGGACGTGTGCCGGACCGAGTTGATCTCCAGATCGGTGTCGGTATTTCGTCGTGAGCATAAAACACAGACATCATCAGTGTGCTCAAGTTTTTCTCGAAAAACGTCCTAGCACTCTAGACCTATCGGCGGTCGTCCAGAATCGAGAGCTGCACCCAAGGTTATCAAACGTTCGGTAGCAAAAAGAAGCGAGCCACAGTTCATCTGTCTGAAACGCTTTGTGAAGGTTTCCCCCCACCGGCAGCTCTCAGCTACTGTACACCATGAGGAAAAGGAAGCTTGGATCACCTCACGAACATGCGGGAGTATGGGGGTGGCTGATGCTGCATCCGTGCACGTGGCTGGCACCAATGGCGGGAGCTTGGGAAGAAATGACCTCATTCGCAGTGCTTATCTGGCTGGCAGTCCTCTACCTAGATCCTCGTTCCATGCAAGGCGCTCAAGTCCACTTTCTTCTTCCGACACCGCTCCGTTTGCAAATAAAGCCAAGCTGCGGCTAACCCTCCCGCCATCACTCGAGGCGTGTCATCTCACCAATTGAGTGTGTTCAAGCTTTTCAATTGACGTCTCTCGGCGGTCACATGAGCTCGAATTCGCCCGCACCATGCACATCTCTCAGTTTCTGGCCTTGGGCTCTTTGCTGCCCTTCGCAGCCACCTCCCGTATCCAGCAACCCCTCGGCGCCGATTCCCCCCCGCTGACCCCTCACGGCTCGGCCGCCGTCCCGGGCTCCTCGTCCCCTTCCTCCTCCGCACCTTCCTGGCGCGATGACCTCCTGTCACTGCACCGCTCGCTCATTGAGATCCCCTCCATCTCGGGCAATGAGAGTGCTGCGGGAAAATTCTTGGTCGACTACCTGACCAGCCGCGGCTATGTCTCCTCTCTTCAATTTCTGCCCCCACGCAACAACAACTCGAACGAGACTCCGCGCTTCAACGTGCTGGCCTGGAAGACAAATCAACGCCAGCCCGAGCCCCGTGTTGTCATCTCATCCCATTATGATGTTGTGCCGCCGCACATTCCGTATGGCATCTCTGACGAGAACATTACTCCCGACACCCGCATCAGTGGCAGAGGAAGCGTAGATGCAAAGGCCAGCGTTGCTGCTCAAATCATCGCCCTCGAGGACTTGTTCAGTGCCGACAAGGTCGACCCTGACGATGTGATGCTCTTGTTCGTCATCGGCGAGGAGGACACGGGCGATGGAATGCGCTTCTTTTCCGATTCACTGCAGGAAGCTGACCCGCCTGTGCACTTCGATGCCGTCATTTTCGGAGAACCGACTGAGGGCAAATTGGCTTGTGGTCACAAGGGCGGCGTCTTCTGTGATATCACGGCAAAGGGGGTTGCTGGCCACTCTGGGTACCCTTGGCTGGGCAAATCGGCCAACGAGATCATGATCAAGGCTCTGGCCAAAATCATCACAACCGATCTTGGGAGCACCGACAAGTGGGGTAACACCACCGTGAACGTCGGTCAGTTCAACGGTGGTGTTGCTCAGAATGTCATTCCTGCGGCCGCCTTGGCGAGGATTGCAGTCCGTGTTGCCATCGGCCCCGAAAAGGACGGCGGCAACATCGTCAAGGACAGAATCCAGAAAATTCTCGATGAGACTGATTCCGAGTCCCTGGAGATGACGTGCACCCACGGATACGGCGTTGTGGAAGCCAACTGTGATGTTGATGGTGAGCAAGATTTCGTCTGCCCGAAGCAGGCGTTTGAGCTGACATGACTACGTAGGCTTTGAGACAATCGTGGCCAACTATGGCACCGACATCCCCAATCTCAAGGGCTCACACACTCGCTACCTCTACGGGCCAGGCACCATCTTAGTTGCTCATGGTCGCGACGAGAACATCACGGTCGCCGACCTCGAGGAGGCCGTGGGAGGTTATCAAAAGTTGATCTTGCATGCCCTTAAAGACTCCGCTTGAGCTGGATACCCAGTGTGGTCTCGGTAGTCCGTTGTCATTACGCCGTATCCTCTATAGATCATCTAATCATATACCACTCTCAGGCCGCAACTGAAGCACACAAGGCTGTCCAGTTCTGAATGACGGGAATAATCTGCTACTGCCCAACTACCTTGGCCCACCTCTCAGGCATAATGTGACGGAAGTCAAAGTGTCCCTCGGCGTTCTTGACGACGGCGCCCTTCTCCGTGACAACAGCATCGATCAGGTTGTGCGGCGTCACATCGAAAGCAGGGTTCCAGACATTGATGCGCTGGTCGGCCGTCGCAACGCGAGCGGTCTGCGCAACGTCGACGGTACCATTGGGCTGAACGACAGCGCCGGAAATCTGCGTCAGCTCCTCGCTCTTGCGCTCCTCGATCTTGATGCCAGCTCCAGTTTCAGTCTCAAGATCGATGCTGGTGGTGGGAGCCGCAACAATAAACTTGACACCGTGATGTTTGGCGAGAACAGCCAGCTGGTACGTTCCAATCTTGTTGGCGGTGTCACCGTTGCGAACGACGCGGTCGGCGCCGACGATGACGGCGGCAATGTTCATCTTCTCCTTTTGCAGGTTGAAGAGCGCGGCCGCCATGGAGTCTGTCACAAGGGTGCTGGGGATCTTCTCGTAGACGAGTTCAAAAGCCGTCAGTCTGCTGCCCTGGTTGTACGGCCGCGTCTCGGTGCAGTAGGCGTGCTGGAGGAGGTTGTTGGACCAGAGGGTTCTGATAATGCCGAGAGCGGTTCCGTGGCCAGATGTCGCCAGCGAGCCGGTGTTGCAGTGGGTGAGGACGGAAATCTTGGAGTCAGGTGATGCGCCAGCAACCTCCTTCAGCCATTGAGCTCCGTGGTCGCCGATGGACAGGTTGGTCTGGAGGTCCTTTTGGAGGATGTTCTCAGCCTCCTTGATGTAGGCGGTGACGATGGACTTGGGTTCATCTTGGGGGCGTCTCTGATGCAGGCTTTCAGTTGGTTGATGGCATTGGTCAGGTCGACGGCGGTCGGTCTGCTCTCCTTCAAGTAATCCAAGCGCGAGTCGATGTAAGAGACAGTGTCCCGAGAAGAAGAGGCCGTGCAACTTCCGTTGTGCAGTTCGACAGCGTGGGCGAGGGCAGCTACGATGGCGATGGCAGGTGCGCCACGAACCCTCATAGACTTGATGCAGTCGAAGGCCTCTTCGCTAGTGGAAACCTCATCATAGTGAAACTCGTGGGGGAGTCTGAGTTGGTCCAAGACCTCGAGACGGCCCCGAGTGTACTTGACAGCCTGAAGTCCAGACATTATGTACGATATTCAGAGAGAAGAACAGTGAGAGTGAAAGAAAATGATAGTGTAGAGAGCACGAGGGTATCAGAGAACAGAGTATTCTAGTGAGAATTAGGCGCAAATCCAACACAAACCGTGAAATGTTGCAGACGAGGGGCAACTAATTCCGAGAACCCAAAAAATTCTGCCGTGCCCCTCCATTGGCGCGCAGCAACAGTGGTGCAAGTCGGTGTCATCTGGAGCCAATCAATCAGGCAGGTGGACATACACCGCCTTCGGTGAACCATCGGAGGACAGAGAGCTCTTCAGCAGAAGCACTGGAAGTGACAGGGGTTATCGTGGTTCCGGCTGCCGCCGGCCGGCGCATTTGGTACCCGTCTCCATTCGCGCTGGGAATGCGACGGGCACCGACGTGCTCCACCCGAAGCTTGAACCTCACCGAATCGTACACCTAGACACCTTGCAACAGCCACCGCGAGCACCCACCCTCTGCAATTTATGAAATGACGCTGCGAAGGACCATGTAATCTAACACCCAAATTGGAGGAGCCGGTCAAAGATGGAGCGGCCTTTTTCAACCTCCAAAGTCACCGGTACGTTTGTCTTCTGACCGCCAGCTGCAACGTGTCTTCCGTTTGCACGTGTAGAGTCAACTAACCAAAGCATGCGCTTCGCAGTCGAGTACTTCGATCCCCACGACGTCTACAAGCTCGTGGCCCCAGGCCTCGTCCCCCGACTACCCCTTCGAAACCTGCATTGGCAGTCGCATGCCGGCCCTCTGCGATCCATCGATACTCTCCACGTTGAGCTCACACCCGCTGGCGGAGAGCCCGCTGCCCCAGCCTCGCCAACCGCTTCCCCCTCACTAAGCCGCTCTGTCAGTGCTAGCACCAGGGACGATGGCTTTCAGACACAGTCAATTGGAGGCAATAGCGCATCATCGGATACTACCGACACGCCGACAGTAGCGGCGCGACAGCCCAGCAAGGAACGACGCCATCAGATTCCAGGCCTGAGACGGACACCCTACCTCAAGGTCCTGCTGGTTCGATGCGACGATAGTGACACGTACAAGTCTCAGACGAGAGCCGAAATTCGAGAGTGGATCAAAAAGAACACACCGCCCTCGCAGTCGACGCGGAAGCTGAACACGCAAGAAAACCATGACGCCTTTGAGTTCCTCATCGTTCACGTTGTGATACCTAATACCTTTGCAGCAAACCAGCCCAGAGTCAGTGGCAAGGGGCCCGATGCTGCCGAAAAATCGAGGACATCAAGATGGGGTTCTGGCTCCTCGACGCTCCTGGAGAAGCTCCGCTCTGACTTCAACAGTTCCAGCAAGGGCGCGATTGACCGTGTTGCCCAGATCCGGATCGGCATCAACGATGTGCCTTATGACGTTCTTCCTCGGGTGGTGCCTGCCACCCCCACCGGCTACACCGAGTCGCGGCAGGATGCCGAAAATGCCTGGGAGGATTTGATTGGCAAATTCAAGGAGCTGATTCTGTCGTCCTTTGACATGAGGGTGTCTCAGTACGAAGAGGACATCAAGGAGAAAGACGCCCAGCGCGTTCTCCCAGGCTGGAACTTCTGTACCTTTTTCATTCTAAAGGAGGGGCTGGCGCGTGGCTTTGAGAGCGTAGGCTTGGTCGAAGATGCTCTCGTCGGCTATGACGAGCTCAGCGTTGGTCTCGACACAGTCATTCAGGAACAAGCCACATCAGGGGACCCTCAGACGCACGGTGGATCACTACTCAGTCATACCGAGGACTTAGTGAAGCGTGCTGAAGCCGCCATCGCCGAATTGGGCGCCGAAGATGGATCTATGGAAGATGAGCAGCCTGTTGACCTTCAGGCGACTGAAGCCCCTCAAAACAATAAATTTGACGACATCCCCATCAGTTCTACGAAGAAGCCGTATCGCGAGATGATCGTTGCCAACAACGTTTCGGTCTATGACTTCCGCTGTTACATCTTCGCAAGACAGATATCTCTGTTGCTTCGCCTGGGCAACGCCTGGTCCACTAGAGAGGAGCTCCTGGCAAAGCTTAGGGAGCAACAAGAGTCAGTGCTTCATGGTGTTGCTCCACGAGCTCCGCCTCCTAAGCAGACAGAAGAGGCTGAGAACCTCTCAATGCTAGCCGAGATCTGCCGCAGGACATTGGAATTCGTCCCTGCTGTTTCGCAAGTAATGAGGGCAGACATCTTGGCGGCACTGAAGAACAAGCTCACAGAAGAGGACTCTCCCATCCTCAACCCCGTTCTGGCCGAGGCTATTGACAACCTTGTCGCATCCTTCGCATTCTCGGTTGCCCAACAGATCCTTGCCCAAACTTCCACAAAGGCACTTCCTATTCCGCCATCCACCCTCACTCCTGCCGACAGTCATGAACCAAAGTCATCGATCCCGGAGCTCAAGACGATGATGCATCCGGCTCGAAGCTCTTCGTTGCGTGTGGGAACAAACTCAAACACGAGACAGCCGCCCAGCCCTGGCATCTTCCCCGGTGCACCAGCATCCAGTGGTGAAGAGACAGCACCATCAAACGCTCACTTCCTTAAGGCTGGCTTAGAAGAACTCGCTGCGCGTCGTGCCGAGCTATATGCCCTCTCCAGAAACGTTTTGCAGGGCAGCGGAAAGAAGCGTGGCTGGGACATTGGATGGACCTCTGCGCCAGTGTTTGGGGAGATGGATGGCAATGACTTCGAAGACGTCAACCTTGAAGACGATGATGAGACGAAGCCGGATCCAGACGACTCAGGGTCACTCTGCATAGGATTGGCCGGCATCGAAAACGGCCTACTGCACGCCGCCCTTGACAATCGGGACGACTTCTACCGTCTTTATGAGACTCTCACCGACAAGGCCTTGCGCCATTACACCGTTGCAAACCATACTCACGCTGTCAAGACCAGCATGGCCGACCTGGCCGTATTGAAATACCACCTGGGCGAGTATGGGCCTGCGGCATCATTTTTCTACATGACCACGCCGTTTTTTGGAGAGAACAGCTGGAGTCTGCTGGAACTATCAATGCTTGTCATGTATTCTCGTTGTCTCAAGGAGCTTCAACGAAAGGATGAGTTCGTCCGTGTAGGACTAAAGCTTTTGACGAAAGCAGCCGCCGCAGAGAATGAAAAGCTGCAGCGCAAAAGGGCGCTGTCGTTGGGAGCTCGTTTGGAGGTTCAGTATCCAGAGAAAAGCGCTATTGCTGGTTTTCTCGACGATGTGCTGAGTGTGGCCAAAACACTTTCCAATGAAGTGAGAGTTCCTTTAGGTCATCTCTTCACCCAGGTTGAAGTGGTTGGGTCTCCCGAGTACCACGATGGAAAGGACTGCTTCTCTCTCACCATTAAACTGCGCAGTCTGCTCATGGACGACTTGAGCTTGGAAAAAGCCGCCATTCGCCTGTCTAGAGCCACATCAGAAGGCGCAAAGGAGGTTTGGCTGCACACCTTAGAATCAAACATTCTGAAGCCCGGTGTCAACAAATTACGCCTCACTAGCACGGTAGGTGGCTTCTGCGTAACGAAGTGAAGCACATATGACTGACTAGCAACAGACAAACGTATCTGGGCACTATAGAATCGACCGCGCAGATCTGATATGTAACAAGGTTGATCTGCACTGGGAACGAGATGTCAACCAGACACCAAGCAAGACAGCGCAAATCTTCCGCTTGCCCGATCTAGAACTCTACCGCCCAGCAGGTGGTTTGAGCTGCCGTCTCACGGCAGCCAGAAACATCCAGCTCGACAAGAATAACTCGGTCGACCTAGAGCTCTCCACGGGCTGGAATCTCATCAAATCTTGCGAGCTCTCTGTGAAGCCGTTGACTGGCGGTCTGAGGATCATTTCCACTAAAGCAGAATTTCTTGGACAGGCATACGAGTATGCAAAGCCCTTGGAAGCAGGTCTGTTTCGCTTCGGTAACATCGATGCATCGTCCATCATGAAAATGCGCTTTCCGTATACTATCGAGCAAGACGTCCCTTACATATCGGCCAGAGTTGAAATGACATACACGACAGAAGACGGCACTTATCACTACTCCAGTGTTTTCTCTGTTCCTGTTGCGCTCGCCTTGGGTGTCAACGTACAGGACGTTTTCAAACACAAGGCACTGTTTTCCCGGTTCAGCGTCTCGACCGCCTCCTTAAGTCCACTGAGATTGTTCAAGACAGAGCTCATCGACTCAGAGGTCTTTGCCGCCCATTTTGCGGCTCCAGCGAACAAGTCGGTCATGGTGTTCCCGAGACAGCCTGCTAGCTTGCTCTACAAAATCACCCGCAAAACTTCAGGCCCCACCACGCCCAAGACGCAGCGGACGCTCTATCTCAAGCTTCACTACAGTGTCCTACTAGACGAAATCGTTGCCCTTGTTGAGAAATCCCTTTCAGAAGCTATCCAGCCATTGCCGATAGCACCGTTTTCAGGCCTGCTGATCAGCCGGGTTGTTACCGAGGTACAGTCCAGTTTATCGGCTTATGATCTAGAACGCGCCGCTCTGCTGGGAGAGGTTCCGACGTCATTTATTTCGGCTCTCTTCTCCCGCTCTCTTTTTAAAGGCCTGGGTACAATCCCTGGAAGCGGTGAGGATGCCTCCGCGGCGCTGGAGCAATTCCTCCGGGACTGGCAGTCGGCGCATCCTAGATTGGCCACAAAGGAGATTGTATCGGCGAGCCGCTCGATTCTCATCCCTGTCGATGTACCCTCCATTCCTGTCTTCCATTCAATCGACATCCAGCTTCCACCCCCCGAGGAGCAACTTGCTGGCTCAACAGTTGCCGTCAATCAACTGCTTTCTGCCAATCTCCGGCTGCAATGGACTAGGATCTGGGACACGGCTGTGAGCGATGGCAAGGGCATCAACAAGGACTATGAATTCAGTTACGATCTCACCGGCCCTGGCGATACATGGCTCATTGGCGGCCGAAAGCGTGGAAACTTTAGGAGTTTAGGCGTCGGCAAGTCGGATGCAAAGTTTGGAGAGTCCGAGCTGCACGTGCCCGTCCTCATCGTTCCCCTGCGCGAAGGGAGGCTGCCGTACCCCAACGTTGAAATTCGTGAGGTAAAAAAGGAAGACAATGAGGAGACGGCCGGGCACCACGAAATCGACTACCAAAACATCGGCGAGACGGTACGGGTAGTGGCTGACTTGCAGCGAGTAACGTTGAGCCTGGACGCCAGCGGTCCAAGTGGTGGCCCGCTAGTACTAGAGAGCGAGCGACGGGAGTTCGAGCACCGCATTTTACTGTAGACATTTCGAAGGCCGATGAGGCCGCGCCTTCTGGTCTTGACCACAGCATTACTGTACTATAGCCAATGCGAAGCATGATACTGTTTGTGCTGACTTGACGTTTACATCTCGCCAGTTACCTTGGCATATCCAGTTGGTTCGTGCCAACAATGCCATTGAGAAACTCGAATGATAGTCTACGGGGAGATGTCCCCAGACCAGCTTCCTCGGCGTCGCCGTGCCGGAGCCGATTAGGCTTGGACGACATTGCGTTGTCCGAGGCGCTCACGTGTGAGAGTTGTCCCACTCTGTGGCTCCACAAATGAATGTTAAACCGGATTGAACCAATCAGAAGAGCCCCATTTGTTGCAGCCAACCGACGCAGCCACCAATGATTCCTAGACAGGAAGGACTTTGGTTGGAAACCCCAGTCAAATGACTCCTCATACTTGCTGTGCCGTAATAAACTGGAGTCTGTGTTCACGTTGGTCGGCACAGCCACAACATTGCATTCATGCCTGATACGGGCTGGCGGCGCTTCCAATTTTCTATAAGAGATTCGTGTGGCATGTCGTGAACATCTCGAGACGAAAACACAATATCCTGTACTACTCTTAGTCTCAGTCCATCACAAGTTGGCCGCTTCACCAACTGGACCATTTCAACTGCCGACCCTTCCAAGACAGAGAGTGAAGACAGAGAGTGTTCTTCCTGGCTCAGTACTGTGCCTCCTCCACTAATCTGTCCGTCGCGCCACTACAATCAAACCTCCGAGGCAGTTCCTTGCAGCGGATCAATAAGCATGTCCAACCAAGTTTTCAAGAACGAAAGCCAAACGTCTCTCATTAGACACGACAAAACCGATTCAACGCAAATTGTAGTCGAGCAGAAGGAGAAGAAGAAATTACTCTTTTAGCGGCTTTAAAGCAAGAAGAGAGCTGAGATCTTGGAGGAAGATTTGCTGAAGTATACCGGCATGACCAAGGAAGGCCTTGCGGAGTGGGCAAAGGATCGTCCTGGCGTCGGTAAAAACCAACGTGTGGAGGGCGCCGTAGGGCCTCCGGAGGCTGTGGGCATTGTCGGATCGGGCTACTGAGGCCGTGATTGGAATGGAGGGCCGCGAACGGAGGCTTGGGAATGTTGTACATCAATGCATGACGGAATTCTTTTTTAACGAGTTTGGATTTTCTTAAGCTGGAAATCATAAGGAATGACATAATAACTTGATTTACTTGTAGGGTTAAAAATCCCCATGGGTACCCATTTGGGTTCTAACCCATTTGACCCATGGGGATTCTTTTGGGGCCCATATGGGTTATGGGTTGAAATGGGTTATGGGTCTTTTTCAAGATTATGGGTATGGGTTTTTGGGTTATACCTAGATAGGGATTTCTGTTTTCTGGATATGGGTATTATGGGTATCCGTCACGTAATAGGCAAAAAACACAGCAAATAGTCTTAACCTATAAACCTATTCTTATCTTATTATTTGGGTATAGGGATTTTTTATACCTATACCCAAATAATTAACAAACCCGAATACCCAAAACCCAAAAAACCCATTTCATGGGTTGACACATTCACCCAACCCATTCATCTGGGTCCCCATGGGCCCCCATGGGTTGGGAATTTTTAACCCTATTTCCTTGGAATACTTGGAATACTTGGGGTCTGAATACGTTGCTAAATTTCCTCCACCAACTTCGAGGCTCATCCAGATGAAGATGGATAGCTAGTGGAAAGGTTTCAATAACGAGATTGTTTACTCCTAGCATGTATTTATCAGTCGAACTTGGACACTCGGGCAGTCTTGTATACCCATGTGGATTCGATATCGCGTGGTTCATTTCCGTTGTCTCTCCCTAACCAGAAATGCCGACACTAAGATTTGTCTACCGTTTTGGGATTGTCCTTCGCGTACTGTCATAACCAGTAAGAGCCTGAATCATGATTACCCATTCGTTCACACCGATACCTGTCGCTTGTTCTCAACACGCGGTGGCAAGCCCATAGTGTAACGATAGTATACCCTCTTTTGAGAACAAGGCATGAAAGTAATTAGGCTGAGAACAAAGAGTTTGGTGTCTCTCGCTGATCAAGACTGGATAACGTAGGGCGCCGATAGATAATTTATTTCACCAATCTTGTAACACTTGTTATCTTCTGGGACGAAAAGCTTTCTAATATCTGAGAGCTACCTATCGACCGCTTGTATGGTGCAAGCGGCAACTTCACCAGTTACTTTCTCTGGAGTCGTCGTAGACGCGTGGTAAGTATAATACAACAGGCTCGGACTTTCGACTCAGAGTTTCAGGTTATACTACAAAGTCTAAAAGATTTACGGGTTGAAAACTGTTTGGAAAGTCGCAAGATGGCGTGATTATCAATGGCGTCCGTATATAAGCATAGATTTGTCAAATAGATAGTTCCAAATCTAACCTTGTCAAGATGGTTAGTCATGTTAGTTTAGCACTGGAGCTGAGACCTGGACGGTTATGGAGGAGGCTGGAGCCAATGAGTTTGTCCAGCCACACGGTTGTTGGGGACTTTACTCCGTTGGGCTGTCCATATGTGACATCTTTTATCTTGATTGATAAAACATTTTAAACTCTTAGGGATTTTGTAGCGATGAAACTTCTGCATAACTCTTGACTTTTGTGAATTGCCAATCGTTAATGCATAAATGTTTCAAACTTCATCCCTCAATCATGGGAGAGCAGGACACGCGAGTAAGCTTCAAAACCTGTAGAACTAAGCGCTAGACGAAGGCGAAGAGGGTTCAAGGACCAAAGACAGAGGCAGCATTGGCAGCCAAGATTATTCGACCAACGTAGAGGAGTCTCCAGCATCCTTTTGTGAAAAACAACCCTTCCGAGCAAATTAGAAACTCATCTTCTTGAATAGAGGTCTATATACATATTGATCGAGACTCATGATAAGTAAGTTTTCCTCATGCTAGTGTCTAGGTTACCTGAAAAGTAAAGTAACATAAGGAAAGACGTAATGTCTAAAGATGTAGGCGATTGACTTGTCTATGTTAACGTACATGCATAGTGAGTCAGACAACATAGTAAGTTGGACACTTTTCTTTACCCTTTTACTATTTATATAAGTTATAAGTTAATTAAGCTAACTATATTATATAAAACTAATTAAAACCACTTATCATCCTATTTTTAGTATTAGCTATCCTAAACTACTTAATATATTGTTACAATAAGATATCCGATAATAGTGTTTTCTGCTAATAGATAGCTAAGGTTTATACTTAGTAATAGTGAAACTGTGTGGGATTAAAAGAAGCCAGCAAGTGGGTAGTTAGCACACAAACCGCACTAAACACCGAGGTCCTAGTATCGTCACGAGTGCACCTGGAGTGACCGATTACCCTAAGTGACTACCCCAACGCCTAGACCGTGAGATACTACTTTTTCTAGGTCCTCCTTGGCCTGACCATGGCTATGAGCGAACTAGAAAAGGTATATCCTTTACGTCTTATAGTCTGTTCAGATTTGCTCTTGTTGCTAAGCAGTATGTATATATATATTATAATCTCTAGAGGAAAAGGATACCCTCTTAGACCTAAGAAGTCTAGTTAAGCCTAAGGAAATAGAGTAATAGTTACTTATTATATAATATACACGCATAGTAAGTCGCTTATCATAGCAAGTTGCCTACTATTTCTACTTTCTACCTCTTTTACCTTTACACTAAGTTTCCTCTACGTACAAACATATAATCCACCTTAATTAAAAGTCGTATTATTTTTACTATCTAGGCTCTTAAAAAAGACCTAAAAATGTCTATATAAACAACTACTTTTACCTTTAAAGTCCCTTAAATAACGCTATATAACTAATACGCTAAACATATTATATAAAACAAAAAATAACTAAATTTAATAAAGATAACTATAACTAAAAAAAAAAATTCTTAGATAAGTTATTAACTTAATTAATTAAAGGTTCCTTTTATAACAAAAAAATATATAAAAAATATGTTAAATAGATTCTCTCTTTCTAAGAGAACCTGTTTGTATGATTATACTTAGGTTAAAAGTTAGGGTAAACTAAAGATATATTTTCTATGATTATTTTCTTAACTATAAGACTTAGCTTTTATATATAAAACATATAATCTTATATATCCTTAAGTTAGTTCAGTATAAATATACTTTTAATCCTTTTAATAGATAATTAAGAGCTAAATATCTAGTTTATGCCCTTTACTATAATATATATTTCTAAGTTATATGTGTTATATAACTAGTTAGTACTATTATTTTAATACTTATAACTTTTTCTTTTGTAACTATATAACTCCTTATAGTATCTAATTAAGTTACACTAATTATAATATTAATAACTTTATTATATAACCTTATAGGTTAAGCTACTTATATTATATAATAAATTACTAATATTAAAACTCTAAGTAATTATCTATTTCCTTTTTATTTAGTTAAGTAAATAAATCATATATTAGTAAAGTTTTTTTTTTCTTTGTTAACTTTACTTTTGCTTTTACTATTAATATACTTTTTTTCTTTTTTATAATAACCTTAAGTATTTAAAACCCTTTTTATTTGTTTTTTTTTCTTTTCTTCTTTATCTTTTATATACGTTATTTTCTTATATAATTAATTAATAATAATCTTCTTCTTTTTTCTTAATTAACTTACTAAGAATTAAGAAGTAAAATTCTTATTCTTCTTATATATAAATCTCTTTATAACTCTATAACTAAAAGTCCTATAAATATATAGTTATTTTTTCTAGATTCTTCTTGAAAAATAACCTATAAAAGTATATATTACTATATATAACTATACTAATATAAATTACTGTAAACTAATGTAGTTTACTGTATATAAACGTATATACTTCTAAGTATTATATATGTTAGCGCTTATACTTATCTATAGGTATATATAAGTATATATATATATATATATATAAGAAACATATAAGTATCTTTTAGTGTTTAGATATACGTTTAGATATACGCTTAGATACTATATG